CTACCGCTATCTGTCCTTGACGGCTCAGCTCTGAAGATCAGATAGCCGACTGGAAAGATTTAGCTGCAAGTACCTCTGAGGACGAACCAACAGGTGAGAATTTATTGTCCAACAAATACAGCGAAGAAGATGGAGATGCTGCTGGATTCCATCATGAGCTGACATTTGTTAGAGAACCATTGGAAAACCCGGAATTACTGGATAGCTATTTCATCCCAGTTTGGGACTCTTTATCAGTACGCACCCATCGAGGTTCAAAACTGGGACCTTCTGGTTACAAGGGGAGTTATCTCGCAGGCCATTAAGCCACTGAGACCTGATCCAATGGCCAGCCCATGGATTCTAAATTCTGCCACTTTATACTACTGCACACTAATGGTCGTGCGAGGTTGGGTGTAAGGATACATACCCACCGGAGGCATTGTCTAGCGGTTGCTCTGTGTCGTGAATTGGCAAAAGTTGGAATTCATGGGCTGGCCATTGAACCAGGTCTCAGTGGCTTAATGGTCTGCGAGATAACTCCCCTTGTAACCAGAAGGTCCCAGTTTCGAATCAAGATGGGTGCGCACTGATAAAGAGTCCCAAACTGGGATGAAATAGCTATCCAGTAATTCCGGGTTTTCCAATGGTTCTCTAACAAATGTCAGCTCATGATGAAATCCTGTAACCAGTCAATCAAATCCCTACAAAACAATACTTTAAAATGGAGGTGTGTTGGACAAACGCTGAGAAGGTCATCCAGTGAGCATCTCTAGAGTGAAACTAGAATGGGAAAAGCCGAGTGGATCTTCCGAGGTTTACATGAAGGAGACCATGTAAAGAGGTGAGATATAATGTGGAGTTGTGGGCCCATCTGAAGAAGGCAACAGAAAACAGAATAAAGTGGAGGTGTGCTGTTGAAGCCTTATATTCCACTCGGAACCCAAGGGAACATTAATAACATCTAGTGAAACAATCCTTTGTTCTACGAAAATTTGGAGACTTGCTGTAAATCTGTAAAACTGCGAAGCCTCCATGCAACTCTACGAAGTGCGTAGAATGAAATATAGGGAATGAAATTGCTCCTATTCCAATAATAGCGTAACGGAAGATAAAAATAATGAGCTTGGCTAAAGTTATTAAAAGTCTATAATCATAGTATACTAAATGCTCTCCATATACCATTAACACTTAGTATTCAACAACTGAAACAATGGTGAAGGACAAGCTACTGTATTCACACGAACTGTGATCAAGATTTGACCGGATAGTTGCAACATAATTGAGCGCCGAGTGAGAAGTAGACATTTATATAGTTATATTTGTAAGATTTATATTTAAAAATATAACTTTATAAATGTCAAGCTACTGTATGTTTCTACTTCCACACGCATCTACTCTTTCGTCTGATGCTGTGGAGATGATTACTTCGAATGCTGTAAGGAAGTTTACCAGAAACACGTATCTAAACACCACCCAGTTTGGTTGATGAAGGGTTAGCATAGGATGAAGATGTCTTGCATCTGCGAGAAACTTTAGCTTTTTGTCCTCATACGTCATACCCCTTAATTTTGGCCATAGGGCCGAATCCAGTCACCGCAAAGTTTACGTTTAATTCACCTATGCATAACCAAAGCTTTGACTGTAACTGGGCGAAAACCTAAACTAAGCATTCATAAAAGTTTTCTACGACTCTTTTCTTTACCTTTGTCATAATAATACTATGATGTGCGTCGGTGGCACAGTGGTTAGGACTCTCGCCGACCATGCACATGGTCCGGGGTTCGAGCCCACGCCGGCTCACACCTGATATCTATGGTCGGCCTGCAAAATTTGGGCTACCGATATCCATGTTGAAAATTCCATACTTGTACCAAAAATGCAGTGTGGAATCAAGCTGTAAATCAAAAAATACTTGAATCCATTCAGCTTCACTTTAATCCTAAAATAATGGCCTACTTTATTTCTGACTTCTTCATCCCTCATAGTACTTTTCAAGAAGATATCAACTTTGCGTTTCGAGAGAAATGAGAAAGATTGGAGAAGAAAAATTTGTGTAATGAATGTGGTAATGATTTTATCAGATAAAGAATGAGGAAAGCAGCAGGTAATGTTGCCTCCTATTCACAAAAATTAATGAGGAGTGAACTTCCCAACAGTAATGTTGCAAACACTGATGTTCTCCTAATACATCTTAATTATTAAGTTATCCTATTTCTAATAAATAAATTTTAAATTTTTGGCATCTTATATGATGACGACTAAAAGCTGAGTCTTCAAAAAATTCTGGAGTTACTGGTAGAGGAATGCTGGTGGTAATCGTTGAAGATTCACATATGTAAAAGCGTCATTATGTACCTTGGTCGTAACATTTTGAGTGAAAAGTTCATAAACTGACATTCCAGATGTTTGAATACAACGGTTGAGAGGCAAATTTTAGTCGGCAACTTAAGACTTCAGTCAAGTGTGATAAAGCAGTTGAATGAATGAGGGTAAAATGGATCAACACTAATTTCGTTGTAAGCTACCATTAAGATGTATTTCAGATTTTTGACACTCATATGACTAAATCGCATAGTGAGCGTGTGTTTAAAATATCAAGAGGATGTATATGAAGGTCTGTCATAATTATCTCTGAAGGCTGAAAGTGAAACTGAACGAACAACCGCGGTTGTTTCCAAGAGTGCGTTACACTTCACGTGTTTTTATTTTATTTTCTATCACTTAAAAATTTTTTAGGTTTAGACTTACTATATGCAGTGGTATTTACCTTTAAAATATTGTTTCTTAGGCACTAAAATATCCAGTTTTCAGCACCTTTAGCCCAGACAGAAATACGAAATACTAGGGAGCAGTTGAGCTGCAATCACTAAATGAAGATTCCTTCTCTTTGTTGTTAACGCATGCCTATGGTAGTTTTTGTTATTTTTAGGTGTCATTGTATTTGGCTCAAATAATAGGAGCTGTAGCTACCATAGTTAAAACAAAATTAACGGTAATTTTGTCATAGCTATAACACACGCAAGCATGCGCGTACAGTTACCGACATTTTTTAAAAGTACACTGTAGACCATGAAATTATGATGTACTTAAACTTGAGTTGTCCCTTTAGAGACCACTAGGTGCATTGCGTCACAATTGTGACGCAATAATGGATAACTATCGCCTGTGCACAGACAATGATGACCAGATTTTTCACATTCTGAAATCGTCACTCAGCTGCACATATTGTGTTGGAGTTAATAATACTATTTGGTCACCCAAGCCTCTTCAGATAAAAAGGGGTTCAAACCAGTGACAACAGCCTAGATCGAGGAGTCAGCCACTTCAAACAGTAATAATTTAATACTAGTCGTTATGTCCATACGTTAAATAGCTTTCTGGTAAAGTTAAACTTTAGGGTGCCAAGAGATGCAAATGCATGAGTTACTTTGAGCCGACCAACCATAAAAATGAGTGATTTTTGCACAAAAACGACGTTTATTTACAAGAAACTGCATGAAAACACACTTAACGGGGTATATTTCTTTGATATGACTTAAAAATATGTCCCAGTTATAATGAGTAGTATCAGTTTTTTAGTTAAACCAGTTCCCATAAGTGTATTCATTGAGGTGACTTAAGGTGAGTTTTTTTTTGTGACCAGTTTATTTCTCCTACTCTGTTTTACAGTCCTCCTCAAAAGCCGTCGTTAGAATTACTATGGTTTCTAGTAAGAGGATCGACGACTGTTCATTAGGAGAATGTGGATAATAGAACAAGTTAAAATAAATAATACTAACTTCAAACTTATTTCTAATCATAACCCTAACCTTACTCCTGACTCTAAGCCTAACTTTAATCCTAACCTTATTTATAACTCTTATCCTAAGCACCAGTGTAGTCACCAAATAGTTGGTGTAGCAGTAGGATCACCAATATCCCCTATCGTAGCGGATATATTTATGGAGAGTTGGAAAAATAGTACTCTCAATACATTTAATCCTACTCCAAAAATATGGTGGAGATATGTGGATGACACTTTCTTAGTGTTAAGAACAGAACACATCTCTAGCTTCTTGACACATACATGAACTCACTAGTAGAGGAAATAAGATTCACAGTTGAATCGGAAAATGAACAAGGAGACTTAGCCATGATGTTAGATTGTAAAATAAAATGAACAGGAGAAGGTAGACTGCACACTAGCCAACACGTTCTAGTATTGGGTGTTTTGACTTTAATTCATCCTGTCCGTCATTTGAAAAGGCAGTCTTGGTTAAGTGTCTAACAAAACGAGCAACAACACTAGGTAGTAGAACAAAAATCCTAAATGATGAAATGAAACAGACAGAAGAGACGTTGGTGTTAAATAACTGTCTTATAGAATTCACTAGAAAAATCAAAAAATGTCAAAAGCAAAATGAAAATATTAGTGAAACTAATAGTGATAACATGAATAAGAAAGAATATAAGGCGTCTACAGTTTTACCATATAAGGAGGGGGACATCTGAGACCCTACTTAGGATTCTTAATAAATAGGAATGAGTGGCATTTAAACCTACAAACTCACTCAGGGACAAGCTGTGTAGGTTAAAGGACCCAGTTGAAGCAATTAGACAAAATAATACAATTTACAAAATACCATGCAATGACTGTAAGATCAACTACATAGGTCAAACTTGTAGATCAGGAGTAGTAGTGAGATTATCAGGACATAAGAATTTAGCTAAGGTAAGAATGGTTGACCCCGCCCGAGAAGATAAGTAATTTAGAAAAAAGCTCAGCAATTGCAATGCATGTATTAACACACAACCACACAATAGGGTGGTAGAGGGTTAAAATTCTATAAAGTAATATAGATAGGCGGAGAGAGAGGTGGAATCTACACGCAACACGTGTAATAGGAATGGCTTATCACTCATACCGAAAATATTACTACCAATGAAATCAAGAGACGAGAAATAGTGGAACCATGTAAACGAAGTTGGAAAGTCATATGAGTAACTTGATATGATTATGAGCGGGCGTAAATTGTGCTGGAAACTTGGTCATCAGTAAATATTACAGGATAACACTGTAAAACTTTATCAAAATAAATTTTATCCACAATTTAACCAAATAGCTTAGCGGTAACTTGCCTCATTTCAGCATTAGGTGACTTCGGTTCAAATCTGAGGGAAAGCATCAGTCTCTTCCAGATTGCGGATGTCCTGCTGATGATTGCCACCAAGCACGAGACCTAATTCCAGAGTTTTCTACCAATTGCTTCCAACTATCCATCAGACCTAACTTTCTTATTAGTACATTTTGCATGTTAATTGCCAAATGAAACTATATTTTGTAATCTGCAAAATCATATCTATGTAAGTAGCTTATTAATTGTACTATAGATGATCAGTTTGCTCTTCTGATGATTTCATTCATACCGCTTACATTTTTATGCAGTTAACAATGAGTCATATATCTATCTATAAGGGATAATTATACTACCTTGCTGCTCAAACCTTGATACATCGAGTAGGATATGAGGCCTTCAACTCCTTGGTTGAAACCCGAAATTCTAATCTAAAGCGGTACAGCTCTACTTGGTTTTAATTCTGGATAGCAATGGGTCTTAAGAGGGTCTGTCTTCATCTTTTGAATGTGAATGTGTACCCGCTGAGTGTTAATGTTTGCAGTATGCACTGTTTCGACCAATTTTCTTATCTACTGGTCAATTCAGTCACTTTCTCCCTAAGTATTGTTATACTGATAGAAGGCAGTCGAACAGTTAGTGTGGTTTGCAAGTGGACAGTTATGTGTCATATGATTGGCGGCAATCGGGAGGCAAACCCTGCTTGACCTAACTTTCACACGTTTGTTTGCAACATGTATCTGAAATCTTGAAGAAAATCCTATCTGTTCTGAGATTCAAACTCGAGTCACCTAGTGCTACAGTTAAAGACGTTACCTCTAAGCTGTTCGAAGTCTTGATTCATCTCCTGTAGGACTGTAATTGAAACACGGATTGGTCACTAGAAAGTAACCAATGTTATTCATGTAGTCCTGAGTGCCGGTAGTGAACTGAATTCTTTCACTCCCCGCAATAACAAGCCACCTATCTCGATGTCCTGTATTGCGAAATTGACTGATAGAACTCAGTCAGCATCAATCCTGAGGACTGGATGCATGAGGAGACGCTGAAAAAAATGCAACAGTCTCCTGAACACCTTGAGGAGCAGCAATCTTCGAATGTTTGGTATGCGAATTACTCCTGCTGTCAAATGTAAGATGATGCTGCAGGACCGGACTACATTGACTCCTAGTTTACAAATAGGGAGTGAACTGGTAGAGCACGTTGACCACTTCAGTTATTCGGTAAATTGCATCAGCCAACGCCAGCGAGTTGATCGCTGACGAAATCCCAGCACGAACACAGAAGGCTAGTTTCGCATATTCCAGTTTATGGTGTCTATGGCTATTGACCAAAGGACGTGTGTACTGTGCAGCTGTTTGCTCTGTCCTCTTTTGCGGCTGTGACTGTGACATGGCCGTTGAAAGTGGAAGACATGAAAAGGCTAGCTGTCCTGCATCACAGGTGCCTGCTTTCTATCTCTCATGTTAAGTGGTGGTGTAATAGGGTGAGCAGTATTGAGGTTAGACGTCCAGTGCTAGGTAAGGAGGGAAAATCAACCGATGAGGTTGTGAAATTACACTGATTACGATGGTTAGGAGGTGTGTTACGTATGCTTAGCCATCGCCTTCCTCGATAGGAAATGTCAGCTGATATAGGGTCAGGTTGGAAAAGAGTCAGTGGTGCTCAAACCAAAGCATGGCATCAGTCAACGAAATTCAAAACACTTCTTTTCATCCAGCCACGTAGGAAGGTGTAAACTTCCTGGTTGGAGTCCTCGGGACGGTAAAAACCAATGGCTGGAGACAATTGGTGATATGTCTCAAAGTCATTCTCAGTGACTGGCGCAGATGCATTCACTCCTTGTGATTTATCGTATCCCCCCCCAATAAAACTATATTGTTCTTCGATACTACTATTCCTTTTGCCTCATATTTCTGTTTACTCTCTTTAGTTTGCATTTCTTTTTACTTTCTTCCCTTGCTTTATGTGCTACATGGAGTGTGGCGACTCGAACTTCAGCACATCGGTGCAAAGTTCTATGTTGAAGTCAGTCAGTCAGTGAGATGCATGAGATTAGTTTTTCTGTAGTGATCCATCAATGTAAACAGTTGTTGTGTGACTAAGTGAGTTTCAAAATAGAATTTATCACAGAAGTGCAGTAATTCAAGTTGCCACACTTCATGTAGAACACAAATGTAGAAAAAGAGGAAAAGAAAGATTCAAAAGTTTTATAATGAGCAGAAATGTGTGTGAGAGAGAAAGAATAGTTGCATGGAAAAATACGTGACGGTTTAGTGCATATAGGAGATGAAAAAGTGTGAATGCATTTGCGCTACTGATCCGAGTACCTCAACTAGGCAGTCTACACCTGCTTATATGGCTCAAACCAACGGCCAAAGATCTCATAGATTGGTGCCATGTTTTGATTTGACCACCGATAACTCTTTTCCAACTGAATCCTATATCAGCTAACATTGCTGGTCAAAGAAGGCGGTGGCTCAGCAAGCATGCCACATGTATATGTACCTTCATAACCAACTGGCTTTCTTTGATCATAGGTGTCTGCGTTCTATCTCCCGTGTTAAGTGGTGATATAATAGGGTGAACAATATTAAGGTAAGACATTAGTCGAGTGCTAGATAAGGAGGGGAAATCAATAGACGAGGTGGTGAAGTTACTTCGACTGAGATGGTTAGGACATGTGTTACGCATGCATACTTAGCCATCGCCTTCCTCGACAGTTGGCAATATTAGCTGACGTAAGATGGATCAATAACAAAACTTATCATTGTGTGTAAACTATTAAAATATAATTATACTTTATAAGATGGATCAGGTTGGAAAAGAGTTAGCTAGTGATGGTCAAACCAAAACATGGCTGGCTTCATCAGTCAATGAAATCTACAACAGTTAGTATAAGCGATGTAGAAAAGTGTAGACTTCCTGGCTGGGGTCCTTGGGACGGTAAAAACCAATGTATGAAGATAATTGGTGATATGGGGCAAAATCGTTCTCAGTGACTGGTGCAGATGCATCCACTCCTTGTGATTTATAATGTGTATAAATCTGAAATAATAGAGAATAAATGCAATAAAGCTATATTGTTCTTCCATATTAATATTCTTTTTATCTCATATCTCTGTTTTAAATCTCTTTTTACTCTCTTCTCTTGCTTTGTGTGCTAAGTGTAGTGTAGCAACTCGAAATGCTGCACATCAGTACTAAGTTTTATGTTGAAACTAGTCAGGCATCTTCAAGACCTCAACGATAAATTTTTCCTCCTCTTTATCTAACACTCAGTCGACAACTAACTTCAATATTACTCACCCCATTATACCCACCACGTAACACGGGAGATAGATCGCAGACACTTATGATCAAAGACAGCTGACTAATCTTTTCCTGTCTTCCGCTTTTAATGACCATCTCTCACTCACAGCCATAAAGGTGGACAGGGAAAACAGCTGCACAGTACACACATTCTTTGATCGATAGCCAGGTATCACGTCTACTCCACAGATGAGATAAGTTGTCAAATGCTTTACAAGCCTTTTGAATAGATGCTGAGGTTTTTTTTCAACAATCAGTCGTCCATTAGAGTCTGATACAACTTCCTAAAAATAGATGAGATGTTCAACGGGCTCTACTGCTTCACCCCCACCACCGTAATTTTAAGCTAGGAGTCTGTGTATTGTAGTCGAATCCTTTAGCATCATCTTACATGTGACAGAAGTGAATCGTATCTGGATGTGTGGCGTGTTCTTAAAGTTGATGGTAGAGGAACTTTGGAGGTTCTTAATTCCCTGGTTACTGATTCAAAAATCGATACTACAGCCAAAAGTGTTTATTTCACTCCCAACTATCACCTTATATATCATTTACTTTACGCCTATTAACGTCTCCTTGTTATTTATCTATCTATCTGTGTTACAGTCTCATTATGGATTCGAAGACATCATATTCAGATAATATTGAAGAATTATTAAAACAATCAAAGGATAACTTTAATGCCTTCAAAATTATTCGAGAAAAGCTGACAAAACCGACGATCTCTGTGGAGTACACAAATTTCTTACAAACTCTAACTGAACACTTGCACGAATTACCATTGAATTCTGTGAAAAAGTTATTATTCTCTAGCATTGATCCAAATAACTGGATGATACTCAACAATCCAACTGTTTCAGAGTGCATGATCAATTTATATGTAACAAGTATTTCATATTTTCCAAATTTAACTTATGAAATATGCGAATATTGTATAAATCAAGTATTCTATTTAAAAGATTCTATTGAACAATTGAACGCCATTGATCATTTAAACAATTTAAACAGTATCGCCATCGACTTTTTCACTGGATTATCTCAAAATATATCACATTCAACGCCTATTCTTGTTGATTTGCTAATTAAACGATTTCCAAATTGGCGTAAACCGGTTAGAGAATTACTCTGGGCAACTTTTAGTATTTTATCATTACTTTCATGTCAAAAAGCTTCAAAACTATTAAGTAATACAGATAAGTGTAATGTATTATCAATGATTTTCACCGCGATCATTGAATTAGAATTAAATCCTGATGGTGTGACGCATGAAAATCTATTACCGTTGTTCGATGAAACTACTCCAATGCATGCAGTCTTACAAAAGTTCGACAAAACTGACCTTGAAGCGCATTTAAACAATTTGTTCAACGTCATTCAAGGTTCAATAGTTGATGATAAGAATTGGTTGAAAATTGAACTACTCTCTTGGCTACTTATTTCGTATATCAGTAGTATATGTACAAAGGGGAATGACGATTCAACATCATCATCGCCGTCGTCAACACCACAGTTTGATTGGGATTTATTATGTTCAATATTTCGACGAGCACGTGATCTGTTTTCAGAGTATATTCTTCCTGTAAATATTCCACTGCTAGCATATCCAATGATATGCTTTTATATGTGTAGTCTACGTGGTGGTTTAGTCATTAGTTTTATTGATTTCTTGTGGAATACCATCAAAGATGAACATCGTGATCAAGGTAGTCGTTTAATGGCCTTATCTTATCTTTGTTTTATTCTGGTGAATGGGAAATTTTGTTTTATTGATCTGGTAATTGAAATACTGCATAATATGACAACATGGTGTATCGACTATACGTATAGACATCGTCGACAGTTAATGGTCGACGGTGGTGTAGTACATTCAACAATTCTAGTAACAGAGAATAAACTCTACTATGCTGTATGCGATGTATTAATCTATATATTTGTTCAATTGCATAGTGAGTTGTTGCGTAAAGAACACTTGGAAAGTTGTAATCGTCTACCGATGGCACAGATTAGTATATCACCATTTAAACCGTTGTTGCATACACCAAGGAGATTACGTCAAACATTTTTTCAAATTATTTCTGTTTATCATATGAGTTGGTCTACAATTGGTTTAACTCAATCAATCAATGATGATGTGTTGAAGGAGAGCAATGAGGCAGTTTTGGATTGGATGACTGTGGAAAGTATTCGTTCATTACAACCGAGTAATATATTACAAATGTCGGGTGGTTGTACTCTGTCACTTTCATCAATTGTTATTAATCGTTTGTTTCGTGATATTCGATTAGGTGAACGTTTAATTAGTAGTAATAATAGTAATAATAATAATAGCAATGAGAATGTACCAGAACAAGGTGAAAGCAACTCGATTTATGGTGTTCAGGAGAAAGTACCACTGAAGTCACCGAGAAAAAATAAACGAAAAGCATCAAGTGTTGAAGATCTGGAAGTGGAGAGTACTACTACTACAAATGGTGGGTTGATTACAAAACATTCAAAGATTGATGAAACTTCTACTTGAATAATCTGTAGAAGACTTTCTTAACATTATACCATTTTGTATATACGTATATATTTTAACATATTTAACACAGAGGGTTTTAGTTCATTCCGTTTTTGCTTTATACTTGTACATATCAGGTGGGTTTTTTTAAAAAAATATATCAAAAATATAACATTTTAAGATTAATGTCTGTTTTTTATTTTACTTAATTGGATTTAAAATTGTGGAATTTTCAAGTATTGGTTTTGTAGGGATTTTGTTTGATTGCATGGAGGATTTTCATCATGAGCTGACTAACATCAGTTAGAGAAGCACTGGAAAACCAGCTGGAAGTACTGGACAGCTGTTTCCTCCATCCTAGTTTGGGACTCTTCATCAGTACGCATCCACCGCCAGGGTTCGAACCCAGGACCTTCTGGCTACAAGGCTAGCGAGCTCATAGACCATTGAGCCACTCATTGGGACCCAAACCAATGGTCGATGAATTCTAACTTCTGCCAATTCATGCACAACATAGCGCGACCATTTCGCAATGTCTTTTTTTGATGAGTTACTGTCTCATCTTCAACCTGCTGTACCCTACTGGTCACGGCTTCTCACCAGAACCCCAGGTTAACTGCCTGAATATTGCCAGTCACTAGAGAGCATCAGATTAATTTCCAAGTATTGGTTTTGTAGGGATTTTGTGTTTGATTGCATGGAGGATTTTCATCATGGAGAAGTGTGTGGAATTGTTTGTTATGATATTATAAGAAACACAGAAAGAGGAAACTCCATTATGTGAATAAAATTTTACTTTGATAAAACACACAGTGTTGTGTTGCACAGTAATATTTACGATTGATGACTGCGTTTCGAGTACAATTTATTACTGCTCATAATTTAATATGAAGGCACTACTCACACAACTCGCTTGCTTCATTTACATACATGAGTAAAAATTGATGATTAGACATTGGAATAAAATCAATATAAGATGATAAAGTACATTCGGAAATAATAATATTATTTTCATTTTGATTACAGCTTGATTCCACACTGTATTTTTGGTACAAGTATGGAATTTTCAGCATGTGATATCGGTAGCCCAAATTTCACAGGCCGACCATAGATATCAGGTGTGCGTCTGTGGGGGGGGGGATCGAACCTCGGACCATGTGGATGGTCGGCGAGAGTCCTAACCACTGTACCACCGACATAATACAATCAGATGGGAAATAAGATGTTTTTATAGTCAAAATAATAAGTAACTTGTTAGAATGCTATAATGTGAATTGAATACGATTTAACATTATTTATTCCCCTCTGGTTTGACTGGTGGTAATAATATCTCCTATATCTCTGGTATTTGCATTGAGTCATTTCTGTTGCATGTGTTGGGTGTAGACTCAATGAACAAGGCAGGATTCAGTAATCAACCTCTCTCTCCACCTACCTAGATTACTTTTTCGAATTTTAACCCTCTCTTACGCACCCTATTATGTGGTTGTGTGTCAGTGCATGCAGTGTGATTGTTGAGCTGTTTTCTAAATTACTTATCTTCTCGGGTGAACCATTTTTACCTTAACTTATTTCTTATGTTCTGATAATCTCACTACTCCTGATCTACTAGTTTGACCTATATAGTTGACCCAGCTCAGTCATTGCAAGATATTTTGTAATATATAATATTTTGGTTTAATTGGGTCAACAGGGTCCTTTAGCTTACAGAGCTTGTCCTAGCTGAGTGAGTTTGTAGATTTGAATGCCACCCTAATTCTTGCTTTATTAAGAATCCTACGCAGTGTCTACGATGTCTCCTGTTTATATCATAAAACTGTAGGTGCCTTATATTTTTCCTTATTTATGTTATCATTATTATCAAGTGTTGGTTTTGTAGGGATTTGGTTTGATTGTATGGAGGATTTAATCATGAGCTGACATCAGTTAGAGAACCACTGGAAAACCAGCTGGGAGTACTGGACAGCTGTTTCGTCCTAGTTTGGGACTCCTCAACAGTACGCACCCACCGGGGTTCGAACCCAGGACCTTCTGGTTACAAGGCGAGCTCGTAAACCATTGAGCCACTGGGACCCGATCCAATGGTTCTTGCGACTGGCCCTATTCAGGCAGTTAACCTGGGGTTCTAGTGGGAAGCCGTGACCAGTAGGGTACAGCAGGTTGAAGATGAGGCAGTAACTCATCGAAGAAGACATTGCGAAGTGGTCGCGCTATGTCGTGAATTGGCAGAAGTTAGAATTCAAGAACCATTGGATCGGGTCTCAGTGGCTCAATGTTCTACGAGGTCGCCTTGTAACCAGAAGGTCCTGGGTTTGTACCCCGGTGGGTGCGTACTGTTGAGGAGTCCCAAACTAGGACGAAACAGCTGTCCAGTACTCCCAGCTGGTTTTCCAGTGGTTCTCTAACTGATGTCAGCTCATGATTAAATCCTCCATATTATCATTATTAGTTTCGTCACGAAGATAAGTAATTCGGAAGAAAAAGCTCAGCAACAGCACTGCATTCATTAACAAAACCACGAAGTAGGGTTTGAGAGGGTTAAAATTCTAAAAAGTAATGTAAGCAGGTGGAGATTGAGAGAAAGATTGATTACTGAATCCTAGTTCTTACAGTTTACTACACCCAACACATGCAATAGAAATGACTCAACACAAATACCAGAGATATGGAAGATATTATTACCACCAGTCAGTCAAATCAGAGGAGGATAATAAATAATGTTAAAATGTATTCAATTCACATTATAACAAGTTATTTATCTTTACTATAAAACTTCTTATTTCCCATCTGATTGTATTTGATTGATAACATAAATATTATTATTCCCGAATGTACTTTATCATCTTATATTGATTTTATTCCAATGTCTAATCATTAATTTTTGCTCATATATATAAATGAAGCAAGCGAGTTGTGTGAGCAGTGCCTTGATATGCGATTATGAGTAGCAATAAATTTGTGCTCGAAACGTGGTCATCAGTAAATATTATTGTATAGCAAACACTGTGAGACTTTGTCAAAATAAAATCTTATCCATAATGGAGATGTAGTCTATCACAGTGCCCAAGTTTTATACTGATAACAAGAAGAGGAAATTCATCGAAGAGTAGTCATCTTTCTTAGATTATAGGGATTTTAGATTAGTTTCAATTGTGTTAGATTTTCATTGAGAACATCAGTTAAAAAGATCATTGAAGACGAGTGGAAAGCACTGATTGGGTAGTTAGCTGCTTCGTCCTAGATTGGGACTTTTCAGGAGTGCACGTCCATGTCTGCACTGCCAAGAATCGAACACAGGACTTCCAGGTTAGGAGACTAAGCTTGTTGACTATTCAGCCACTTGAGGTGGAATTCAATGATCCATTCTCAACCAATGCGTTCGATAAGGATTCACTTCACTTTGACATTGTGGATTCCTACTACAGCTTCAGGTATTCGGTCCATTAGCCATCTGTGAGCCGGTGGTTGATAATCGTAGTATAGAAAGTTGTGGTCAGCTGGATCCAACATGTTAAGGTGAAGTGGGTTGCTCATCGAAGTCATCTGTGTGTTTTTAAAAATTTTTACTCCCTTTACGTTCCCAGTGAAACATACGGCTTCAAACGAGAGCTTTAAAGTTTCGGTAGCAGTGGTATTTATTTTTATGGGATGCCCAACTTTCCGTCTTCACCAGTCTTGTCACTGGCTTAGGGAGGTAAAAGAGTGCATCGGCCGGTGCTTAAACCCCGAACCACGTGTGGTGTGGTTGATGAGCATTCTACCGTTGTGCCACCTGCGCACATTTGTGTGAGGGTGGCGCTATATTAAGAGCCGGCAAAGTTAGAATCTCTGGGGGTCATTGAATTCCAGCCTAAGTGACTGAATGCCCAAAGAACTTGGTCTTTTAACCTGAGCGGTCCCAGGTTCGATGCCCGGCAAAGTTATGGGCGCTTACTCTGAAGAGTTCCAGGCTAGAATGAAACAGCTAGCTATCCAGAGCTCCCTACTGGTTTTCAATGATCTCTCCAACTGATGTTAGTTCGTGACAAAGATCTAACGATTGAAGGATATCACTTTAGTGATTTCATACTCTTGAGTAGCTGTACAACCATATTTATTAAATCTACTAAAACACATATTTCGTTCATTATAGGCACTAAGAGATGCGTCACACAAATTATTACCTCACTGATTGTGGAAGGACTGGGATCCTCCCGGACATCCGAACCGGGACCATCCTCCTACCGAGCCTTTGACATGAAGTCTGATCCATAAGGCGGTGGAGAAGTGACGGGAGATACGTTCCCATGGTTTCCCAGTGACGAAAACTGTTTCAAATATGCCTTTTGATCCTTTTAGATTCTGGAGCTCGTGTATATTACAGATGGGATACGTAAGGGTAAAGCAGTCCGGTTCGTAAGCTACCAGATGTTTGCACTTGCCCTTTTACTATTGTAAAAAACATCTTTGCCGCATGAAGGCGGTGAACAGGACTTATCTGGCAGTGTCTACGAAGGTGTGGCCACATGAGGCAGATAGAGAGAGAGAAACATTTCTAGAGGAAGACCAAAGTCCACTCACCTTCGGCCGCGTAGCACGTCGTCCTCATACTTACAATTATTGTTAAGTTATTCAACATAGTAACAAAAGGTGATATAAATAAAGTTTGAATATAAATCACAAGTGGCGTAGAAACAAAGTACTACAAGATTGGCGAAATAGTTGTGTAATATGTAAACTAGGTTAATAACGAATAAAGGTGTTGTGAATGGGATGCGCATAGAAACAAAGTGAAATAATAATAATTTTTACAAGCTAAGATGAAAAGGCATGCGAGGAATGAAGAACCAACAACTAAGAAACCAAATGGATCTAGATCCATGGTAAATGTAGAACTAACTTAATTTTGAGTGAATAACTCCGCCTTTTCAATGCATATAGCTAGGGCCTTTGTAGTCCACAAAAATCGAACTTTAAGACGCGTATTTTGTTTTATTTGTAACTCGTCAGCTGGATATACTTCCACCCATGGAGTTTTGACTGAGATAAGAACCCAGTATCCAGTGAGTTTCAAACATCAAAGCGTTATTCTGTTGTGTATACAAGAAGCCAACATGTTTATTGAACATTTCTGGCCAACAAGAACAATTAACGGGGAATTTATAGAAATTATCATAGGAGTAAACATGTGCAATAACTTTACGTCAGTAATGATCTGAATCTTGGTCTTTTTATTTCATATGCGATAGATTTCTACACACTGATTTCAGATTAATGAAGGTCTGTTTTACTTTGCCGATATCCTGGCTAGCTTTGACTTCCTCATCGGTGGCGACACTTGGGGCTAAAACGATGCTGCACTTTAGTTTACATGAAATATCCGGGGGGGGGGATTTTGCATTCAAGAATGGATTATTCTCCCACCTTTTTTGTTTTTGAGACGAAAGAGATGGAAAAGGCGTCAGCGATAGGTAACACCAGACATCTATTTAGACTTATCAGGGAAACAGGTGGTAAAAAGCAAATGATAAGTGAAACAATCTCTGAGAAAAATGGCACCATAATTAGGTCCCAGGATAGACGACTGGAAAAAACACTTTGAGGAGGAGTTTAACCAGCCTACAGACGCGCTCAACCTATCCTAAATTCAATACCTCGCTGAATGGAAAATAAACACAGGTCCGCTGTCTGTAAATGAGGTCACAAAAGCTATCAGTAGTCTGAATCTAGGCTAAGCTGCGGAACCTGATGAAATAACTCCAGAGGTGTTCAAGCACCGTGGAGAGAGTTTACTGTCTGCGTTAACTAAGTTATAAGGCAGCGTCTGGAAATCAGAGGAAGTCCCAACGGGTTGGTGTAAGCCATTGATTATCCCATATACAAGAAGGGAGACAAGTCTTGTGATAATTACAGGGGGATTAGCTTCACCAATATGGTATCTAAGGTTCTAGGCCCAATAATCATGTGTAGACTAAGCGGTGCTCGGGAAGAGCAAACACTAGAGAACCACGCAGGTTTTAGAGCAGAAATAGGGTGTATTGATCATATCTTCACTCTTCGACAGATTCGGGAACATAGGGATACTTACCAGTGGTGTCCAACAAACGTCATATTTTTTGAGCTGAAAGCTGTATCCGATTCCGTCAACCTAGAGGTGTACTCTGGCGATGTTTGACTGTAAAAGGAATGCCGAGAAAATACATTGCACTGATCAAGGCACTCTACTCGAACTCACACAGCCAGCCAGGTGAGAGCCTACGGACACTTGTCATCTGAAGTAGTGAAAACCAGTGGTATCCATCAGGGATGCCCACCACTGTTCTCATAACTTCTGTTTAATTTCATCATAGATGTACTAATAGACTTAACTCTAAGTGACTTTAGCCACTCAGGGATTGACTTCTTACCACCAGGGAATAATCTCGTTGACTTAGAATATACGAATGGTATAGTCTTCCCTCTGAGATGAAGACGATGAAAAAACTCAGTCTTCTAAACACCTTAAGGAGCAGCAATCTTCTAACGTTTGACATGCGATTCGCTCCTGCTGTCAGATGTAAGGTGACGCTACGTGATTGGACTACATTGACTCCTAGCATAAAGATAGGCAAGAGTGAAGTGATAGAGCGTGTTGACCACTTGACTTATTTGGGGGGAAGTTGCATCAACCCACTCCAGCGGGTTGATCGCTGACGAAATCTCAGCACCGATAAAGAAGGCTCATTTAGCATATGCAAGTTTACGCCGTCTCTGGCTTAATAGACGTGATACCAGGTTGGCTGTCGACCAAGGGAAGTGTGTACTGCTCAGCAGTCCGCTCCGCCATCCTTTATGGCTGTGAGAGACATGGCGAAGCGTCTGAAGTGAAGACATGGCTTCTGCCTCTGCCTACTATCACCGTTGATATTACGAATTGTGGTGAAGCAGATTATGCGGAAGATTGTGGGATGCGGGAAGACAGGAATACGTTGCACCAACAAGAAACAACAAAACTCGTTTATATTCATCCAAATGTCACAAGAGAATTTATTTTGACAATATACACAAATTCTATTCACATATATAATACAGAAAAATAATAATCTGTAGTGTATGGAAAATAAAAAAGTGGCCAAAAAGAAGACTATTGTACACAATCAGAACAGGAGGGGAACGGATACAACAGGGCGGGGTTTGAGGGGATAGTTAACTGTACACAATTGTGTCTGTATTTTGGCCTGTTCCTCAGCGTCCAAACGATGATTCTAATTCAAACCATTGTCGTAAGGCGTCAGCGAGTAAATTCGGTAAGCAGGCTAAATCACGTAGAACTAAGTAGTAGGGCAATGGGAAGACATCCATATACGGTTGTAGTTTACCTGGGCCACAATATCTCCGAAGATCAAATATAGAATGCTAAAGAAAAAAAAATACAAAAATTAAAGTTTGAAAAAATACTTTAAAGCATACACATACTACTTACTAGTAGATAGAGTTGTTGATGAGAAATCTTCAAGTGTTAGTGTGTAGGCGGTTTGATCGACACCACTTTAGACGACAGGGTACTGAACAGATGTTTTATCTATCCATCCAACCATCAGGCGATCGAACCTAGAGTATTTGGGTTGCGGAGTAAGCCACTAGTATGAAATCTAAAATGGTCCATAAATTCTAATATCTACCAAACCCGCGATACACAAAACAACTACAGCAAAGTGTGAATGAATTCACCGCTGAAAAAAGAGATTCTTCGCGCTGAAATTTTTCTTCTTCTTATATTCATGTCTGGATGGCGGTGTTTTCTGTGAATTATTACTAACTGAGAAGTGAGTGACTAGTAGGGTGCAGCAGGTCGGGTGTGAGGACAAATACTCGCCGAAGACATTGGCTAGGGGTCGCGTTATGTCGTGAATTGGCAGAAGTTTTGAATTCATGGGCCATTGGATAGGGTCCTAGTGGCTTAATGGTATACGAGCTCGCCTTGTAACCAGAAGGTCCTGGGTTCGAACCTCGGTTGGTGCTTACTGCTGAGGAGTCCAAAACTGGGACGAAACAGCTGTCCAGTACTCCCAGGTTTTCCAACGGTTCTCTAACTAATGTCAGCTCATGATGAAATACTGTAACCAATCAGCTAAATCCCTACAAACCAACACTTCAATATGTGTATATTTTTTGAGCAATTTATAGTCGTATTTAGTGCCTTTATTACGTTATGTAAATACGACTGCCTACTACGGCTATTAGAAAATGAAGTCGATGGAATTGACATATACTTCTTCGCTGAATAGAAAAAGGAAAACCCGATTTCTTAATATCAATGAATAAATCGGCAGAATTTGTTTGATTTAAATTTAGCTAGCCAACTGTCATCAGTGAGAGAACTATTGGAAAGTCAGCTGGGAATGCTGTACTGGCCAGTTGATTCATGCTTGTCTGGGACTCTTTATCAGGGTTCGAACCCAAGATCTTACGATTTACAAGGCGAGCTCGTAGACCATTAAGCCACTGCAACCCGAACTCAATGGTCCATGAATTCCAACTTCTGACCGTTCGCTTTATATATATTTAGCGCAATCGCCAACCAATGTCACGGGCGGGTAACTGTTCTCTTGCCTAACACTTAGCGGACTCCGCTAGTTACGACTTCTCCCCAGAACTCCAGATAACTTCCTGTTTAGAGCTAGTGAGCATCAGATTGATTGTCAGGTGTTAGTTTGCAGGGATTTGACTGGTAACAGGATTGATCTCAAGCAAGAGGACAGTTATTCGCTAAATATATATCTCGAATCGACAGAAATTGGAAACCATGGTCCATTGGGTCAGGTCCCAGTAGTGACTGAATCGTCTACAAGCTCGTCTGGTACGTAACAGCAAGGTCCTGGATGCGGATTGCTGAAGAGTCCGAAACAAAGACGATGCAGTTAGCTGTCCAGTGCTCCCAGCTGGTTCTCTAACTGTTGTCAGCTTGCGAGCGATCCTGGAATGAACAGATATTTCGTCCGGGTACGACACACCACTACCCATAGTGGTTCAAACGGATGACATCCAGATTTACAAGGCAAGTCGCTGGGGGCAGAAATTCAATCGCTCATGAATTCTAACCCCTGCTAATTCGAGATGCATAGCATGACCACCATTCAGTGTCGTCGATTAGTATTCGTTCTGACATTTGGCAATCCCTACAGATAACGACTGCTCACTAGAAATTCAGATGACTTGATCCTGTAATTATACAATGAACTGACATAATTAAGGATGAACTCAAAGTTAGACAAGGTAAAAGTTGAACAAACCTAAAACAGTAAAACTTAAACGGGAATTTACCTTTTTGCGTACATCATCCAGAATAAGACAGACAGGGAATATATGTGAATCACGTGCCAATCGTACTGCAGCCTGTAAAGACTGACTTTGTGGGTCTTCGGAGAAAACACCATCTGACAGAATTAATAACAGTTGACTAGGTATTGTACTCGAAGAGTTTGTATAACCGATCGAATTCATAAGATGGATAGTACAATGAAGCAACTGAAATGAATAGAAACAGAGACAGGCATTGAAATTACTGAAGTCGAGAAAAAAGACTTCCACAAAGTAATATCAATAAATACTTGAGTTATGCTGTATTTACGGTATTGCTTTTGTTTGAGCGGTTAAAGGATTTCATCATGAGCTGACATCAGTCAGAGAAGCATTGGAAAACCAACCAGGGAGTACTTGACAGCTGTTTCGTCCCTACAGCTGGGAACTCTTCATCAGCGCACACCCATCACCAGGGTATGAACACCCAGGACCTTCTGGTTACAAGGCGAGCTAGCTCGTAGACCATTAAGCAACTGGGACCTGCCAATCCAGTGGCCAGTCCATGAATTCTAACTTCTGCCAATTCATGACACAGCGCGACCAATTCACAATGTCTTCTTCGATGAGTTACTGCCTCACCTTCAAACTGCTGCACCCTACTGGTCACGGCTATCCTGTAGAACTCCAGGTTAACTGGCTGAATAGGGCCAGTCGCTAGTGAGCATCAGATGTCACCTTATGATGAAATCCTCCAACTTATGCTGTATCTTTTCTCCTAAGTTGAAATTTCTCTTTGGAAACAGAAGATCACTTCAGAGTAACCTGCTTTTGAAGATATGTGAACTCAAATGGGTGACCCACTGCAAGTGAGAATATAAAAGGCTCACACATCGGTTGGAATCACGACAAATACCATTGGTATACAACAAAAACTTTTAGGAGTTAAGTGTATTGCGTAACAGTGTTACGCTTGCCCGGCGGCTACCGTCAATCTTAAACTGTAACCAAACGAGCTAGGATTTGAAGGAATTTAAGTAGCAATCAATAAATTTCCTGGAAAACTCAAAAATGATGACTGACAAATCTAGTCAATGTGGTTCAAAGTCGAGTTCACAGAAACAGATACTTTCCAACACTATCACATGCAGCAGACGGTGTGGAGAAACAAGATGGGTATACGATAGACAGAAAAAAAGACTAAAAGATTTGCATTTCCCAGCTGATGATTTATGTTTCAGGTCACACCAACTTGTCTGTCTGTCTGTCTGTTTTCAACATAGAACTTTGTACCGATGGGCAGCAGTTCAGGTCGCCACACTCCCTCCATGTACTACACAAAGCAAGAGAAGAAAGTAAAAAGAAATGCAGAGTAGAGATAGTAGGCTGAGATATGAGAGAAAAGGAATAGTAATATCGAAGAACAATATAGTTCCACTGGATATTAAAAGTCACAAGGAGTGGAAGCATCTGCGCCAGACATTGAAAACGATATTAAGTCAGCTATATCACCGATTGTCTTCAGCCTTCATTGGTGTTTACCGTACCTAGGACACCAACCAGGAAGCCAGTCTACACCTTCCTACGAAGCTTAAACTAACTGTTGTGGATTTCATTGACTGATGAAGCCTGTCATGTTTTGGTTTGACCACCAACCACTAGCTCTTTTCCAGGCTGACCCTGTTGTCGAGGGGGGCGATAGCTAGACATACGTAACACATGTCCTGACCATCTCAGTCGAAGTAACTTCACAGCCTCGTCGATTGAAATTCCCCTGCTTCCCTACCTACCACTCGACCGGTGCCTGACCTCAATATTGTTCACCCTATTATACCACCACTTAACATGGGAGATAGAACGCAGATGCATATGCTCGAAAACAGATAGCTAGCTTTTTCATGTCTTTCACCATCAATGGCCAGGTCCCACTCACAGCCATAAAGGCGGACGGAGAGGACTGCTGAGCAACACACACGTCCTTTGGTCGATAGCCAGCCAGATATCACGTCTACACCAGAGACACCAGAAACTGGCATATGCGAAACTAGCCTTCTGCATCTGTGCTGAGATTACGTCAGCGATCAACTCTTTGGCGTTGGTCGATGCAACTTCCCAAATAAGTGAAGTAGTCAACGTGCTCTACCACTTCACTCCCTATTTCTAAACTAGGAGTCAATGTAATCCAGTCCTGTATAAATATTTAAGTTCATACAAACTTAAAGATTTACACTCAAAAACCAACAAGCTGACAGAAGACGCAGGGAAGACAGGACTTCAGTTGGACACAGAGAAGACAGATGTGATAAAAATACCTTAACCAACAACAACATGTACGTATCAATACCAATAAGAGAAATCTAAAGGACAGATGAAGATATGAAAGCCAAGCTCGGGAATGAAAGGTCTTCATTAGCCTGAAATCTGCTGTACTCAATATATTATGCGAAAACATGATCCTGATTTTCGCCATTAATGTCAAGTCAGTCAGTTCACAGGCGTGGTGCGTCCAGGAGAGAGTTTTCAACAGGCTATTAAAGACTTCTATCAATATCTGCCCTCTTCATTCGATTTGGAAAATCAAATCATCAGGATGGATAGACAACGAGGAACTCTGGCAGACAGAGAACCAAGCAAGAATCTATTAAAACAAGATTTTGAGCGAACAATTGTGGTTTCGATGACTTCTTCTACAGGCTCTACAGTTATAAATCCATGAATAATAGAGTACATATAGCCAATAAAGGCAAATGACACTAATATCGGAAAACTGTATTGGGGTGCATGTGTAAGTTGAGATGATAGTCCATTAGTTAGCATAGTCAATTAAATGTGTATAGGGTGTATAGTCAGCAAAAATGTGAATGAACAATTGGGTGATATAGTGTTATTTTATAGTCAACAGAATACAAGAGTCTTTGGGGTGAGAGAAATGCGATAACCACAAAATACATACAAATACACGTCGACAAAGGAGGCACTGAATATGAGGGCTGACCGATGATTTGTGATGATAAAATAAAGAGGCTAAATTGTAAATTGTAATAAAATGCTACAGAATTGGTAGGCTTAGTATAAAATCATAAAGGTAGACGAAAATTAAGGGTAACAATGAGGTGAAGTAAACTGGGTGGAGAAATGAATAATAAGGACATGGTATCACAAAATAATAATAATGATAATAATAGTATGAAAAATTATTATCCTGGTGACCTCATAGTGGGGCCAGGGTAGACAAAGAGAGTAAGTTTTTTATGTACACATAGGTCTGGTCTCCCTCTATTAATCTCTAAACAATCTATTGCTTAACAGGTTATGCAGAAAGAAATAGAGGTAGAGTGACCATACGCTGAGGACACCATCAAGTGGTATCACACAAACACACGTGAAGTCCTCGGGTGTAATCCGAATGAGAAGTGACGGAATGGATTTCAAAGGACGAGATGGATAGGATCATGAGATCTAGGAAATGAAAGCTTATGAACAGCCGTGGAATCAGCTGAAAGTGATAGCCGTGAACCGAATGCAATCAAGATGTGACACTGAAGTCCTGCGGTTCTCCTCAGGATGAATAATAATAATAATAACAAAATAGGTATCAAAAAATATGGAAGGGGGGTGTGTGAGTCGCAGGCTGAAGCGAAGAAATCGTTGGGGGAGGAGGGAAGTATTCAGCGAAAACAACTACTGACGACTTACCTGAACTAGTGATGTCTTCGGCTGTTCAAAAGTGAATTGACTTAACACACGAGGACCAACATCTGTTGCCCACGGATCCTTTGGGTCGTGTAGAACACGTACTGATTCACCAAAGCTATTTATGTATACATCAAAAACAGTAATTATTATGAAGCATATAGAAATTTGTAAGAAGAGATTCATTAGCACAATAAATGTAAAATGTAATTCACATTTACAAACTAAGCACCGCGTTCAACATTGAGACTACCGTTAGTAACTGTCATACAGACACTAGGACACATGTCTAGCATGCTGAGCCACCGCTTTCCTAGACTAGCAATGTTAGCTGATATAGGTTTAATTTCCATGGGAGTTTTAAGCGGTGGTCAAACCAAAAACACGGAACCAATCCATGAAGTATTTGACAGTTCATGTGAACCATGTAGGAAGGTGTGGACTGTCTGGTTGAAGTCGTCTTTGGGATGTTGAGAATCAATCAATAACTGGAGGCTGTTGGTGATACGGTGTACAGATGAATCCACTCTATATAATCTCCAAATATCCATTAAATCTCCATGGGTTTCCGATCATTGTACGTCGTTTGAATTCCTTTTTAGCTCTTTTCTCCACCTTAGTATGTTAAGTGGAGTGTTCCACTGGCGATTTGAACTGTTGTACACGATTATATGCAGTTTTATGTTGAAACCCAGTTAGTCAGTCAGCCAGTTTAACAAACAGAATCAAACACTCACAGTTGAATAAACTTAGGAGCTAGATCTCGTCATGACATCTAAATATTATTATTTCCTTTAGCTCCTCGAGGAACATAGGGCTTCAGCTGCGCATCTCCATTGCCTTCGGTTTTCTGCCAACTTTCTCACCCCGCTCCAAGTCTGCCCACATGCTCTCATCTCACATTCACATGACCTCATCCGAGTCACCTTCGCACTGACGACCAAATCGCCACTTCCCATTCGGGCTCCACTCAAGCGATGGCTTGTCTAGTGATGTCACTTGATGGTTTCCTCAGAGTATGATCAATCCATCTCCATTTCTTCCTGCCTATTTGTTTCACAATCGTTTCCTGCTGGGTTGGTTCGCTCATTGCCAGAGATCCCTGTTGCTGATCTTTTCTGGCTGGCTATCTGATCTTGAGTATTGAGCGAAGACAACTATTAATGGTCTGAAGTTTGTTTGAGGTGCTCTTTATGATGCACCAAGTCTCTGGTCTGTATAGTAGCACTGACTGACCTCACATTGGAGTTGAAGGTCCGGATCTTATTTTTGATACTGAGTGCCGTTGACATCCACACAGACTTGAGAGTAATGAAAGCTTGTCTTGCTTTTCCGATTCTTGCTTTGATATCCTCGTCAGTTCGGTCGGCCTGTAGTTGAAACGATGCTTCTCAGGTCGATAAGTAGGTAAAGGAAGTTGTTTCTTTCAGATTCCTCTCATTTATGCTGGCTGACTGTTGTCTGTTGTTGTTGCTATTGGTGTTGGCCAGGAATCTTCATCACCTACCTCTGTTTTATCTATGTTCACCTGAAGTCCTACCTTTCATGCTTCTTCTGCCGACTTGTTGCTTCGCATCACTTGCATATCTTCCAGTTTGTGGGAAATCACACATATATCATCGGCGAAGTCCAGATTCTCCAAGTCGTTTTTTGTGTGGGTCCATGATATCTTAAAGAAACTCTCAAATATTGAAATTACACTTAACAACACAAGGGAAGATCAAGATTGAAGACAGGTGAGAAAAGAACTTTACGAGATTATAAACTATTGATTGATTGATGAACTGAAAATCGGTGTCATAGTATCTAGATCAATGTGATTGAATTACGTAGCATACATGTGACAATCGCTGGAGAGTTAGTCAGTCTCTATTGCCAGCCAGCATACTTTGCGAAATCCGTCAAAGGCTGATAAGTTAGAAGAGCGAGAAGCGGGCGCTGTGTTATGTGCAAGTCAAGTCATTGGGTGCAGCATTGGTTACCTCTTCGCCAGCCTATATCATTCTATTCTAAACACTATCACACACGTTCTGATTCCTGATGTCAGGACTGCCTACTGCTCGGATAGTAGAATATCGGTATATGATCACTTTTTACCACTGTTCGAAACAAGTTTAGGTAAATCTCTCCCAATTTTGTAATCGATAACATTCTGGAGACATCTATGAAGGATGTATATAGAGGGTGATGGTGGCAGGGGTATAGACCCCCCTCGTTGTACTATTGAAGTAAGCAAACATCTATCACAGTAACATAGTGAGCATAAAGAATAGAAGCACCACGGAGAACACAAACACACCATTGACCTTGAACACACACCATCCGTCAAGAATTACAGAACCTACCGTGCATTCTATATCAAAAAGTCGTTTATTTATTTGAAAAATTAGTATGATCATAGGGAAACACATTAGAGAAGATATTCTACTTCGACGTAAGTGAAAATTACTTCCCAATTATAATGAAAGGGGGGTATCAGTTTTCAGGTTTTATAGCTATCAAAATGGTTTCATCTACAAGAACAAGGAAATACTCTCCTTCGCTTAACTCTAATCCTAACCACAACCGCGATATGAATGCCAATCTTAACTTGAACCTCAATTCGTGCACAGTGTTCATGTTGATGTGCTGAAAGTCATTAGTGCGTCCGCACCTCTTGGTTGGCTGGTAAAACACATGCAGAATAAACACTTATAAGTTATTGTGAGATTCAAACATCTAGATTTAGTGTCGGCGGGGGGTTGGCATGATATTGGTCAACGTAAAACATATAACCTTTATCATCATCATATGAAAAACAAAAGATTTGTACATACCTACAAACTCCGATTCGACCAACTTCAAGAAGATTCAATGCTGTGACAACAGTTGTCAGTGATTCAAAAGTCATCTACAAAGAAAAAGAAGGAGATACTTAGATCTACTTTTCTGAAGACGAAGAACTCATAAATTGTGAGAGAGTGAAATTTCTTTAGTTTAGTACATAAAAATCAGAACATACAGAAATATCGAACATTGTGGGATTCAGCTGTGATTACAATTAATTTCCTATGGTAGATTTCACAGTGAAATAAAAAATGGAGAGCACGGAACACCTGTTTCACTCCATTTACTGACTCTTCAGCAGAGATGGAGTCTTAAACCTCCACGTTACGAGACAGCCCATGTTCACCACACAGTTTGGTGGATTCTATGAGTCACAACGTATTATAATTACAGGAAGTCCACTATGATTGTTGTTCTCTTGAGTTCCGAGTGGCATATGAGGCTTCAACAGCAGATCTGCAACAGATCATTCTGATCTTTGCAGTCCTCTTTAGCTGGCTTCTCACGACGGCCATATAATCCCTGTCATCCCCTCCACATTATTCCCGCATCTACGATCAACTCGTCATTTTCCATTCGGGTTCCATTCGAGCGATGACTTGATGCAGGATGCCACTCAACGTGTGTCCGCTAATCCAGCTCCATTGCCTTCGACATAGATATCTCGGACGATAGGTTCTTGGTTGATCTATTGGCAGAGTTCCTCCTTGTCACTACTCACTTATGCTTTCTGGCTGGTCATCTGAACTGACAGAAATGATTCTTATGACTCTGGTACCAAGAATCCAAAACGTATAGGGGCACTGTCTGGCTTGACGTTAATGTCAGACATCTGAAATCTTGTTCCCTTATACTGTGTATGCAGTCCATTTACAAACAGATTTCAGATTCATGAAGGTCTGGCTTTCTTTGCTATCCTCATCTGTGCCAACTGCCTACAGTTGAAAGCAGTGATCTCCAACAAATTTCTCCCGTTGATCGTGATTAGTTAATCCTTGTCGCTGGTTAGCTATCTCAAGTCACTCATAAGTGACATTTAAAACAAGCAATAAATGTGGTTAATAAAGCAAGATTTAATGAATTCATCAAATTTCAGTAGAACTCGTCAGCTGAATACTCTACATACACGGATATATATATATATACTATTACAAATACATTGGGAGATATAAGACTGATAAGTAAACAAACTACATTGAATTAATCATGCAGAAAGACAGGCCATGTTCAAATAGATAAGGGGAGAGAGAGTATGAGAGATCAAAATTAAGATAAATTGCATTACGCTTCAATTACATCACTTAGATAAACAATTAGTCATTAGGGAATATAACAAGAATTGCAAACAGACTAATATCAATAGTAATAGTTATAATAATAATATTGTTGAAGTGAGTTGAGATAATCCTACTGATAAAGGATAGTTTTAAATGAATCAAGAATAATAATCATAATAAACCAGGACTCTGTGTACAAAAGGAGATGGTCGTCACTCTGAATCTATCATGGTGAGACGTTTTACTTATCATTCTACCTATTATTATTATTATTCTTGGTTCATTTAAAACCATCTTTTATCGGTAGCATTAACTTAACTCACTTCAACACTTATTATTATTGTTATCATAACTATTACTATTGATATTACTCTGTTTGCAATTTTCGTTATATTCCCTAATGACTAATTATTTATCTAAGTGATACAATTTCGGCATAGTGCATTTCATTTTAATTTTGATCTCTCATACTCTCTCTCCCCTTATCTACTTGAACATGACCTGGAAAACATTCGCACCTGTCGTCTTTCTGCATGATTAATTCAATGTAGTTTATTTGCCTTTCAGTCTTATATCTCCCAATGTATTTGTAACAGTATATATATCCGTATATGTAGAATATTCAGCTGACGAGTTCTACCGAAATTTGATGAATCCATCATTAAATCGTGCTTTATTAACCCCACCCCCCCCACTATGTTGCTTGTTTTTAATTCGTATCCGGGGGAAAATAAATGTTTTCAATTCTTGAAGAAGCATAATTGACATGATCACATATATATTCAGTGTTTCGCCGTTATTTGTGAATCAACCAAAAAGAAACTCATTTGTGATATCGATTTTATGGCAAGAAAATACAAATGCACACATACATGCACGCACACACACACAGAAAGTACACTCACCTGTTTACAAAGATTTTCAGACATTGACGAAGAATCATCAACAGCTATCAGGATACGATATTCCCGTTGACTTGGTTGAGAACGACGCAGCCAAATTTTATCTTTTCTAAACTGGCTAGCCAAATAAGGAATAATCTACAAAGGGAAACAGAGGATATAAGGAAGCCGACTGAGTGATAGATAGATATAAAAGCGAGTTAATATCTCACATAATTAGATTTCTAGCTGCTGGAATATTTCCTTTCAGTAAAGTACGGTTGCAGAATTGACAGGAGCCTGTAGTTGTAGTCATACTTACAATCAGAGAGATACATGGCAACCCAAAAGGGTATCAAGGGTTTGGGGAGGGGGGGTTGGTTAAAATGCTTCTATACATACTGATTTTCTATACACCTCTAAAGCCTGACTTCTTTCAAATGAGGGGGTGCAGCAACTCTAAATGCTTGATCATAGGTTTTTGTAAGTAATTGTGAAATACGATAGAATGTACTCAGGAATGACCGAGACGGTCCACTAGTCAGTGATGTCATCTTGGGACACCGAGTTCAGTGGCTTTGCACATGTGCTAAGAATGTCATTCCCAGAGACTCCTATACGGTTCACTGTTTTGTCCAAAAAAGTTCAAAGCAGTTCCAGAAACCCGGCCGATAACTGCTACCTTGTCGTGGTGGTCAGGCTTGAATACCGTAATGACCCAACATGCTAAACTGACTGGGACTCATGTCCCTGCAGGTCCTACCATGTCAGGAAGGTTGTTTGGATAGTGGTTATACTAAAAGCAGTTACCGTGGGGTACATGGGCTCCAGAATCCAATGGGATCAAATGGCGTATGAACCCATATGCGTCACCCGAAACCATGGGAATGCAGCTCCTGATGCTGCTCCGCTGCCTTGAGGATTAGACTCCAAATCAAAGGCTCGGGAGTGGTCCCTTAATAAAACCACCTGCTTAGGTCTGGGTGCCCAGTCAGTATCTCAGCCCTCACACAATGAATTGAATGAAGCAACAAACAATGAAACTTATCGCGTGCTATTACACGTGTTGCAATTTCCTTCTTTCTTCCCTTCCCGATGATAAATGACGAATACTGTTTGAACTTGGTAAGCATGACTTTTTTCCTTCCAGATGAAGTTCTTTATCCGTTCTCTACTTATATATATATATATTCTCTTTTTTCTTTTGATCTATGTTGTTTTATTATTATTGTGTGACGCATCCTTCTTGGTGCCACATTGTACCAAGTTTTTAGGCATTTAAATAAATAAATAAGTTCCAGAAGAGCAGGAAGAATGCAAAACACACATGTTGTGTAGGTAGGTATTCTGACTTCATCATCGTCTCCCTGACTCTTGAATTCCTAATCATATGTAGGATCTGAGAATATATTACTATTATCCTTATTCTCATGGGTTCCAAGTGGAATACAGGGCTTCAAAGGCACATTTCCACTTTTTTCTGCTTCTCTGTTGTCTTCTTCAGCTGACGCGAACGATTGCTCATATTCCTTCATCATCCTCCTCTCCACAAGATCTCCTTTATTTCACCCTCGGACTCACGTCAAATTCATCCGTTTCCCAGTTGGAGAACTGGTATGTGATGTCATCCAGCTGTCCCCTCAGTGTGTGTCCAATCAATCTACATTTTTTTCGAAATATTAGGTTCTTGGTTCTTGTTTTTAACTTTTTCTGGTCATTTGATCTTCAATATGAATGTTGAACGAAGGCAACTGAGATCGAATTAACTTAGACTTTGGACAAGATTAGTTTGTAAAAAAGGCCGACTTATCCTTTCTGTGCCACACAAAAGTGCATAATGGTTAACTAACTGGTTTCAACATAGAACTTTGCACCGATGTGTAGCAATTCAAGCCACCACACTCCCTCCATGTACCACACAAAGCAAGACAAGAAAGTAGAAGAAATGCAAAATAGACACAGTAGACAGGGATATGAGACAAAAGGAATAGTAATAACGAAGAACAATATAGTTTCATTGGAAGTCATAAGTCACAAGGGGTGGATGCATCTGCGCCACTGAAAACGATTTTGAGCCATATCACCGATTGCCTCCAGCTTCCATTAGTTTTTATCGCCTTAAGGACTCCAACCAATCAGGAGGCGTACATCTTCCAAGGTGGTTTAAACCAACTGTTATAGATTTCATTGACTGATGAAGCCTGTCATGTTTCGCTTTGACCGTTGCTAGCTCTTTTCCAACCTGACCCTATATCAGCTAACATTGCTCACTGTGGAGGAGGGTAATGGTTAGGCATGTACAACGCGGAATGTCCTAACCATTTCAATCGGTGTAACTTCACAGCCTCGTCGATTGATTTCCCCTCCTCACCAATTAGCACTCGACCGATGGTCTAACCTCAATATTGCTCACCCTATTATACCACCACTTAACACGGGAGATAAAACACAAGTGCCTCTGATCAAAGACAGATAGCTAGCCCTTTCATGTCTTCCACTGTTAATATCCTTGTCTCACTCACAGCCATAAAGGAGGACGGAGCGCATTGGTGAACAGTACACGCATCCTCTAGTCAATAGCCAGACACGGAATAAACTGTCATATGCGAAATTAGCCTTCTGTATATCCATGCTGAGATTTCGTCAGCGACCAACTCGCTGGCGTTGGCTGATGCAAGTTCCCAAATAAGTGAAGTGGTCGACGAGCTCTACTTCTTCACTCCCTACTTCTAAACTAGGAGTCAATGTAGTCCAGTCCTGTAGCATCATCTTACATTTGACAGCAGAAACGAATCGCATGCCAAATATTCAAAGATTGCTGCTCCTCAAGGTGTTCAGAAGACTCTGCTGGATTTTGTCAGCATCTTCACCTAGAAGGACTATATCATCTGTATACTCTCAGTAGTCAACGAGATTATTCCCTGATGATGACAAGTGAATCCCTGAGTCGCTGAAGTCATCAGTTAGGGTTAATTCCATTAGTACATCTGGTTAAACAGGACTTTCTACTTGAGAAAGGATGTTGAAGTGTACAATAATAGTTTGAAGTGAAACCCACTAGGCAACATTAGCAATCGACTTCGATTATAAGGCGGAGTAGTACAACATGCAGTTCAACAGAGGGAGAGACAGACAGAGAGGGTTATCAATAGTTCACTCCAGATGGATATTGCATATTTATCCTTATTATTTATGAGAAAACTACTCGAATCATCGATTTATATTAAAACACAAACTAACCTTTCGTATATTAATACGTTTCCCAGTACGATAATCTCCTCGTAAACGTGATGCTTTAGTTGGTTCAAGTACCAGACGAAGTGCTTCACACAATTGACGTGCTAAACCACTCGATCGTTGACAACAAGTTGCCCATTCTAAAGCACCTTCAAGTGATGTCTGTGCAAATTTATTATTGTCCAAAATTTGTAAATCTGTTGACATCTCAGCCAGTGAATTATCCATCGTTGACGGCGGTAGAATTAGAGCTGCAGTCTTGAAGTTATGAAGACAAACAAAACAAAAACAACAAGGGAAAAATGTAGGTGAGAGCGGATTTACACAATCAACACGTAAGGCTCTTTAAAAAAAAGAATATATTTAAACAAACAGACGTTTCTTGAGACGAAATTCTTCCTCCAGTGTTATGTGAACTGTTTACACCAGGTGAATCTATAATCTACCAAAATCCTTGACACCTAATCCCTCTTTACTCTTGGCCAGGCTTACTGCCAGTTAAGCGAGGTTTAAGAGTGCCTCGGTGGCTGGGGACCGAACCCAGGAACAGGTGTGTAGTTAGCGGGGATTCGACTACTGAACCATTGACACACAAAATGCTCATCCAAATGTTGGAACTCGGAAATGAACCTGGAAAATTTAGATTTCAGTCTGGTACACAGTAATTATCTCTGAAGACATTCTTCCTTGTTGATCGCCTCACTTATTTGTGGGAAAGTTGTGTCAGCCAACACCAACGCAATAGGGTTGATCGCTGACGAAATCTCAGCATGGATACAGAAGGCTAGTTTTGCATATGTCAGTTTACGCCATTTCTGGCGTAGATGTGATATCCAGCTGGTTGTTGACCAAATGACGTGTGTACTGATCAGCAGTTCTCCCTGACCTCCTTTATGGGTAGCTGTGAGACACAGTGGAAGACATGAAGTGGCTAGCTAGTTGTCTTTGGTCATAGGTGCCTGCATTCTGTTTCCTGTGTTAAGTGGTGGTTTCAAAGGATGAGTAATATTGAGGTTAGGGGGAAATCAGTGGACGAGGCTGTGAGGTGACATCACTTAAGATGGTTAGGACATGTGTCGCGCATGCATGCCTAACCATCGCCTTCCTCGACCGGCAATATTAGCTGACACATGGTCAGGCTGGAAAAGAGCTAGTGAGTGGTGGTCAAACCAAAACATGGCCTCATCAGTCAATAAAATCCACAACAGTTAGTTTAAGCCAGCCACGTAGGAAGGTGCAGACTTTCTGGTTGGGGTCCTCGGAATGGTAAAACCCAATGGAGCCTGGAGACAATCGATGATACGGCTCAAAATCTCTCTTAATGGCTGACGCAGATGCATCCACTCCTTGTGATTTATAATACCCAATGAAACTATATTGTTCCTCGTTATTACTATTCCTTTTGTCTCATATATCTGTCTACTGTCTCTAATTTGCATTTCTTCTACTTTCTTGTCTTGCTTTGTGTGGTACAATGAGGGAGTGTGGTGACTTGTACTGCTGCACATCGGTTCTATGTTGGAAACAGCCAGACAGACAGAAGACATTCTTCCCACTCACAAGCTAATACCATCGATCAGTCGACAGGCAAGATACTTGTTCGCCCAGCCTGAATTTAGCGTCTGTATGAATTAACCTACAATAAGTGTCATCAACTTTGAGATTTATACTCAAGGCTTCGAAAAAATTGATGGTCGCCTAAGCGAATTAATCTGTAAATTTTGATCAGAGAGGTGAGTAGCTAAATATTGCATATTCTCGACACTTCGACGACGTGACAGAGCTTGGGACTGCTTCTTCCTTGAGCATAGAGTTTGATCACCTGCTCTAGTGATACTTTTCTTGGCAACACGCCTGTTGGCAACTGTGATCTAGGCAAGAAGCACTGTAGATCAGAATAGATCACTGCTGAAACATAAACTCGTAATTAACACTTTGTTTTTGTGTTGAAATTTGAAAAAGTCCCATGTAGATGACATTTCTCTACCTTGATGCTAATTTATTCGTCTGCTACACAACCATGATTCACGGATATCGTAGTCTCGGGTGGTTAGACTGTTTTCGACAGCATCACGTTTTCCCTATTAACATACTGCTCTCTTCCCAAGTAATAGGTGCAACCTTAACGTACTGATCGACATATTTTTCACTGGCTGGAACCAATATTTCTTCAAGTCCTACAATACCACGAACTTCATTTGAACAGTTGGTGGTTAGAATAAAAGCACTCAATATCCTAGTGTAAGTTGTTTACGCTATGTTGAGGGTCTGTTGATGAAGTTGGACTGCTAGCGAACAGGAATGTAACATATCAGATCAAGACCAACAAGCCAGTTATACTGTCTCTCTTCACTGTGAGAAAGAAAAGGATTAGAAACGATCAACGCGATGGGAATAGTACATCCTGACTTATTTTCCGGTGCTCTGTAGCTGGCGACACTAAGAGCTTAATACGCATGCAATACTATAAAAACCACTTCAAAGAAGCCGTGTGTGTGTATGACTGACCTCAAGCAGTTGCGGTTACGCAATACAGAAAATGAGCAGATAGCAACGGGCATTATAAAAAGAATTACTCACCCGTGTACAAATAATCGATTGTGGTGGTCTTTGAGCGCCTAAAGTTGGTACAAACTCTGCTGTTGGGTCGGATTCAACCGCTTCATCACCGCCAGGATACTGTTTGCCTTTCACAAAAGGATTTAACTGTTGCGGTAGAATGTTTGTTTTAGCATCAGTAGGCTGATCACGATGACGATGGTTAAGAAAATGGCGTATATAAAATGGGGGAGAAAATAGGTACATATGAGCTAAGAATCACAATTTCACATGATTAAATGTTAATTAATATTCAAAGAATTTCTTTCTTAAAAGCCACGTTTTTTTGAAAACGCCTAGTTAAACCGATTTATTGCTAAGAAAAAGATATGTAAGATAAACATTCTAAACGGATCATTAACTCACTTCCAGAATGAAACTAACTTTATGAATCTGGAATTCAAAATTGATCAGGCTTCAGATATGATTAGTCAGTCAGGAAGATGTTCCCTTGTAGCTAATCTCCAGTTGTATCAACATTCACCAGTTGGAGGTCGTCTCTGTATGGATCTATCAGTTCATCTGCTCTTCTGGAGCAAAGGATATCGGTCTTAGCCAGAGAGTGATTCCCTGCCGGATATGACAGTATATTCCGACAATGATTTACAAGAGCGACAGAAAAGGTGTGAGAAGGTTTACACCTGATCAACTTCTGTCAGTCAACCAATTCTGACCATGATTTTAAGACCATCGCCTATTGATTTCACGCTAATTTGGTGCATTTCCTCCGTTCCATATGTCTAAAGACAGCGGAGACCTCTGCTATTCATGAATTAAAGTATCTATAGTCCCTAGTTTTACGTTGGTCGTTTTGTTTATTTATATCCTTGTGCTTTCCCCTTAATACTACGTTTGTTATTATTCTTGTGTTTCTCACTTTGAACAGTATCCAGCATTATTTCAATTGTTGCATCTATTATTCTAAATCAGTATTTTGAAATGTTAAAATCTATCTTGTAAAACTTTTCATCTTCATGTTACGTAATGTCTTGTGGATGCGTACTGATGAAGAGTTGCGCACTAGGACGAAACATATGTCTAGTAGTTTTGGATGATTTTCAGTTGTTCTCTAACTGATGTCAATTTGTGAAAAAAAAATCTATAACCAGTCAAACCGCTGCAAACTAACACTTGAATATATACAATATATATCCATTGGTTTAGTTAATGAAGCCATTTGAAGAAGTAAAACTAACGACATGGAATTATAGCAAAAATATTCATTCAGACATTCTATAAAACACGAAATTCCTCTTCTGGCTCTACAATTACATGTGTGTATATATGTTTATATACATAGAATATTCTAGAATAGTAGTCAATAACAATATCGGCATGTTTTTTAAATAATATCGATTTGTAAAGCAAGATCACGATGGAATTACAATTCATTAAAGATGCTTGAAATATTATAATAATAATAATAAAGATATAATAGTAAATAGAATATCAACTAAATTTAAGGAAATTTCTACAAAAAATTGAGGATCATTCGAACCTAGATAGCCAAGGTAATGATAATGTCTGAATTAACTTCTTTTGTATGCATAAAATAAAGCTTGTTTATATGGATCCCCAGAGCCAGCCTCAGCAATATTGAGTAGTCGAACTCTTAAGGCCAAATTGAAATTCGTAGGTATCCGGTAAACGACCCTGAAAGCATGGTTAATGTCAACCTTGTATTCTGTCTCCACAAGATGAGATAGAATAGAGCTGTGAATAGATTTTGTTTGTCCTTTGCCTAACTAACCACGCAGGATGACGTTCGGAAATTCGACGAGAAACACGCCTGATTGTACGGCCTATGCAGCTAACTGGCCCACTTCAAAGGAGCAGCTAAATTGGTAGATACACATGGAAGTGGCGAAATTAAGTAGTTTGTCTTTTACTCCTGAACGCAAAAGAGGAGTGGTTTTGAAGATAACATCAACGAGATACTAACACAGCGCCTTAGAAATGCGGTAAAAAGAGCATTCTCTGCTGCCGAATTACGTTATTCAGTATCCACTTGCATATCCATGCAGCTTGTCATATGAGTCATACCTCTACTGTATATGCGCGAAGGTTAATGATATACTACCTGGTTGCCCCAAGCCATTCGGTAGATGGAACAGGGTTCGAATCACCTATGACCCACTCCTCGGTTAGAAGTCAATCGCCAAAACTGCTCAGACATAGGGGCTCACTAGAAATCCTTACGAAACAGATTGCATGAATCGTAACAATAGCAATAACACAGAAACAACAGTAAGATGTCAAACTTCAAATCTCAGTCCATTTAAGTAGCAATGGGGTAGTATGAAAATCTTAACAAAATAGAGGCCCAGTGAAACGTATTGTACATTATATAGTCAACAGACAAACAAACAATAATTATAGTGAACAAAAAAATCACCAGAAGACACTAATAAAACCCTTGCAACAAATACCTCTAATTCTGATGTTGGCAGTCTTTCATTGTCGTCATCCTTGTTATCAATATTATCATCCTTCTCTAGGCCAGTGTCATCACACTGATTCATAGATTCATCGTCATCACCATTGGTCAGTTGTTTCTCTGCCTGGTCTAAAGTCGCAGAATCACGAACACACGGAGCATTGGCATTAGCATTATTACTGTTTGGATCCTCAGGGTTGGGCAGATGTTGAAATAGCTGTGAATTCTTGTCATTTTCGTTGGAGGATGAGTCCTGTTCACCACTTTGTTGTTCTGAATCTACTTCTAAAGTTTCAACCTAAAAAAAAAAAACAAGAATATATACACATAAAAAGTTTCAAGCTTTTTGGTTTGCGGGAATTTGTGATTAATGAATCCACCAGGTAGATGACTTTAGTTAGAGAGAGCCTTTGAAAACTACTAGGGAGTAACTGAACAGTTTCAAACAGGGAGGAAACAGTTGAGTCCAGTATTCCCTCATTGATTTTCATTTTTTTTATTATTTTTGATTACAGCTTGATGTCACACTGTATGTTTCGGTACAAGTATGGAATTTTCAGCATGTGATATCGGTAGCCCAAATTTTGAACGGCCGACCATAGATATCGATCAGGTGTGAGTTGGCAGGGGATCGAACTCCGGACTATGTGCATGGTCGGCGAGAGTCCTAACCCCTGTGCCATCAATGGTTCTCTCAAACTGATGTCCGTTCGTGATCCCTCTTCAAATAATACATACGCCAGCCAGTTATACAGAAAACGGACAGAAGACATTGCAAGTACAAGCTGTCAATTCACAAGAGAAACAATATCACATCACCGGATTCGGGTTTTATCTAAAGTGACGATTTACGAACAGGTTGTCCAGGAATTGAATTTAGACTTCCGGAGTGATTGTCGAATATTCTACCATTGGATCATCAATATAGAACCAGGGAGTAGTCGAGAGTGGTTTTGTTCTAGTTTGAGACTATTTGACAATGTGATACCCCCGAGGCTCGAATCTAGGAACCTTTTGGCTATGGCATTCGATGATTGAAGGCGATAGATCAGTAGGAAGTCCTGCCCTATCCAGGTTTCATGCTTGTTGGCTGGCACACACCAGTCAGCAGGGTGTATCTGCACTCTTGAAGGAACTTATGTCCACTCTAAGATTTGAAACCGTAACACCTAGCGGCCAATCAAAGCATTCAATACAGACCTACAGGAGGTCAATCGCTAGTCCGAATAGCTCAGTGGTTATGCCTTTGATTGCAGGCAGCACTGGGTGACATGGGTTTCTATCTCAAAAGGGACATGAATTCCCCCAAGATTGCATATACACCTTGTTGAAGACTGTCAACAAGCCCGAAACCTAGGTCTAACGCTCACTGCCGATTGCCTTCAATCATCTATCAACGACATATCAGAGTGCACCATGACGGCGAGCCATCTAGCTTGTTGGTAGACACAGTGTAAACTTGACTGGTAGAATTCAAAGGACTAGAAGCATGACACTAGTGACTTATCACCTGGTGTATAATTAAAGTAGCTTTTGGTTGTATCATGATTCCGCTGACTACTCAGCCAGTGAGATAAAAAAATCTCACAAATGACAAATAACAATGGCATGTTTAACAAATGTAGATGTTGAACAAATCTTCCTCTACTCACCCCAGACAATAAAGACTTTTGTTTGTTTGCTAAACTTCGATTTTCTGATGTTGGCTTTGGGCCAGAACGAGACTGATTCCTGTTAGTTTGACGCTGTTGTTGTTGTTGCTGCTGTCCACTGAGTGGTTCTGTTCTTGACGTTTCTGACTGATCACCACTACGAGTAGATGGTGTATATTTTTCACCTGAAGCATCTCCTTGACTAGACTGATTACCACTATCAGTTAATTGTTGAGGTGGTACAGCTGATGAATCCATATTTGAGCCATCCTTTTCATCATCATTCGTTTCCTTGATTAAACACGACAAGAAAAGAAAGCGCGGGTTTAATTACTTCAGTGGGATATAACAAATAAACTGCAGTAAGAAGAAGCAAAATTTATTTATTGCCAGTATCATGCAAAGTATTAGCAACAATGTCATGGCATGTGCGTGTATGTGTGCGCAGCAACCTGTCTGAACTTTGGATTATTCAAAATACTTTCTTCCATCAAAATGCATCACTTGAAATTACTCCTTTCGCTGTTTAAATTAATCAAAAATCACGCCAAATTGTATTATTTTTAACCGCGCACTTTTTAAAAATACTTTTCAACCTATCACTTTTTGCCTTCCGCCAGAAATTTGACAGAAATGAAGCATATAAAAAGAAATCAAATAACTGCCGTGAATTAATTTTGATTTTATTTGCATTATGAAGTGCACAAGTGAACTGATCACACAGATTCCTGGCACTTCTAGGCGAGGTAAATTGGCGAAAATGCTGGTCGATAAGGTTCTTGATGAAAATAGAGAACTACCAACCGAAACAGACTGCGAAGAAGGCTACACACAATTTGTCATTTCAGACATCAAAATAAACCACAGTATACAAATAAATTAGTTTAGACTCTGGGAAAATGAGCAATTACTATTGAACCTTGAACAGAATTTGGCGGTTCACTCAAATGAAGGTCAACTAGTCATACACACAAATATACAAGTACAAATAAAAACAGAACTTACAGTTTTGTCAACATCTTCAACATTTTCATCAGGTCCACCAAGAACCTAAAATGAATGATGAATTCAGAAAGAGAAATTTAGAGTTTATCCTCCAAATAAAATTAGTTGTACCGCACTAGTACAAAATAAGGAAGGAAAGTATTCCATAATTTTATCAAAGGTTTAGGGACCCCCAGTGTTACACATTAAAGTGACAGAACATCTTCAAAGCTGACACATCTCCATTGTATGCATCCTGCTACTTAATAAACGGACGTAACGACCTTGAACAACCAATCACATGGATCCGTTATATATATATATATATTGGCGGAATTATGGATGCTATACACGGATGACATAGGAAAATTCATTCAAATCTAGTATTTTAGTACAGGGTCATAGGAAGCGAGAAGACATGTAGATATAGGGAGGAGGTAATGCATTTAAAGACATACACAACACCTCTGTTGATGGGTTTGTGCACAGACACCCGGACTACCATAGCAGGAAATCTGTTCGAGAAGATATTTAATCCCTTTTTAGGTTCATAGGTGCTGTAGAGCAGTGAATGGGTCATGAAACAGTATGATGTACAGTTGTCGGGATGCATTTACATACAGAAATAGGCTCGTATTATCCCTGAAGACTCCATCAACAAGGAATTAGTAGGAGGTTTTCTTGGAACAGATATGAGAAAGTTAACCTGTATAACTACTTTTTGTAAACACTAACTGTGATGTCTAAAAGGATTTTTAAATTACGCGTGCATTTACTACGGGCTCATGTGACTGGTCGATCAAGGTCATTACATCCGTTTACTTATATCTTTCTTTTAGGTCATTATAGATTTGAAATACATATTTAAAAAGTGTTACATCCCAAATGCTGAAGACACTGATTAGTGTGTAGAGTCTGCACACATTTGGCTGTAAGCTTCAGGACTTTGAAAATCAATGGTTGGAGACTGTCATCGTCACTATTTATTTATTTTTTTGATTACAGCTTGATTCCATATTGTATTTTTGGTACAAGTATAGTAGAGTAGAATTTTTCAATGTTAGTTTGTAAGGTTTTGATAGGTAGGATATTCACCAGCCATACGGGAAGTTAGGTTTCAATTCCCGGTTAACGCATTCCCTAAACCTCACATGACTTGTGGTGAGACCCTGTAAAAAGAAAGAGGGTTGGGCGTGAGGTCGCAAGCGACACCACCCCTTTAAAAATAACACCACCACTGAAGCTTGAGGCTTCATCGACTAGTACCACCGCCTTCCGATCTTGACCACACCTCTCCCACACCGAGGAAATGTGAAAAATGACATCAATCTTGATGGGTCGGTGGTTGATGGAATCTCAATTCTGGTTGTGCTTTTGTTGAATCCTGTTGAAATATTCTACAAGATCCCTGATTAGTATTGGTCTGTCTACGTACATTTCAGCTGTGAATGAGTGATTAGTTCAAGCTAACAATGTATGAAAATTCTTCATCGAATTGTCTACAAGTAGTTGTACTTTTTGAAACCGTCTATAATTACTTGAATAATCACCATCAACGGGAGGGATTTGAAAGAGGTTACTTCATTCTCTTATCTAGCATTGAGCATTGTCTCCCCTACAGGAGGAACGGACGAGGATGTCAAATCGAGCGAGAGTCGGGAAGGCGAGAAACACATCAACATCATCAACCTGAAACCAATCTGGAAATCTTCGTCACTCAGTCAGCATCAACAACAAAATTCAGTCGGATTTTCAATAAAAACGTCAAGTCAGTCGGTTCTCCTATACGGATCAGAAACTTGGCGGGCGGGTCAAAAAGAATGTTTCCAACAGCCTGTTGCAGACCTTTATCAACAACAACTGTCTTAGCTGGATCTATACTGAAGATCAGATGGCCGGGCGGGGCCGGAAAGAATCACCAGCAAGAAACTATGGGAACAAACAAACAAAACAAGAACCAATCGCCAACCAACGAATATGCAGGAGAAAGTGGAGATGGATTGGACACTCGCTGAGGAGGCCACCACTGGGTGACATCGCGCGCGCGTCAGACCATTACTCGAGTGGAACCAGGCCGAAAGGGAAGCGGCGAGTGGGACGTCAGTGCAAGGAAGACATGGAGGAGATCGTGTGAAGTGGAGTTGAAACAGTATGGGTGGTGAACATAGATGCAGGTGGAAAGTACAGCAGAAGACAGAAGCAAGTGGATATGTGCAGTTGAAGCCGTATGTTCCACTAGGAACCCAAGGGAACAATAATAGTAAATTTGACGGGTGGTGACTAGCAATGGAATCAATCTAGGACTCATCCGTACAACAAGCCAACAGAGGCCAAACATTCTGCTCCAAACAGTCAACGGGAAAATCAAAATTACTGAATTGAGACTTGCTGCACAACCGGTGGTTTTCGGGGCTCAAGCGGTCTAGAGGTTAGTGCTTTGGTGCGTTTGAAACGATGGGTACTACTGGGTAAAGGAGCCTCAATAGGAACATTATCACTCACTGGTGAGTGCAGGCACATCCGGTGGACGGAAAGCGCGTTGTCCTTGAGGGTGCCGCTAAAATGCTAGTCACCATCCACTGAATTTCTTCAATTTTAATCCTCAGGCGATAGTCGCAGCAGCTGTACAAGAGGCTGATGTATCAACACAGAGGCCGAGAATATTCCGGTCAGGTCAATCAGTTTGGCAAAAATAAAAAAAACTGAATTAAGAGTAAATACGTCGCCTTTAGTAACATTTAAAAGAAAACCAATATGAACTACAAATACACAGGCCTACAGACAAACACACACACACAAGGATGAACTTACATTCGACTGAGTATTCAAATCACCTGATCCACTTCCATGGTAGGGGAATACTTCTACTTTAGCTGGATCTTCACCACTAGGATATTCATCTATGTAATAAGAAACAAGAACAAAAAAAGATCAATAATGAAGGGAAGAATAAATTATGGAAGCGTATTATTATACTGACGGTATCAATTTTACAAAGAAGATTTCATCATGGGATAGAATGTAATTTGATTGGCTTAAACACTTGACTTTCAGACACCATCCAGCTGCTAGCTCGAATCTCGCTCCATCTATTTCAGCCTGATCAAATGAGTAGGTACGAGTATATGACCTGTTTCGGATATTATTACTATTATGGTTCAGTTTTGAGTAGAACATAGGACTCCAGAGGTAGACCTATATTGCCACAGGTTCTGTGGTATCATCTTCACATCTAAATCCACGACTGCCCGGAAGTTTTATTTTATTTTATATACTCTATGTCACCCCTAGGACGTCTAACTTGTCGCCTTCAATTCGTGTTCTACTCAACTCCCTGTTGTGTGATGTTACTTTAAGGTCTCCTTTCAGCGTAGATTCAACCTATCCATCGCCTTCTGTAATAAGTTCTTGGTCGATCCACTGGCAGAGTTTCTTGTTAATTATTCTTTCCGATTGGCCATCTGATAGCCTCCGAAGCCTCAGGATGGTCGGGGGTGGGTGTTTTGCGCTGCGGGTTGGCCACCTCTCCGTACACCTCTTGAAGTGCTCCTATATGACCGGGCGCCTTACATAGCCTCTCCTGAGGAAGTCCTACTCACTGCCTTCACGTGGCGGAGGTGTTTTTCACCGAAGTGAGAGGGCAAAAGCGGATGCCCGGCGCTCTTCACCGGGTTGACTGTCCATTGGATGACAGTCTAGGGGAGATGGCTAAACCCTGATTCCAAACCTCCAACGACTGGCGTATGAAGCTCACCGGCAGACGTATGGACAAAGGGCTTATTGGATGCCCTGGATGACTGGCCCCATTCAAAAAGGCGTATTAACCGGACTCCGGTCACCGGCTGCCAATGGATAGTGGACTCCCTACTCCACTCCTACTGCCTTGTAGGTCACACTTGGTTGTGTAAAGGCTAGAGCTGCACTCTCAAACAAAAGGCCGAGCGATCCTGGGGACATCACTCGTACCCAATTCCCATGAAACTTCATGGTTCATGAAGCCGGCTCATCCTCCCGTAGGAGATAACCGAAGTAAAGTAAAGTAAGTAAGTATTGGCCATCTGATCTTCAGCATCGGGAGAAGGTGCTCAGGAAAGTCTGTAGTCTGTTCCAGGTTAAACTGAATTCTAAATAGCTAACGATTATTGAAGATAGGAGGACAAATAACCTAGATCTTCAGTATTCCAGTCATACTCAAACATCCCTCGTTGATTTCAAATCGTGATGACATCTATCCAATTTTTATTAAATGGAAGATTCAGATTTGAAAACAGAAAGATTGAGCGAAGAAATATTTACTTTTCAATCAGATCCTCATCTCTGGCTCTACTCTAATATATATAATATTATATCCTTAAATTCAAAGAGGAACCTAGGGCTTCAGTCGCGTGTCTCCATTGCCTTTGGTTTTCTGACAACTTTTTCACCCTGCTCCAAGTCTGCCCACACGCTTTCATCTCTCTTCATATGACCTCCTCCAAGTCACCCTTGCACTGACGACCAACTCGCCGCTTCCCGTTCGGGTTCTACTCCAGCAATGGCTTGTCTAGTGATGTCACTCGATGGTTTCCTCAGAGTATGGCCAATCCATCTCCATTTCTTCCTGCCTATTTGTTTCACAATCCCAGAGATCCCTGTTGCTGATCTTTTCTGGTCGGCCACCTGATCTTGAGTATTGAGCGAAGACAACTGTTAATGAAGGTCTATAGTTTGTTGGAGATGCTCTTTATGACGAGACGCCAAGTCTCTGATGCGTATAGTAGCACTGACTTCACATTCGAGTTAAAAATCCGGATCTTATTTTTGATGTTGAGTGCTGTTGACCTCCACACAATCTTGAGAGTAATGAAAGCTTGTCTTGCTTTTCCGATTGTTGCTTTGATGTCCTCGTCCGTTCCGCCTGTAATCGAAACGATGCTTCCCAGGTAGGTGAAGGAGCATATATATATATATATATGGCATTTTTATTACAATACACAACAGTTTACCAATCAAGTTGCACTGATATGTTTCTTAACAATAATTAGTCAGTGTCAACCTGTTAAGCAGTGGGGTGATAATTAACGAAGAAAATCAATACACACAATCAGAAAGGTAGAAATGGTTAGAATAAATTAATTTTACAAGGATAACACGTAATTAAAGATGAAGTAGTCATAAAAAATAAAATAATTTGGACAATTATAATTTTTAAAGGTTTAGGGGGAGGTGGGGGCGAAGTAGTCCGGTTTATACATTCATGTAACGATGCCCAAGGTAAGGGAAGTGGCTGTACAAATTTCTTCTGAACACACAGGTTTGGCTGCCTTCTTCAGGTGGATTCCTATTGCTTCAGCCATAAGTAGCAGACGAACTCGTAAAGCAAAATTAAGATTAGTAGGAATGCGATGAATAATTTTAAATGCAGCATTAACATCAACCTTATGCTCACTATCTACAAGGTGGGCTAAAACAGAGCTACGAATAGATATTGTATGTCCCTTGCTTAACCATGTTGGATGATGTTCGGAAATACGATGATGAACCTGCTTAAATGTATGCCCAATGTAGCTGGTTCCGCAGCTGCAGTCAAACTGGTAGATACACATACAAAAGGCAAATTTAGGTAGTTTATCTTTATTTCTCGAATGTGGAATAGGGGTGGTTGTTATCCTTGTAAAGTTGATTTATTCTAACCATTTCTACCTTTCTGATTGTGTGTATTGATTTTCTTCGTTAATTATCACCCCACTGCTTAACAGGTTGACACTGACTAATTATTGTTAACAAACATATCAGGGCCGCTTGATTGGTAAATTGTTGTGTGTTGTAATAAAAATTCTATATATATATATATATATATATATATATATATATATATATATATATATATATATATATATATATATTAAAGTACAGCCAGAGATGAGAATCTAATTGAAAGGTAAATATTTCTTCGCTCAATCTTTCTGTTTTCTAAATGTCTAAATGGGGATTTTTTCTGTATTTACTCACTTGTAAAAAACAAAGTAAGTCAACAATAATCGCATAGATATTAATGAACATAAAAAAAAGACAAATCATTCACTGAATACTCTTCAGCCATGTGGCTAAAGATCCGGGTTCGATTCCCGACAGATGTATTCCTGAACTTCGGCCTAGTTTATTAGACAGAAGTAAGCTCCGGAGAGGAAGAAAAAGAGGAAATGTTGAACATGAACACCACTCCATTTGAAGACTTACAATCCACTCAGAACGCACAAAAAGGTAATGAAGAAGGTGAAGAATCCCAGGAGGATACACCAGAGTATTACAACTGATTATGAAGTATATATATATATATATATATATATATATATATATATATGAATCGAGAATAATATTTAATGATAATAACAATAATACTAACCGATATCCATCGTTTCACCTTCCTTCTGTTCCAAATCTTTTTCATCCAACGTGGATTGATTATTTTCATGTTCTGGGTGACCACAAGGTTCTGTAAGAGGAAAAAAGAAAAAAAATTGGGCGTATGAAAACAAAACAGCAACGCTAACTGGCCCTGACTGACCGATTGAGTTTTAACATAAGACATTGCAGAGAAGTGCAGCACTTAAAGTTGCAACAATCCATACAGCACACAAAGATGGACAGAAGAGAGAGAGAGATTCAAAAGGCTTAACATTAAAACAGAAATGGAAAAACATGACGGCTCAGGGGATACGGGAGAACACTAAGAGTGAAGAATGCATCTGCTGCACATCATTGAGAATGATTTCCAGTCATACTATCAATAGTTACCAACCATTGGTTCTCAGCATCTCGAAGATTCCTACCAGGTAGTGTATACCTTCCTCCAGTCATGGAAAGGATCCAGAAGGCTCGCTTGGCATACTCTGACTTACACCATTTCTGGCTTAGTAGATGTGATATCCACCTATTGACCAAAAGACGTGTGTACTGCTCAGAAGTCCGCTCCATCCTCCTTTATGGCTGTGATTGAGATGTGGACAATGAAAGTGGTAGTATAATAAAGGTGAGCAACACTGAGGTGAGGCATCCCTCGAGTAGCTAGTTAGTAAGGAGGGGAAATCAACCGACGAAATTGTGAAGTTACATAGATTAAAGATAGTCAGGACATGTATGACACATGCATCCCTAACCTTTTCGCCTTTCTCAATGGGCAAAGTTAGCTGACATAGGATTGGTGAGGTTGGAAGAGAACTATTGGGTGGTCAAATCAAAACATGACTGGCTTCATCAGTCAGTGCAATCCACAGCTGTCAGTTTAAGCCACGTAGGAAAATATAGGCTTCATGATTGGCTGGTTGGAGTCCTCGGGAAGGTAAAAACCAATGGCTGGAGACAATTGGTGATATGAATGGCTCAAAATCGTTCTCAATGACTGGTGCAGATGCAGTGAACCTTTATGATTTATCATATGCCCTCTCCCCCAATAAAACTCAATTGTTCTCCCATATTACTGTTCTTCTTCCCTAACACTTTTGTTTATCATCTCTCTCTCTCTCCCTTTTGAATCTATCTTTAGTCTCTTCTCTTGCTTTGTATGATACAAGACGGGAGTGTGGCAACTCGAATTGCTGCACATCAGTGTTAAGTTCTTCATTGATATCAGTCAGTCCGCAATAGCTCAAACCAACAGTCACAGACTTAACGGATTGGTGCCAGGTTTTTGGTTTCGCCAACCCGGCCCCCGCCCAACTCTCTTTTTTTGGCTTAATCATCCTATGTCCACAAACATTGGACATCAAGGAAGGCGACAGCCTAGGCAAATGGAACACGAGTTCACAACTCAACCACTTAACTAACATCATTTCAAAGTGCATAACCATTGAGTCCTACCTAGTTTGATGAGAATGTTGTAAACCTTACTGATAAAATTCAGTCAGTGGAAGCACAAGGCACTCATGACCCACCACCAATGGTATCCCTCACAGCCCTACATGTAATTAATCGGAAGGTTGAATAACTAAGTGGTAATGTCTCTGGAGTGACGTTGGCTTAAATTTCCAAGAAGATTGTTAACAAACACAAAACCAACTTCATTTCTTACAGAACCATAGCTAACTAAGGTGACTAGGATGTGTTACATACATATACAAAATTACTATCGAACTGAACGTATATACAGTGTAAGTTTGCGAAATAAGAATTCAACTAAAGCCAATCTAAAGGTGATCAGGTGGACCTGTATCTCTTGGGTCTAAGCGATTGATTCCCAGCAACAGAGCTGCGGATTCGAACTCTGTTCCACCCAACGTCTACTGAGTAGATACGTAAGTGTTTGTAGACTAACTGACTTTAAAGGTGATCAGAAACAAGCGATTGGTGCTAGTTAACGAAGTCCTTACCAAGTAAACTTAAAATATAGTGGTTATATTCGGCGTGTGTCAAGCTTACTCTTAGATATGATAGAGAAGATTTGTAGCTCAGGTGGATAATTTTGATGTGGTTTTGTTCTCTGAGCTGGATAGTTAGTTTGCGAAGCTTTCATCACCTTACTGGGTGACATCTTCAGCGCATACTTCAAATTGAAGTGAGCTTTTAGGTTTCTCCACGAGTTTATTAATCATTCCTCCTGGTGACCTTGGACCAACCACCAATCACGTCCAAGGTCACCAGGAGGAATGATTAATAAACTCGTGGAGAAACCTAAAAGCTCACTTCAATTTGAAGTATGCGCTGAAGATGTCACCCAGTAAGGTGATGAAAGCTTCGCAAACTAACTATCCAGCTCAGAGAACAAAACCACATCAAAGCTTACTCTTTCACCACATATGGATACTAGTGTGGTGAGAACTGGCTGCTGGCCAAATTGGTAGACAGTAATTTACGTCCCCAATATTGGTCGTGAGAATAATAAGAACAAAGACTGATTCAACAACCAACCACAGCATACTTTGCGTAGGCGGATACAATTAGCATATAGATGATCTGACATTCAAGAAACAGCCACAGAGAGATGGAAGGTTAACTTTCAGTGAGAAACAACCAATCAGAAGACTGTGTTGTTTTGCTAAGAATAATCTATAATATGTACATGAAAATCTATAAATATGTTTGATTGCATGGAGGATTTAATCATGAGCTGACATCAGTTGACTTCCTTGATAAACGATATGTTGCCTGGCCCTTGTCTTCTGTTGTTACACTATCAACGTATGCTTTTAAAAAGCGATATCTAGACTGAAATGAAACGACTTCGCTGAATAACGAAGTCAGTGGATAATTATCACATAACAATCAAGAGTAACACATAGTCATTACGGTAAAACTGATATCAGCCAAGGGGTGAAGACGAATCAATAATGACATTATAGGCTTATGCATACAATAACAATTAAATCATTGTTTTCGTGCTACGGCGATGGATGTTTCCTACAAAAATGAAATCACCAATGCGCAGATCTGGGGCTTACAATCGGACTGACGGACATTTAGGTGGTCTATCTAGGGGGGGGGGCTAGAATACCCTGATTCCAAACCTCTGGTGTACACGGGCTCCAAAATCTGAGTAGATCGAATGATATATGAACCTGATTGGGATAGGCCTTTAAGTCAAAGGCTCGAGTGGGGTCTGTGTGAATGGCGCGTCTTAAGACAACCCACCTGCTTTAACCTAGGCGTCCTAACAGTATCTCAGCCCTTGCACAAACTATGAGACAACAATTTGTGTGTCCCATCCTCTTCGTGCTTATAATGTACCAAATTTGTGTTTTAAAACAGCACAATAAATAAAAATGAAACTTATCATCTCCTTGCTTGTCTTTACCTTCTTCGCCATTATCATCCTCTGCATCAATATCCATTTGATTGTCGAACAAATCACCTGGCAGATCTTCAACATCACGTCCAGGCGACTGATCAGCATTGTCCGCAAACTCAGTGTCTTCTGGCAAACCTTGATCATTATTATTATTATCGTCATCATCATCAACGTTTGGTTTCTTTGGTGATGTAGGCTCACCACCATCAGTTTCAGGATGCTCCATACAGTCTTCATTTGCTACAGTAGTCCTCTTCCCTGATGCATTTTGAGGATGTTTCGGTTTTTTCCGCTTAGGTGAAGAACTATCCGACCTATTATCAGTTTTATTATCAGATGGCTCGGCGCTGTCTCCTTCCTGTTCCTCCTGTTCGTCGGACTTAGAACTCTGTTTATTTTGTTCTTGAACACCATCAGCATTTCGCTCACCTTCCTGTTTACTTTTCATCTTATCATCTTGAACTCCACTTGATGATTTATTATCTTGCTCGTTGTTGTCAGCACCATCGCCATCTTTGGCTTCGTTTTCCTCCTTCTCTTCGTCGTCATCATCATCAGATGCCCACATTTCATTGGCTAAATCATCACCTGGTCCATCTGTTTCACCCATTTTCTCATCGAAATTCTCTTGATCTACTTGATCAGAGGAGTTGTCATCCTCTGCACTACAATTCTCCATGTCTGGATCGTCATATTGTCCTTGGAAGTCATCATCTGGCATTTCAATGCCATTAGTATCGTTATCACCATCCCTATTCTTGCCTTTAGGATCATTATTCTCCGATTGTTTATCATTCATCAACCCTTCAATTTGTTCTTGACACTCTAATTCATTACTAACATCTTTCGCGCCTGATGTATCACCACCGGCGGTCGATGTTAAACTTGTACCGCCTGATGAAGCACCTTCCGTATCCATCTGTCCGCCATCTGACGTGTTGCTTGTCGCCCCATTACCATCTGCTGCCTGACTATTTTGATCTCTAGGTAAATTAGCTGGACGACAAAAGCCTTCCGTGATTAAACGTCCAGTGATGCGCATAGCGCATTCGCCCAGCTTAAACCAGGCGTCTAAAAGACTCCAAAATTGTATACAACGTGTAGACAACGCTTTCGACAGACCATCCATTAACGGATAGACGCAGTGAATCAATACTAATCGAATTGACTGCAAATCCCTATCCGATGACATCGATGTTTGTGTGTTCTGCAGAATTGATCGCGTTCTTGACAAATATTCGATAACCTGGGGCAGTACAGAAGTCATCAGTTCGGTAAGTACTTTCGAGAAATGATTCATCAAAGCAATCTGATCCAATTCATTGACAATTTGATCTGATTTATGAATAATTTGAACAGCTTTCAGGATAGAATGAATACAATGATTAACAAGTTGTTCAAATCTTTCATCTGGTTTTCTGACACTACTCATATCATTGATTTCAATAGTAGTAGTAGATGCATGAGTGTCTAGCATGTCAATATCACAATAATCATCACTAGTCATCACTGGAGATAAAACTTGTAATTCACAATGGATTTTTCCCCATTCAACAGTAATTTGTTCTTGTAGACATTGAAAGACTGGAGCAAACAATTGAGTACAATTCGCTTGCTTATATGAATCGACTAAATTAGTCAGAGTGCTTTGTAAATATTCCACGGAAAGGTACAGTTCTTCACAGTACGCACGTATGACAGGATTCCATAAAAAGGTGTTCAAGTTGAGGAGTTGTGTAGTACACTTTAATACTTGATGCATAGCCAACTTTAAAGGCGTTAAATGAGATTCTGTCAGATTGGTCAGTTGAGCAGGATTTTCATTTGATAGGGAGGCCAGCAATTGACCACTTGCTGTTGTTAACCAAGACCAAGCCTCAGAACCGAATAGACTAGACAGTTGGTTTAATTCGAAAGGTTTATTCCCCGTTTGTTTTTGAAATGCTGTCCAAAATACACTCCATTGATAAATATGCTCTCTGATAATTTGATCCAAGTTGTGAGTTGATACCTATCAATGCATAAATATTAATAACGATTATCATTAAAAGATATAGAAAATATGCAGGTTTGAGTTCTCTTCTTAGGTGTACATGCGAGAGAAGTTTATCCCACATGGTCTGATTAAATGTCTTTCTCGAAAGAATAACAGCCGCTTTCTAACCTACTCCTCAGTCACATGATAATGCAAACCACCTAGAATTCTGATAACCGGTGCAAAATAGATTACGATCAAGTCAACAGTATAACTCCTCCAACGCAGTTGATCACTAGGTGACTTCCATCAAAGAACCACTAGAAAGCAGCAGGGACTACTAGATAGTTGTTTCGTCCTTGTTTGAGACTCTTCAGGAGCACACACTTGTAACGCCATAAGGGATCAAGCCCATTATCTTTAGGTTCGAAAAAAGAGCTAGTTGACCGTTCAACTAACAGCCTGTTAATTATAGCTTCTACCGGTTCAAAAAACCTCTTCAGTCCCAACCACATGGTAATTCTTCTTCACTATTCACGCCCTGTCGTCGGTGGCACAGCGGTTAGGACGCTTGCCGACTATGCACATGGTCCGCGGTTCGATCCCCAGCCACCGGACGCACTCCTTTACCTCTCTAAGCTGGAACTAATGCTGGTAAAGAGGAAAGGTTGGACATGAGGCTAGCAACCCCATCCTGTAAAAATAAACACTGCTACAGAAACTTCAAGCCACTAGCTTGAAGCCCTATGTTCCACTGGGAACGTGTAGGTAAAAAAAATCACGCCATGTCCTCCACCCACCTCTCAAGTGACCAATCAAATATAAGTAAGTATTAAACTCTTAGTGAGCACGATAAATACAAAGAACAAAAGACATTACACAGAACTTACTTGAATCCGTTTTAGCCTCTCTGGATCAGATATATAACCGGTGAACAGATCAGTCTGTTTCTCGTCTTTAACAACTTTATCTTCTGACATGAAAACATTCAAACTAACAGCATACTGCTGGACTAGATAATTGATTCGCTTACACAGATTAGTGAATTGACTGCATACTTTAAAACCGGTAGAACACTGATTCAACAAATCATCCATAATACCAATTAATCGAAAGAGATTATTTGGCCCGCCAATTTCATTCAATATTGCTGCACTTGTATCAACATCACCATCTTGTGGTCCAGGAACACGTGGTAGACTGGCGCGTAAAGCGATTAGACGAGATAGACGACTGCATACACCACGAATGTAAACTTCATCAGAGTCAGAACTGAAGGTAAAACAGAAAGACGGTGAAACAGTAAAGTTATGTTTTATATAGATATGAAGTCACACACACACACACACATAAGGGATACGATATAACCAAGTTAGGATATTTAGTGGATCTACAAAAGTCCCTGCGTTGGATGATTCTCCTTTTTTGTCCTATTCGTTTGCATTCCAAGTGGAATATAGAGCTTCAAGATTCAGCTGTGAAGCTCCAGTAGTAGTGATGTATTTTGGCGGGGTGGAGACGTTAGCTTCACACTCAACCTTCCCTTTTTGTCATGCTTACAACTGTCTAAAGGAGGTGAAGGTGTGAACGGGTCGGGAATCTATCCCCACATCACATGTATGTTTCGACGAGCATTCTTTCGGTGAATAACTAACACACGCGTTAGACGATTACTCAATCAATATTCTGCTATATGAATATCCTTTAAAGTTCTTAAATAGCTGAACAGTTGATGAATAATATGCAAACTTTTGATAAATTTGTATTGTTAGAAGAAGAGAAGGCATAATATGAGTTGGTGTTTGCCACGTGATTATCTCTAAACCAGACATTTGATCCTAAAGTAGATTAACGATTACCTGACACTGGAATTTTATTGATGACCTCCATCCCTATAGACTACCTGGTACAGCCAAGGGTGGGTAAACTTCAATCTTTCACTCGAAATGCTTCCATGAAGCAACGCGTTCATAGCCTCTGCCAGGTAATCGCTATTCACTGACCACACACGACAGACGTGTTCCTCACAAAAGTTAAAGGGTGAATCCAAATGTTTGGAGTTTACAAACAGGGCTAGTGGACATGCACATCTACTTAGGGGCAATAAAAAACCCTGATTCCAATCCTAAGAAGTATACATGGGATCCAATCCAGAAGACGAATAGATCGAATGGAATATGATGCACCTGTTTCATTCACCATGAACCACAGGAACATAACTCCTATTGTTGTTCCGCTGCTTGATGGATGAGACACGTGACTCCCATTGGCAAATCTCCATAGAGATGAAAAAATCGAATTTCCAGAATGAAATGATATCAGTCAATTCATTACTCCGTTTTCGGTCTTCTCCTTCACTTCACAGCTTTCTACTTCACCATCAATGACAACTTAAGCTATAGTTTGTCACTCTGATATTCGGGATTCCCTAATTTATAACATATCAGATATAATAGAGATATGTAGCTCAGGTGGATAATTCTGATGTAGATGTGTTCTCTGGGCTGGATGGTTTATTTGCGAAGCTTTGATTGTCCCACTAGGCAGCATCTTCAGCGCAAACTTCAATTTGAATTGAAGTGAGCCTTTAGATTTCTCCACAAGTTCGTCGAAAGAAATCAACCCTTAAGCCACCAACCTACCAAATCAAGGGTCCTCCAAGCAAAGCACAAAGAAAATCGCCCTACTGTAAATAAAAAACATTTCAGAAATCACTACAAGACTCTTCAAACCTATGGGAATTCATGCCGCCCACAAAACCAACACTCAGATGGATTTGTGTCAACCAAAAGACGCAACAACGAAAGAAGATAAAACCAATATTATCTACAAAATAAATTGTAACAACTGCGAAAAACACTACATTGGACAAAGTGGACGTTCTGTTCGCCTTTGTATCCGTAAACATAAACTAGCCATCAAAAAACATGCATCCACTCCTTTATTTCTCTGCATACAGACAACCACAGACATCAATTCAACTGGGACAACCAGCATTCAAATATTACAACACAGAGGACAAAACACCAAGAATGTCGAAGAATTTTTAGAAGCCTGGCCTTCCAGTGAATTGTCAATCAATAGACACATCGACATAGACAAAATTTACCAATCGATAAGAAGAAAATTTCACAATACACAAAGGGTCAAACTTCAGGTCAACGAAAAAATGAATACCAATACAAGTAGCCTAGAGGGTGTGAAGACACACGAAAAGAACCAATCATGTTCAAGATCACCGAGAGAGATGACCTTTAATCTCGTTAAGAAATCTAAAAGTTCACTTCTAAATATAATATATTCCATGCCACGGTGTTAACTTCCAAAATTTTCTAGTTTCATTGATTCTTTTAAAACCAGTGATTAATTTACAGGTGACCTGAAGATGATATGATTTTACGCGAGGAATTCGAACCCACTGGGAGTTGTATTGCGGAAGAGTCCCGAGATAGGGCGAAACTGTTATCCAGTCTTCATTGCTTTCGAGAATTCGTAAACTGATGTCGCTTCCTGACGATATCTGAATTGAAATCAACCTAAACTATGTAAAAAAACATTGTCAGGGCGGAGGGCGGGGATAAGTCTAAGAAGATATTCTCACAGAACCAACCGTTTAATAACTGTTGTGGGATTGTAGCTAGAATAACCTGAATAGCGGTTAACTGGTCAAAACAACAGCAACTGTGAGCAATAGTTATTGCTTCACAAAGTCCTTTGTCAAACACACACATACACACAAAAGGAAATGAAGCTTACTTGCTATCTGGATGACTATGACCAATCTCCTGGTTTACATAACTCCATGGATCACCGTGTAGTTGGACAAGAAAACGACTCATATGTCCTGTCTGTGTTTCACGTTGACCTCTACGGTAGGAGAGACCAAGACTAGGCAGTTGTAGGGCTTCAAATAAATCATCATCTGAAGAAGTAGCATTGTTATTATTAATGGTATCGTCTGGTGAGTACTCATTCGAATCGGCGTTATTGTTGTCATTAGTCAATTCATCAGAATCTGAAGGTATAGTCGACGACGATTCATGATCGGAAATATCATGTGATCTACGAAGCAAACAAAACAGATTTATTTGAAAAACGTTTTTTCTTATACAGAATGGAATCTAAAGCATTTTCATATTTCAAAAAATTTACTGATGATACCCAACCGATAGCCTCTCCACCATGACGTAGTGCTGCTCGAACTTGCATATTTCAACGACCCAGAAAGATACCCTGACTGGAGCTAATATTCGTGCCCGGAAGGTCGTCTGCACAGAGGTTAGACTCAAAGCAGTTACCTTCATAGTGTACGCCGTTTACACTATGTGTAAGATCTCGGGACGAAGTATTAATCCTGGTGAATAGGGATGTGTAAATGAATTAAGGTCCTTCCCCCAAGATGGCCAGCATACCAGCTACATTGCCTCTCCATTCTGGAGATAGGAATAGGGTTAGAAAATGTCGATCCCCGAAAAATTTCACATCACAACTTACCGAGAGAAGTTACGATCGCTTGGAGGAGAGTTCATCAGTTCAGACAGCCCCTGCACTGATAAATAAATGACGACGCCTAATTGGTTGTTGTATTAACCAATCATGCACAAGGACGACGCTGATTGGCTGTGACACACTAAACAGAATTTCTATGGCTCGTGGTATTTGGCAGCCCCAGTTTAGATATTTAGAATTCGGCGCAAGACAACGGAGGTCGAAATGAAAATAGGGAATAACTAAGCAACGTTAAATAATCAATCAAAATGAGAATATTGGCAGGGGGAGCAGGAGGAAAGAAGCACTTACTGTTGACTTTTACGTGTTGCAATTTTCAACCAATCCGATAGAGCTAAACGTTTTCTTTGTTGTAAAGCTGTGAATTCTTGATACCACTGACATGTTTTCTTCAATTCTTCATCATCATCACCATCGTCATCTCCTCCGTCTTCATCCCCATCATGTTTTCGACCTAATTTTGATCTACGATTCGCTTTCTGTTTATTAAACTTAGCCAGTTGATTTCCAGATGGACAAGAAGAATTTAATCGTTCTGTTTGTTGACTCAAATCTTGTACAAGTGCCATCCACAACTGGACACCAGAACGTAGTTGTTTTATCCACTGAAGGATAGGTGAATTATGAGCAACAGTGTAGACGTGTTTATGCAGTCGCTTGATAAGTGATGGGAGGCGTCTGTTGTTGAATAGAAAAGACAAAGAACAAGAAAAAGAATATAACCTATGTCAGTAACGCAGATGTGACACTGGTATTACAATCAAATACACAAATTCGATACTAACGTATCATTGCATGGGTTGAAGGACAGTACGCTTGTTAACTTATTAGTGCCAACTACAGTGCAGCAGATCAGGTGTGAGGACAAATACTCGCCGAAGACATTGGCTAGGGATCGCGGTATGTCGTCAGTTGGCAGAATTTAGAATTCATGGGCCGTTGGATCGGGTCCCAGTGGCTTAATGGTATACGAGCTCTCTTTGTAACCAGAAGGTCCTGTGTTCGAATCCCGGTGGGTGCGTACTGCTGAAGAGTCCCAAACTAGGACACAACAGCTGTCCAGTACTCTCAGGTTTTTCAGTAGTCCTCTAACTGATGTCAATTCATGATGGAATCCTGTAACATAATAATCACTTTCCCAAGCCTCTGATAGGCCCACATCATAGCGAAATAACAAACCCAAGCAAAGTTAGAGACCAGGTTGTATGTAACCTTACCCAACGGATGATGCGAGCTGATATTCACGTAGATGGCATCGATCTGTGGCAAGTAAGGCCTACAAAATACATTTCAAGAACAACTGAAATAATCGGATAGCATGTATTTTGGGAAACAGATGTCCATCGTCATCATCTATCGCAAAGCACATCAGAGATGGGTATTATATGTTGCTCTCAATAGTGCCTTTATAAATCAATATCATAAAACAAGTTCGAGTAACACGTTTTAATTCATTAAAGCATTATCTATCATCAGGTTTAAATTCTGTTCTATGAATTTAAAAGTTGTTGGCCATCAATTTCATTCCCTTTTATAGACGTTTGAACAGAGAAAGAACAACAGACATTGGTGCAGAATACCGTGGATCCACTCGTAATGCGTTGGTTCTCCTCATCAGCATACAGCCTATAATCTTTATTAAATAAAATCAACAAGCATATTATGTCACTGTGGAATAAATCATCAGGATGGCAAGGCAGCTGAAGTATATATATATACGTATCTTGTCAGGGTGGTTACAACAATTGGTAACAGTTACATAGTTACATGAGACAAGATCGAAATTTGGTATGCAAGAGGTCAGATGAAGAGATTATGATGTAATATGGTGAGAATAATTAATAAGACGTCAAGAAAAATTATCTCTACGAATGTTGGTTTTCAGGGATTTGATTTGTCATAGGATCACATCATGAGCTGATATCAGTTAGAGGACTATTGAAAAACCACCCAGAATTACTGAAGAGCTGTTTCGTCCCATTTTAGGACTCTTCAACAGAATTGGCAGAAGATAAAATTCATGGGATGACCTTTGGATCGGGTCCCAATGACTCAATAGTCTACGGGTTTTCATCTTAACCAGAAGGTCCCAAGTTCGAACCCTAGTGGTGAATGCGCACCGACGAAGAGTCTAAACTAGGATGAAACAGCTGTCGAGTGATCCAGTTGTGGTTTTCCAATGATTTTCTAACCGATGCCAGCTAATGATGAAATCCTGAAAATTATCTTTTATAGAAATCAAAAAAAACCACAGGGTGCGTTGAAAAGATAAGGTTAGTGAAATTAGAAAACAAAGAGTTATTAAGGGATGATGCATCAAGGTAATTGGAGTCCAACGACAGACTCCTTTTGGACACATAGGTCAGTTTTCAGCCAGAAAGAATTAGTAACGAGAAACTCTGCTGGGCAACGAAACAACAAATATCCCGAAGAAAATGGAGATTGATTGACGGACACACGCTGAAGAGACCGTTGCGTGAGGCCTTAGAGTTGAATCCAAGTGGGAAACGACCAGTTGGGCGTGAGTCCGATATTGACATGAAGGAGATCGTGTAGGGAGGAGCAGATAAAAGCTTATGCTCAATCTTGAGGCCACCTAAAGTACTGGACGAAATAGAGACGTGCCTATATCCCACTTGGAAATCAAAAGGAATAATAATATACACCTGTGACCGTGGTCTGTAAACATGCTAACCTACATTAATAAAAATTATAGTCCTTTATATTCTGCTGCCGCCTTCCATATAAGAATATGTATGTATGTATGTGTGTATATATGTGTGTGATCAGTATGTCCAAAATGTGCTGCACCAATAGACGACATTACACACTTGTATCAGACAAATTACGTCTTCTTATTGTTTTGTCGTAAACTATATCTGTAGGTGGCTATTAGTTCGTTCGACTTTCTCAGATAGATCTGATGCTACCCCTCAGATAATCTAGTCACATTAGGTAATCAGTTACAGATAGGAAGCATTCATCCGCAACACTGTTACGCTAGAGAAAGCTTTCGATGAGGTTGAATTTTATGACTCAATCAGTGTAGATCTCTAGACGTGTATACTGAAGGCTTATTTATATCAAACCCCATCCGCACTACGACCGAGATTTTCATTTCCATGTCAATCATTCATCATCATCATCACCATCATCTTGAAGCTTTCCCTACTAGCTTCACCCCAACCACCACCACCGGCATCTACAAAAAGGAACATACTTTATATGCAACGGCAGATTGTCACCTCCTTCATTTGACTTGCAGTACACTTGTTGTAAATAATCAAATGATCTTCTTATTGAGGAGTGATGCAGTACTTTTGAAATATCTGACATTTCCAGTTTTAACCATCCACTGGAACAACAGATCTGATCATCACCACCACCACTACCACTGGTGATATCATCCATACCATTTGGCGACTTTATGAAATCAGGAATTTTCATAATACTTTCAAATATTGGTCGAACTGGTCGTTGTAGAATAGATTCCCAATTTTTCACCTATAAAAAGAGAAAATATTGATTTATAGGAAAACATAAGAATAATAATTGGGGAGTAGCATGTAGGTAAGTAAGTAATGTTATGCATCTAGTGCTTTGCTTAGTGTCGGCTGGATGTCTATCAGTTAAATTTGCAATGTGGCTACCAAAAAGCTAGATGGCTCACCAGTCACAGCGAAGTCTGGTTGTTAGAAAGTTGGAAGCAATCGATAGGAAGCTTTGCCTCATCTACTGTCTTGTACTTGTTGGTGACTTTGGAAGAACTCATATCCCAGCTACGATTCGTATCAGTCTCACCCAGTGCCGCCTGCAACCAGAGATGTTACCACTGAGCTGTTGGGGTTGGCGACTGACAGCCTGTATGACTGTATTAGATAAATAAGTAAATAGTGTCATGCATCCAGACTTGTATTGGGTGCAGTCAAATGTGTGCAGCGAATGCTCACTGTTAGCTCTTTATTTCGTAATGCCTGGTATACATGGCGAATTGACAGAAGTTAGAATTCCTGTGTTGTTAGATGACAACCATGTTGCCAAATGGTTGACAGACTCGCTTCGTAATCTGATGATCGTTTAGATCTGATTCCTCGAGGAGCGGCGGGGCGGTTATAAGTGGACACACTGATAAAAAGTCTGAATCTATGGAAGAAACAGTTGTCCATGGATCCTTGGTTTTTAATGATTTGCCAATCGGTATCAGTTGGTGAGGAAATTTACGCTAAAATTATCCTAAATCCTTGCAAAACTCGAATTTTGAATGAATATTAGAATCTGGGAGTGATTTTTCACGCAAATAAGGTAATATCTAATGAATAAATCAAAGCTAAGGAGCACTTTACAACAACTGTTTCATCCCAGTGTTATTGTACAATCAGTCATTTTTATACAGACAGTAATAAGTTATACCTATCAAATCCTCCGTATGTCCAACGGGAGATCAAACCATCGACTTAGTGATTGGAAGTGGATTGCACAAACCACTGTAAGCTACAGATTGTAGTCTACAACTCTTAAATTTCACCAGAGTTTACTGTTTTCCCTAAAGTCGCCTTGCAGGAACTCCTCAGTTGTTATTTTCCACGAACACTATAAGAAAATAACTCAACAAGTCGATGGAGAGATGATTGATTTCAAGGCAGAATTCTATCCATTGATCCTTGATTTCTAATTCCTCTCTACCGAATGGAATATCCATTTAGGTGTAAGGTAATATGGCTTACAGGTGGCTTAGACAATCGATTCTTAGCCAGTGGCTCCCGATTTCGAAGGCCCAACTGCCTTACATCGGCCCTAGCAGCTGGGTAATATCACAGTTACCCGGAACAGACCCACCATGCACCCGAATACAAAACACACTTTTGATGTGACAGCTGATGACGCTAACTAGTTTACACAGGCTGACGTAGATAGGGCAAGACTCGAACCCAAAACCCTGTAACTTGATGTCAACTGTTACTTTACTTTACTTTACTTCGGCTATCTCCTACGGGAGGATGAGCCGGCTTCATGAACGAGTTCATGAAGTTTCTTGGGAATTTGGTACGAGTGATGTCCCCAGGATCGCTCGGCCTTTTGTTTGAGAGTGCAGCTCTAGCCTTTACACAGCCAAGTGTGACCTACAAGGCAGTAGGAGTGGAGTAGGGAGTCCACTATCCATTGGCAGCCGGTGACCGGAGTTCGGTTCATACGCCTTTTTGAATGGGGCCAGACATCCAACAAGCCCTTTGTCCATACGTCTGCCGGTGAGCTTCATACGCCAGTCGTTGGAGGTTTGGAATCAGGGTTTAGCCATCTCCCCTAGACTGTCATCCAATGGACAGTCAACCCGGTGGAGAGCGCCGGGCATCCGCTTTTGCCCTCACGCTCTAGTGAGAAACACCTCCGCCACGTGAAGGCAGTGAGTAGGACTTCCTCAGGAGAGGCTATGTAAGACGCACGGTCATATGGGAGCATTTCAAGAGGTGTGCGGAGGGGTGGCCAATCCGCAGCGCAAGACACCCACCCCCGACCATCCTGAGGCTTTGGAGTCAACTGTTCACCCCCAGTAAACCACATCTCTTCCTGGGTAATTTGCATATAATAAAAGTGTAGATATAAGCCAAATACATCAATCAATAAAAATAGGTCAAATAACTACAGGTCATTTATCAGGTCACCAAGAGCAACAATAAACAACAAAAGAATGAGGTTGGGGGGGGGGTGAATCATGAGGAAATCTATGGTGACAACCCATCAGGCGAAAGCCATCACGAAAAAAAAACATAATGTTTCGTTTATGTAGAACTCTCAAACCCCAAATAAAACTGTGAAATTAGCGCTAAGAATTGTGTCCCAGAAGAAGGTTGTCGTGTATTCAGCTCACAGTTGAAAAACTCCTAAAAAAACACTTGACTTGACTGCTCGGTGGCAGTAAGGTCAGAAAAAATGGAAGCGTAGGTGTGGGGCTAGGGATACCCCACCCCGAAAGAAAATACAATACCACCACTACTGAAACTTAGAAGCTCAAAGCTTGAAACCCTTTATATCACTTTGGGGTGTAAGCAATGGAAACAGCATATGTACCACAAATAAAAAAAAGTACACTTACATGTTTATGAATAGACTTTTTGCAACGATCCACTGATGTCTTCACCGACCAGAAACGTGAATAATGACCCCATTTAGTGATATTTACAATACCCTAGGACAGAGGGAGAGAGAGAGAAAAAAAAGAAGGGAAATAGAGTCAGATACGACAGAATACGAAAGACATTTTATAATATGGGAGGTATAAACGCATCCCTGTATGAAATAAAAAACATTATTCAGAGTTAGACTTCCTCACGAATTGAACTGAAGTTTTCGGGAACTCGATTGCCGATGTCTTTATGATATAGCACACTACTACACAAAGATTCCATACTTCCTGAATTTCAGCAGTTCTCTAGCTACTATTCATTTGTATCCTGAAATGTACCTTGGAAGCAGCCGTTTCCTCTTCCCAATAAACTGAACATTCAAGTTAAAAAAAAAGCCGTCATGTCACACCCGGACCAACTTAGTAACAATGACGTTGAATCAAACTCATATCAATGTTTCTCTAACTGAAGGTCAATCATCTCATGATCAAACTTGTCATCAATCAAATCCTTGCAAACCAACACTTCAAAAAGTATTCCAGTGAACACAAGTGACCAACCAATTAAAGGACAAAGTTGCCTGAAGTTTTAAATGAGAACTCGACACCAATAAGGTCTATAAAGTTGGTGTGTGTGTGTGTGTGAGGAAAAATCCTCGCCGATGAAATTAGCTAGTGGTCACACCATGTATCGATAACTGGCAGAGGTAAGAATCAATAGGCTAACAGATTCTGTCCCAGAGCCTGAATAGTGACCAGAAAGTTCATGGGTTCTATCCAAAGAGGTGGGGTCCTAGGATTCATACTGCATTTCATCGATTGAGATGTGCCATTCATGGCCAATATTACCTGACATAGAGGATACATCAGGTTGGAAAAGAGCTGGAACACGGTGGTCAAACTAAAACATCACTGGCTTCATCAGTCAATGAAATCGACAACAATTAGTTTAAGTCATTCAGCCTGCCAACTATGTAGGGAGGTGTAGACTTTCTGATGGGTTGGTTGAGGTCCTCGAGATTCTAAGAACTAATGAAGACTGGAGATAACCAGTGGTATGGTTGGCTCCAAAATCGTCTTTAGTAGTGGCACAGGTGCGTTCACTCTATTGTTCTTACTCTTTTTGGCCCATATTTCTGTTTATTATCCATCTATTGAATCTCTTCTCTTGCTTAGTGTACTAGAAGGAAGGAGTGTGACAACTCGAACTGCTGCACATCTGTGAAACCAGTCCGTCAATCAGTCAGTCACTCACTCACTGTTGAAGAGTTCCAAACAGAGAAGAAACAGATATCCATTACCCCCTGGTTTCCAATGCCTTCCTAACGGAAGTCAGTTTGTGAGCAAACTTGAAACTCATACACGTCCAATGACCACAGCTAATAATAATAACATTAATAATAATAATAATAATAATCTCCACAGACTGTAAGCATAAAAAGTTGATAAAAGCGTTTTGATAATATTTCAACAAGTATTTACGGCTTAATATAATAAGTTAATAAGGCTTATATAGGTGATAAGAATAACAAAGTTAGTATATGCATATATGTAGACAATTCAATAAATAAATAAATTAGGTCAAATCAAATGGAACGATAATCAGAGTTTAAATAAATATCATAAAAGTACGAAGGAGAGGGATGATAAGAAAGGGTGGGAGGGTTTTGAATAGAATTCACCTAGGCCAAGGGAGAGACAAAGGTAGAACAAATTTCTTTTGTATACAAAGACTAGGATTGTTCTCTCGAATTCCCATAGCTTCGGCTAAGTGTAAAAGACGGGTTCTGATTCCGTTCGAAAGACTTGATGGAATGCGGTAAATAACTTTGAAAGCACTATTTTTGTCCACTTGGTGACCACTATCAATCAAATGAGCCAAAATAGAACTTCGTATGGACTTTATTTGACCTTTTCCGAACCATGAAGGAAGATGCTCTTTAATGCGTTTGTTAAGCTGTCTAGTTGTTCGGCCTATATAGCTTTCTCCACAGGAGCAACTAAATTTATAGATACACATGGAAGTGGCACAACTAGGTAACTTATCTTTCACTTGAGCAATCAAAATTGACGTCCAATTGAGCAGAAGAGAGGATGGTTCACTAAAGAGAGATGTCTATAGAAAACCTACATCTGTAGGACAATATACACATTTCCTCAGTTATGTACCAATCCGTTACAAAGTCAATTTGGTCAGATGCCTGACGAATCGAGCAAGACGCATCTGTACAGATGACTCTCTAGAGAATGAGCTAGGATACATCCAAAATACGTTAGTCCAAATGGGTTATCCTAGTAGATTTGTCAGGAGACACATGAATGCTAAGTGCAATAAAGAGAAACCGATAACAGTTAAAAAGAAACAACTGTTCATCAAACTGCAATTTAATGGGGACGTGGCTAGTGAAGTCTTACATCAGAGATTATCGAGAGCGATAAAACGGACTTATACTGCCGCCACCCTCTGTTTGTCATTTTCCAGCCGGCCAATTTTGATTGCTCAAGTGAAAGATAAGTTACCTAGTTGTGCCACTTCCATGTGTATCTATAAATTTAGTTGCTCCTGTGGAGAAAGCTATATAGGCCGAACAACTAGACAGCTTAACAAACGCATTAAAGAGCATCTTCCTTCATGGTTCGGAAAAGGTCAAATAAAGTCCATACGAAGTTCTATTTTGGCTCATTTGATTGATAGTGGTCACCAAGTGGACAAAAATAGTGCTTTCAAAGTTATTTACCGCATTCCATCAAGTCTTTCGAACGGAATCAGAACCCGTCTTTTACACTTAGCCGAAGCTATGGGAATTCGAGAGAACAATCCTAGTCTTTGTATACAAAAGAAATTTGTTCTACCTTTGTCTCTCCCTTGGCCTAGGTGAATTCTATTCAAAACCCTCCCACCCTTTCTTATCATCCCTCTCCTTCGTACTTTTATGATATTTATTTAAACTCTGATTATCGTTCCATTTAATATAATAAGTATCAAATTAGTAGTATATTGTACTGTAAAAAAATAAAAAGTACTTCTAATGATTACACTACTAACCTTCATTTCTTTTTCAATTGGTTTACGAAGATTTTTCAATTCTTCAGATATGTAGGGTAAAAATTGAGCATAAAACCATACTGCATTACCAACTATCCGTTTAGATGAGGAACGCTCTATGAGAATAGGAAAAACAAATTGACAATACAAAGTGAGTAAGTAATTTGAATCCCTTCAGAAAATGACACTTAAATCAAAACTGGATATCCAAAACCTCCCCCACCATCAACAAACATTTGAAGGGATATACTAAGGCACCACGAGACCTAAATATGCTGAAGAATCAACAAAATCGCAAGTCGAGAGCTATTGGAAAATTGTTCGGTGCTACTTTCTCATGTCTCACTGTTCTCCACAGACTCATTTGTCCACCGAAACGCCAAGGACAAGACCCTGCTGTTAGCAACTTCAATGTGCATTTGCCTATTATTCACCTACTCCTGTGGAGTTACATACACAAACCGTACCAGCAAGAGGTTGTTTAGACACGCCCATGAACACTAAGCAGAATGCCTGTTAAAAAGAGAGAATGCTTAACAATTAACAACTCAATTCTGGAGTACATTATAACTTCTGGTAACGCAACATCAACAGAGATTTCATTCAGTCAAATATAATAAAGAACGACCAAGTCGTTCAAAAGGAATTCACCTACATCTTCTTCATGTAGCCAAAGCTTCAGTGATTCATCTGACATCAGCCATTAAGAATGATTTTAAACCAAATCATCAACAGCTATATCTTAGAGTCTCAAGAATGCCAGTCAAGTAGTCAGTACCTCTCCACATGGTTGAAAATCAAAAGTTGAAGACTATATTGATTGATCAATCCAAGTTTGACCACGGTAGGAACAGCATCTGGACGTGTTCTTTTTGGATACAAAGTTCCGGTTTAGTCGATTTTATTGCAACAGCTTCTGCAACGTTTAACCAGGGCGATCAAGAGAACTTTCTACTCTGCACGTCTGTGTCTATCCTTCAGTAGCCATCCAGTGTTCATCCAACAACTGAAAAATGTCTTACCTAACCTTAGCTCTTCTTCATGTATATACTATTTCAAGTTATATAGGGCGCACGATTAGGCAGGTTTGTCTACGGGTTCGAGGACATTTACCAGTTTAGTTCAAAAGTGTGTGTGGGGGGGATTAACTGCATAAAAAGCTCGATCCTGTCACACTTGGCCGATACTGGACATCGCACTGACGCCATAACACAGCTTTCAGGGTTATATACTGAATTCCGAAGTCGTTATCACGTACAGTTCGATCACGTCTCCTACGCAAATAGCTGAAGCTGTTGCAATAAGATCGACTAAACTGGAACTTTGTATTCAAAAAGAACACGTCCAGACGCTGTTCCTACCGTGGCCAAACTTCGATTGATGATTCTTGATATAAGTATAAAACTTGGGCACTGTGATAGAGTATAATTCCATTATAGATAAGATTTTATTTTGATAAATCGCACAGTGTTTACAGTTATATGAACTGATGACGTTTCGAGCACAAACTATTGCTCATAATCATATTGATTGAATCCGTCTTTTTGGTCTAATCAAGCGCCTAGCCTACACGTCAAACTGACACTGTTCAATGCACATATTCAAGTCATTTCAATCAACTGATCCATTGGCTTCATCCTTCTGTCTTACCGACAACAAACACGGAACTCAAGTTCTGAGTTTCCAGCCGGCTAACACCTACACCTGCTAACGTCGGTGGTGATAGTCAATTTCTTCAAAAATATTGTGCCTTGAACTAGGAAAACTCATGAATAATGAAGGAAAACAGTAATCAATCAAACAGGCAAATATCAGAACGAAAATCACAAACCTTTATCGCTAAGACCAGGCCATATATTCAATGCAGAGTAAATAGAAGCGACTAGCCTCCAACGTGATATAAACTCTCCGATTGGTCCTTTTTCAAATAATTCAATCAAAGCATCAAGACGATCTATCTCCAGTTGTTGTACATCTCCATTGTCGTCACCAACATCAGCATTATCATTATTATTCTTACTTGGCTGTTTTCTTTTGGCATTCATCTGTTGTTGTTGTTGTTGTTCACGATAACTTCCAGGTCGTAAGAATAAATCGTATAAATGAAACCATAGTGTCATACACCGATTACCTATTTGAATTTCAGCTGAATCTAATGTAGCCAACCAATAACTGTGAAGAGAGAAGATGAGAAAGGTTAAAGAAAGAAATATTGAAAGGCATTATAGGCAAAACAATCATTATAACTAGATAAATACATATACATGCAGGTTATTTTATTTTGTGTTCTAATTTGGAGTTTCATTGGCGGTAGAGTTGTTAGTCTCAAGCTCAACGTAAACACCCCGCCCGCCCCGGCCCATCATTTCAAGGTTTACTTTCGCCTAGGCGAATTTCATGAAATACATAAGCTAGGGGAATCGAACCTGAGACTTCTGAGTGGCTAGTGAGCATTCTATCATTAAACTACCGACGAAATGCCACGAGACTATAAGCCATACAATTACTATGTAAAAGCTGGTGACACAGCTCAGCCACTTAGCCAAGTTGGGTGGAATCCGACTCCAGAACCTCCTCTCTATCTGAAGGCTGGGTGTTCAAGCTAGTAGTGACTGACTCATAGGTTTCAAAATCGCAATTTGCACAGATGTACACCAGTTCCATTTAGCCCCACTCCCTCCCTATACCACATAAAACAAGAGAAGAGATTAAAAGGACATTCAAAAGAGAGATGACAGACAGATATATGAGGCAAAAAATAGTAATACAGAAAAACAATAGTTTTATTGGGAAGATATGATAAATCACAAAGGGTGAGTGCATCTGCGCCAGCCATTGACAACGATTTTGAGCCAAAGATATCCCCAATTGTCTCTAGTCTTCATTAGTTCTTAGAATCCCGACGACCAGAACCAGCCCATCAGAAAGTCTACACCTCCCAATGTGGCTGGCTGGCTGACCTAAAGTAACTGTTGTCGATTTCATTGACCGATGAAGCCAGTCATGTTTTGGTTTAGCCACCACTAGCTAGGTAGCTCTTTTCCAACCTGATTCATTCTATATCAGCTAACATTGCCTGTTGTCAAGGTAGGTGATGGCTGGGCTAGACATGAGTAACACATGTCCTAAACATCTTAAATGGCGTAATTGCATAACCTCATCGATTAAAGTCCCTTTCTTACCTCGCACTCAACCGACACCTAACCTCAATATTACTTACCTTGTCATACAACCACCTAATATGCGTGACAGAACGCAAATACCCATGATCTAAAGAAAGCTAGCCTTTTCATGTCTTCCACTTTCAATGGCCATGTTTCACTCACGACCATAAAGGACGAGAGAATGAAATGTTGACCAGTACACACACCCTTTGATCGATAGTCAGCTGGACGTCAAGGTTACGCCATAAATGATGCAGATTGGCGAATGCCTTATGAGAGTCAGCCATCATCAGCCAGCCCTTTGGGGCGGATGCAACTTCCTAACTACATCAATGAAGTGGTCAGCACACTCTACCACTAGTTTACTAGCCGGTAGAGGGAAGGTTGAGCATGATGGTATTATTAGCCCTCCCACTTACACGGCAAGCCTTAGAAAGCCAAAAGCTCTATGTTCCGCTTGGAACACAAAGGCGTGAAAGCATGACTAGCAGGGGAATATCCATGACGTGAATTTCCTCTTATAACATCACGCACAAACCATAAGCATCGTCGCAACCACCGTGTCAACGCAGCGTCAAGTATTTCACTACAAATAGAAAAACAAAAATCATGAAAATGAAAAACAAAAAATAATTCCAAAGTGTGGACAACTGAAGTTTAGTTCCCCCTTCCTCCAACTCCCTCTAACTTACTAAGCGTTCCTAAACTGAGAAAGAAATAGAAGTTAGGCATGAAACCAGCAATGTCACTTCCATTGCTACTGAAGTCTCACTCGGAACACGAGAAATAAATAATAATAATAATAATAATAATAGTGATAATGACATGGCATTCAATTATCTGATATCATTGTAGGTTTGTGTCTTACCTCAATTCCATTTTACGCCAACAAACTAATAAATTGCACACCTCTTTACTTGACTCTGTCAACGATACATGCCTAGCAGCGTCACGTTCCCATTCCTATAGAAAAATAATTGAAAAAGAAACTTGTTATACAACAATAAACATCGCAACCTTATTATAACTCACTACTGATAAGAACGTAATAAATTACTACTCTCTTGACTCAGAAATCCAATGAACAAGGTTATTATTGTAGTCATTTTAGCGATAATGAATACCTTGGGGGTATCTACTTTTGGTACCTTAACCAGGAGAAGCACGAGTGGTACTGCATAAGGCCGACCTAGCTTCTGAGTTTGCGTCTGTATTAAGATATTATGCTCAGCCATGAACGGCTCCTAGACTGGTCAACATGTATAGTTTTCATGGTCAGCCTTTTCTAAGGGCGAAGAGACAGGAATAGCTGACTTGTTGGTCAGCTGAAGGAAACAGACTGCTGTTGTTACATCCCTATTCGCAAGCAGTACGAATTCACCTTCAAAATTGCCAATATTAGTGTAGACGACTTGCACTATGATTGTAACTGCTTTCACCCTTACCGAGTGTTGGCAGCAAGATAACAGTAATATGTTGGATCAACACAAAGACTCTAGAAGATCTGGATTTCGTGGATGATTTCTGCCTAATGTCACACACATAGCCGAATAATTACAAGAGAGATGTAACAAAAAGGACAGAAGAAGCAGACAGCGATGACCGACCTTCAAGTGAACATTGAGAAGACAGAGGTGATGAAGAGAGATAACCAACCAATCAATACCAAGAGATTAATTTCAAAGAGGTGACTTCCTCAAATTATCTAGGCAGGATGGTTTCAGCTACAGGCAGATGGCACGAATGAGGATGTGAAAGACAGACTTTAATCACTGTGAAATCAGTCTGGAAATCTTCTGCACTCCACAGCAATGTTATAAATCAGTCAGTCAGTTCTTTTTTATATGAGTAGGAAACTTTGCATAGACATCACGAAGAGCATTTTTTCAACGGGCCATTGCAGACTTTTATTAACAGCTGTCCTCCTTCACTGACTCCATATTGAAGATTAAATGACTGACCAGAAGGCATTAGCACAACAAGAAAGAGACTCTGAAGTGGAACGAACCCACAGGAGAAAATATTTTGAACTCACTCATAGGACGAAGCTACCCATTGAGGAAATTATTTCAGGAATTCAGTTATGCTTCAAATCTACTATCTTTAAATTCCAGGGCAAAATATATAGACAAACAGAAGGTGTAGCAATGCGATGGATCACCAATATCCCCTATCGTAGCAGACATATTTATGGACAGCTGGGAAAATAGTGCTCTTAATACATTTAATCCTACTCCAAAAATATGGTGGAGATATGTGGATGACACTTTCACACAGTGTTAAAAACAGAACATATCTCTGTCTAGCTTCTTGACACACATAAACTCACCAGTGGAAAGAATAAAATTCACATTTGAAGCGAAAAATGAACAAGGAGAATTAGCCATGATGTTAGATTGTAAAATAAAACGAATAGAAGAAGGCAAATTACACACTAGTGTTTATAGAAAACCAATGCATTCTGCTAATACATATTTAGACTTTAATTCATCTCAGCCGTTATCTGTCTGTGAAGGCAGGCTCAGCTGTTAAGTGTCTAACAAACAGAGTAGTAGCACTAATTAGTACAACACAAAAACCCAAATGATGAAATGAAACAACCAGAAGAATAGCTGGTTGCTATTAAATAACTAACTATCCTATAAAGTTCAATAGGGCTATCAGAAAAGGTTCAAAGCGAAATAAAAATAATAGTGAAAGTAGTAATGATAAACACAAATAAGAGGGAATACAAGCCATCTACAGCAATTTTACCACACACACACCGAGGGGACATCGGAGACCCTACGCCAGGATTCTTAATAAAGCAGGAATTAGGCTGGTGGTATTTAAAACCTACAAACTCACTCAGGTAGGACAAACTCTCTAGGTTAAAGGCGACTGTAGGTTGACTCAGTGTACTGCTGAAGAGTCCCAAACTAGGACGAAACAGCTGTCCAGTACTCCCAGGTTTCCCAGTGGTTCTCTAACTGATGTCAGCTCATGATTAAATCCTCCATGCAATCAAACAAAATCCCTACAAAACCAATACTTAAAAAAAATTAACATCACTTACAAAATACCTTGCAGTGATTGTGATTCAGGTCAACCACATAGGTCAAACTAGTAGATCAGGAGTAGTGAGATTATCAGAACATGAGAATTTAGCTAAAATTAGAATGATTCATCCCACGAAGGTTAGCAATTAAGAAAAAAAAAGCTCACCAGTCACCCTGCATGCATTAACACACAACCACACAATAGGGTGGTAGAGGGCCAAAATTACAAGAAGTGATATAGATGGGTGGAAAACGAGAGGTTGATTACTGAATTCTTATTCATCGAATGAATCTACACCCAACACATGCAATAGGAATGACTCATCACTCATACCGGAAATATGGAAAATACTGTGTCTGTCTGTTTTCGACATAGAACTTTGCACAAATGTGCGGAAGTTCAAGTCGCCACACTCCGTGTAGCACACGAAGCAAGAGAAGAAAGTACAAGAAAAGCATAATCGAAACAGTTGAGCAGAGGTGTGAGACAAAGGAGGAGTAATAACGAAGAACAAAACAGTTTCATTGGAGATCATAAGTCACAAGGAGTGGATGCATCTGCGCCACTGAGAACGATTTTGAGCCATGTCACCAATTGTTTCCAACCATAGATTTTTACCATCCCGAGGACCCCAGCCTGGAAGTCTACACCTTCCTACGTGGCTTAGACCAACTGTTGTGGATTTCATTGACTGGTGCCATGTTTTTGTTTGACCTCCGCTAGCTTTTTTCCAGCCTGACCCTATATCCGCTAACATTGTTCGTCGAGGGAGGCGATGACTTGGCATACGTAACACATGTCCTAACCATCTCAGTCTTTGTAACTTCACGACTTCATCGATTGATTTCCCCTGTTTACCTAGAACTTGACGTCTAACTTCAGTGTTGCTCACCTTACTACTGACAATCAAGTCAAGCGATGAAAAATAATGAAGGAATTATATAAAGGAAGTTAGAAAGTTGTGTATCTTGATATGATTATAAGCAATATACTGTGCTCGAAACGTAATTAGTAAATATTACTGTATAACACTGTGTGATTTCATCGAAATAAAATTTTATCCAAAATGGAATTATACTCTACGACAGTGTACAAGTTCTATGCTTATATCAACAGGGAAGAGCCGATTGCCCAACAAATATGTAGAAGAAAATGGAGAAGAATGGGCACACGCTAAGGAGTCTGTCGAAGGACGTTGTGCATCAAAACCGGAATAGGAAAAAAAGACAAGCTGGCCGTGGTTTCCAGGGTGACATGGAGAAGAAGAGATAGTGTGGAGAGGAGGCGATGACAGTCTAAAAGGCAATCGTAAGCCCAGTTAGAAAAAACTGCACAGAACAGGAGCAAATGGAGACGTGCAGTTGAAGTTCCACTCAGAATCCAAGGGGACAATATTAATAATAATAATGCTAGTCACCTAAGTATATATGGTCTTGAATCTTCTAAAACCAATCGACACTTTATGCCGTCATACACATCATGCAAAAAAGGCAACACAACAAAACACACTTATAACAAAAGAGACTAAATTTAACTTACCTGCATCTCTTGCCAAAGCATTTCAATCCCAGTGACAAATTTCATCAATGGATCAGATACAGTGAAGGATTCAATCCGACGAATAATGGTTAACAACTGTAAAGTAAAAACAAAAAGTAACAAAGAAATTCATACATATAGAATATGCGTACTGATGAAGAGTCCCAAACTAGGCTAACGAAACAGCTATCCAGTACTCCCCACTGGTTTTCCAATGGTTCTCTAACTGATGTCAGCTCATGATGAGATCCTCCATACAATAAAAAAATATGAATAAATACCCTTCAAACCTTCAACTTATCATAGAAATTGAATGAATTTGGCGTTCTACACATAGTCGACGGAAATCAATGGTTGCGATGAAATTAAATAGCATTGTGGTGAGAGCATGCTGCTAGCCAATTGGTAGACATTAATTCGCGTCAATGTCTAGGTCACTAATATTGGCCGTGAGAAAATACGAACAAGGCTGATTCAACAACCAATCAAAGCAGACTTAACATGGGCAAATATGATTCGCAGATAGATGGCCCCACTTTCCGAGGAACTCGAAAACAACCAATCAGAAGACTGTGTTTGTCTGCCTGAATAAGCTATAATAATGTACATGAAATATATATAAATACGTGCTGATTTCCGTAATAAAACGATCTGTTGTCAGCCCTTGTCTTCTGTTGTTACAGCATTATTGATAGTACTTTCTCCACCAGCCTGATTCTAGTTGGTCAACTGGGTATCATCGCACTCACACACACACAAAATAAATGTGGTTCATAGTCTTCGAGGTACATGAAAGACCTGTGGTACTTGGGAACCCTTAGTAAACGTTTCCAGCATCAGTCGATTTAAAGTCCCACTCTCTCTCTCTCTCAGGAATACAAATACACTGTTCCGTTGAAATACTGGTGAGTAGAGTAAAATTTTGAGATGAATTTGAGGAGGTATTGGTTTCCAACTCGTCTACGTGCAACTCCACTCACATGCAATGGTTTTAACCATACATAACCACTGGTCATTTTGACTTCACTGTTTCACTTTCGCGTAAAAAGCTCTCACTGTGCGAAACAGTGCACAAATACACAACTGATATCAGAGGATAATTCTTCTATAATACAGGATATGCACAGATGAAAGTGTGCATTGCGTAGGAGTCTTAATAAAACCAGAATCAAAGGTGGGGGTGGGAACATCATTTAAACCAACTAACTCATTCAGAGAAAAACTTTGTTGGCTCAAGGTCCACTCGACATATCCAAATGTTTGTTTATTCCTTTACGTTCCCAGTGGAACATAAGGCTTCAAGCCAGAGCTTTGAAGTTTCGGTAGCAATGGGCTGATTTTATTTTTACGGGATGGGGTTGTAGCCTTATGCCCAACCATCCCTCCTTAACAGTCTTATTACTGTTTTAAGAGGTTTGCGAGTACGTCGGTCGGAGACCGAACTCCAGATCACATGAGTGGTCGGCGAGCATTCTACCACTGTCCCACCCCTCCGATGCACTAAATATCTAAATAAGAAACAATATAGTCTACCAAATACCATGTAGTGACTGTTAGTGAGGTCAATTACATGGGTCAAACTAATGGATCAGGGTCGATTAAATGATCGGAACATAGGAATTTATAGCTAGACATACAATGATTGACCCTATTATGTTATATTATCTAGAAAAAAGTCTGACGATTGAATTGCATTCACTTGCATGTAATCACACAATAGAGGTGGTGTTGGGATGGACAGGCTTCTTTGTTTGCGAGCCGTGTAATTGTGATTTATGCATGTAGTGAAACGATAATCTTATTAGACAGTTTCGATTCGTTTATATATGGCTTAATTCTCAGAGGTTTTGTAAAAACGAGTTTGCCTCATTGTGGTATATATTTTCAATTGCCCGTTCGGTTAAAAGGTCGTGTTCTAGTCGAGTCACACGGACCCACAATCCACTATCACTCTGTCATCACAGGTGGGACAGGGTGAAAGTATTCAAAAGTAATACATTCAGGTGGAGGGATTAGTTAATCACCGGATCAACACAGACAATAAAATGATGCAACACAATAAAAACAGTAGAGAGTATGACTATATAAGGCGAATCATCAAGCAGTGTGTGGAATACAGGGTTGCGAGGAGGAATAAACTGTGCATGAAACGAAATACAGTTATGAATAATAGTGTATCATTCACTGAGTAAAATATATCAAATATTTTGATAAATACCTCTGATTATTTAACTCTGTAGATTGAAAGGAACAGTAATCAATCAAGTTGGTCCCACAGTACCCACAACAACAGGTAGGGTAGTATTGAACATAAAGCCGTGGATTATTGCGATGATGACTAAATATGTAAATCCTTCCGTATACAACCCAAATGACGATGAAATTGATTGCTGGTTATTAATTAAAGAGTGAGTCAATATTTCAGCGGTACAATGCTCACTAACCACGCCTCATGTGACCCGGAGTTCGACCTCCAGGCAACGGGGTGCACTCCTAAATCACGTCTATCCGGTTAGTAGGCCCGGTAAGGAGGAAAGGTTGGACGTAAAGCTAGCAATCCCATGCCGAAAAAACCCCACTGCTACTAAGAATTCAGCCATCCGGTTTGAAGCCCTATATTCCACTCAAGACGCAAGAGTTTATAAAATAATAATCAAAGGAATCACAAATCTCTGATCAATGAAGACAGTTATCATTCCTTGAACCTTTCTCGGCTCATTCCTCTGCGTTTCGGCTTGAAAACAAAACTTCAAACTTCAGCTTTGAGGCTTCGGTAGCAATGATTCTTCGTTTTACAGGAGGTGAAGTTCCTCGTCTCACGCTAAACCCATCCTTCCCTCCTTACCGAACTTACCATCAGTAACTAAGCAAGGATGAGGAGTACATCCGCCGAGAATCGATACCTGACAATGTATGCTTGGTAGAACGAGTATTCTACCATTGGACTTCAGACAGACAGACAAACACACACACATACAGACATTCCTATACCTGATAAGGTAGTGAAAACTTACACGTAATAAACTTGGTTGTCCAGGCCATTGATTTAAGATATGCTTCACTTGACTTTCTAAATGTTTCAATATTGAGTTCAATTTCTCTGCCTCTTCCAATGGAATAGGATCAAGGTAAACATTGTAACAATGTGATTTCATAATTAACCATTTTGAGTTGAAATGATAATTCGACGGTGATGTTGAATTGGATGATGATGATGATGACGGTGATGAACCGATGATAGGAAGGATAGGATGAGCTCGTATATCATATTGCCCCATATAGGCTGTGATACCGATAAACGGTAACGTATACAACTTGTCAACAGCAGGATCTGGCGAAGGAGGAGCATGAAAATGCAGCAATGAATTATTAAAAATAAAAACAACAAAAAACGCAATGACGATAGAAGATGATTAATTAGTGTGAATATAGGGTAGTCAGCAATCATTCCATCGTTAACCGTAGGTAAAAACAACCAAATACGCATCTCACAGAGATACAGATGTCCACGTATTTTATTTCATCACTTCCCTTCCGAGTTAGACCAACCCCTCCCCCCAAAGAAAAGAACTTTGGAGCATCTGGACTTCACCAGTGTGATATATGTCTGATTTCCCACACACTAGAAGATATGCAAGTGGTGAAAAGCAAACAGTCGGCAGAAGAGGCATCAAAGAATGATAGGACTTCAGGTGAACATAGAGAAAACAGAAGTAGGTGATGAAGATTCCTGACCAACAGCAACAGCAGCAACAAATGAGAGAAATTTGAAAGAAGCGACCTCCTTTACCTGCCTACCTACCTAGGAAGCATCATTTCAACTACAGGAGGATAGAGCTGATGAGGAAATCAAAGCGAGAATGGGGAAAGCAATTCACGCTTTGATTACTCTCAAGTCTGTGTGGAGGTCAAAAGAACTCACCATACAAAATAAGATCCGGATTTTCAACCCCAGTGTGAAGTCAATCATTGCTATTATACGGATTAGAGACTAAGAGCCGCGTTACGAAGGCCACTTCGATAAAGCTACAGGCTTTCATCAACATCTGTCTTCGCTCAGTATTCAAGATCAAATGGCGAGAAAAGATCAGCAACAATGATCTTTGGCAATGAGCAAACCAACCAGGAACCAATTGTGCAACAAATAAGCAAGGTGAAATGGAGGCGGATCGGCCATACTCTGAGGAAACTATCAAGTGACATCACTAGACAACCCCTCGAGTGGAACCCGAACGAAAAGCGGCGAGTTGGTCATCCCACGGTGGGATGACTTGGAGGAGGTAATGTGAAGAGGAGATGAAAGCATTTGGGCAGACGTAGAGCCTGGTGAAAACGTGGGCAGAGAAACGAACCCAATGGAAACATGTGGCTAAACCAATATGTTCCTGTAGGAATTAAAGGAAACAATAATAATAAATAATAATCCCTTCCGATTGGAATATCAGGCTTCAGTAGAGGTGGTGCTTTTTCTACACGGTAGCGTTGCCAGCTTCACTTCTAACCTTCCTCTTTTTCTTGAGCTTATAACAATCTAGTAAACCAGACGAGGTTCACGGAGAGTGCATCAATCAGGAACTGGAACCAGATCTCTTCCGTGGCCAGCGACCAACCTATCATTGAACCACTTATGCCTAACAAGATGCCTACATAATCACATTTTCACAGTTTTATCTAACTTTGAGGTAATAAAAAGAGAAACAGATAAGCTTGTGAAGCTCCGTGGACTGAGACAATCAGGGCATGTGTTACACCGACTTTATAGACAAACAATAGGCTATGAGAAAGATGGGTGGGGGATGGTCAGACTAAAAAATCGGCACCAATCCATTGAGAGTATTCTACTGCTAATTTGAAACCTTTGTTGGGAGATGTAGGGTGAAAACTGTGTAGCTGGGGGAGAAATCTTTGTGAATCCAAGAATCAATTAACTGGATACCATTGGTCAAAATCGTTCTTGGTTCATACCTTCTCATCTGCCAACTTATCGTCATCCACTTATATTCATTCTCTTGTACATCTAGGGCTATTGTACTCATATTGCATTACTTTGCTGTGTACGTTTCTATTTGTTTCTGTGAGGTATGTTAATTTGGTTTGATGTAATCCTCTGAAGAGCGCTCCAATTTGATAACCGAATCAGTCAACCAGACTTGAAATTACCATCCGGAATTACTAATCATGTATCAAGGCCTCGCGTGGAATATATGAATAGGAAGGATACCATGAGTTGAGAGTCAATCCAAGGATAACATAAGATGCCAATACGGTAAAAAAAGAAACAACTTTATATTGATACAAAGCAGTCGTCATGGTGATATGAATAATTGGTTCAGGGATTCGCTTCCAAGCTGTTGAATTCGGGGAAGGAAAGAAATCTCGCTCGACCTCCTTCAGCCTGGGCGAGCAACTGGATGATAGTGTTTACACCATTCACATATTACACAGTGACTGGCTCACACAACCCGATACAAGGTAGCTAGCTAACTCAGCTCTAAACAACTAAATGAAACAGGCGACGATGGGAGTCAAAACTCTTTGGGAACCGAAACAGTTACTTTTTTTGTCATCGAAGTACAGACTATGATTAGCTGGATAATACTACTGCCCAAAAGGGACCTACCTACCTACCTACCTACCTCAGTGGTTGAAAATCGAACACCCAGATTACCAACTTTTCATTGATGATATTCCTAATTGTAGTGGATTGCATTATGCGGTAGACAGTGCGTGGGGGAGAGTCACAAAAGCATTCCAAAAAGGCCACTGCAGACCTTTATCAACAATTACTCTCTCTCCATACTGAAGATCGGATGGCCAGGAAGAATTCGGAAAAAAAAAACTCTGGGAATGAATCGGCAGTCGAGAACCTAATGCTCAGCAGATATCCCGAAGGAAATGAAGATGGAACGGGTGACAGGTAATCCCTTGAGGAGAAGCGACGAGTTGGACCTGTCTCTGAAGAAAAAGATGCACTGTCGAAACTCGATGCTTCACTCGAAAACCAAGGGAACAATAATAGGCTAAATGGGTTAAATCTGTCCACACTTACCTAAACTCATTTTCGACTGAATTGACAACCAACTGGCTAAATTATAACCAAAGAGCACAGTATGCCAGTGCCATGAGAATGCATTGGTCACATCCAATTGATGAATAGGCATTTCACTCTTTGAATGTATCATCGGATTATTGATTGAAGTAGAGCTAGGCGTCTCTGAATTGCTACAGCACAAAAGCAGCAGGTAAACAAGACGATTAATAAAATAGACCAATTCATTTTCATCTGGTATCCAATATTTGTCAGAGGTATTCAATGATTTCTTTAACCAATTGTCGACTGCTTCCAATTTATTGACTGTCTGTTTGTTTATGCGAAGAGAATACAAAGAGAAGAAGTAGAAAAATTGGGGTGAAAAAACTTTTTTTTTAATGGGTTAAATCAGCATTTCTGTGTACTCAGAATTAAGATCACGAACAGAAGAAATCATTTAGAGGTCAAGACAGCCCTCACCTTGGATACTGTTTTATGGCTAGTCTATAAAATGACCAACAATCCAAAGATTTCATGTATAATATAAAAGGTATGTAGATGACCCATTCAATATTTGTGATCGCCATTACGATTTGAATAATATATTTTCTATAGTTGGTTTGTAAGGGTTAGTTTTGTTTTTACGAGTTTGACCACGGATTGATATCAGTTAGAGAACCATTGAAAACCAGCACTGGAGTATTGGACAGCTAGCTGTTTCATCCTGGCTTTGGGATCATCAGCGGTACGCAGCCACCAGAGAGGTTCGAACCCAGGACTTTACGGTTACAAGGCAAGCTTGTTTACCATACAACCCATTGGGACCCGATTCAATGGCCAGTCAATAAATTTCAACTCCTACCGATTCGTGATTTAGCGTGACCGCAACCAATGTCGTCGGTGGAACATGATCCATCCAGTGAGGTCCACCATCCAGTCACATATGATGATGGATGTCCCATCGACGATATTGGTTGAGGTCGCACTAAATCACAAATTGGCAGAAGTTGGAATTCATGGGCTAGCGATTTGATCGGTTGGGTCGCAGTGGCTTAATGGTCTGTCTACGAGCTTGCCTTGTAGCCGGAAGGTCGTGGGTTCGAACCTGTGTGGTGGGTGCGTACTGCCGATGACTCCCAAACCAGGATGAAACACCTAGCTGTCTAGTACTGTGGTATCGGCTTTCAATGGTTCTCTAACTGATATCAATCCATGATCAACTCGTGAATAATATATGTATTAAATGTGTTTAATAGTTGTCATTCAGCGATAAAATTCACACTGGAAGTGAAGAACAAGTCTAACATTCATTTTCTTGATGAGAACTTATCAAGGACGATTAGTAGAGCTCTTAAGAGATCAATTTACAGAAGGCTATCATGGAATGACCAATTGATAAATTTATACAGCTGGGTAGGTAACCATTGGTCGAAGCTGAAACCTTATCCAGTCATTTGTAACTAGCATTCGGCGCATATGTAACCCTGGTGCTATGGAGGAGAAGTTCGAAATGGAAAACGGATTTATAGAATAAGAACATACCGTCAAAACCTAGTAAAAAGTGTGACTTAACGTCCGTAATCAAGAAAATGCTGAACTCGAACTTGGAATTCAAAAGTAACTGAGCTGCCAACTTCTTTAAAAGAAGGTTCTCACAGTCTCGTTGAGAACAGTGCTTTTCGGTCGACCATTACTGTTCAGAAACCTGAAGGACAATATTCCGCAGTTGACCAACTCTATGTACGTTTATCAATTCACCTATTCCTGTGGAGCTGGGTATATCGGCCTTTCGACTCGAGTTTTGTCCAAGAGGCTGTAAGAACACTGCGCTGCGTTGTTACGAATAAATCGGAGTAGAGCTATAAGAAGCACAGTCATTGAACATCTGGTCGACACTGATCTCTCCCTTTGAAATCATCTTCAAGGCGAAAAATAACTTACCCGAACCATTAAGTATCCAACTCAACCGTATTGCTAAAGTTTTGGCCATCAAAATAGACAGAAAAAGTCAACCACGTTCAACTACTTCACTCCCTATAATCAAGGTAGGAGCTGATGCAATCTAGTCCTGTAATATCAGCAACAAAACGCAAGGTAAACACACACGAAGAGTTCAGCTCCTCAAGGTGTTCATTTTATCAACGTTTTCACCTGGGAGATAAAAAGCTATATCATCCGTATATTTTAAGTCAACAAGACCACACCCTGGTTACAATACTTGTGGTTATCATTGCAGATGTCAGGGAAACTTGACAGTTCATTCTGCTCAACAACAAAAAATACCGGTAATAAAATGCATAATAAATCTCATGAAAAATAGACAATAAAAAAACAGTAGTATGAATAGTGTAATTCCTCATTCTTGTTACCTGTTGAATCTGATCTTCTTTAGCTAAACCACTAGCAGACAATTTATTCGCACCAATGCTTAATTCAGAGAATGCCTTTAAACATGCTGATTCTGAAAAGCGTAAACGCCAGTCTAATTCTTCATTTAATGACTGATCGATTAATTCCGGCGAAGTGCATCGATCACTTTGTTGTTGGTGGTGTTGTCGTCGTTGTTGGCCTCCTTTAGCATCTGTCTTAATACCTTGTAATTCATTACGTATAAGTTGTTTACGACGATCAGCTTCCAAGAAGAGTGCTGCTCTCAATTCAGATAAACGTTTTCTTTCCGCTTCGATATGCCTCCAATGTTGAGCTAATGGACGCAGCATTGAATTCAGTATACGACCAATTAATTTATGCATATTTTCAAAGGGAAGTGTTGAAGTATTCTTTTCAGCATTATGTAACCATAATAAATTTAGGATGAATGAACTGATTCTGTCAGGATTAAGCAGAAAAAAAGAAGATTAAAAAGAGGGCATGGAGTTATTGAGATTCGCAGGATACAATATATTACAAACTGACATTTTAACTATGTATATGAACGAACTCTCTATTCCAAGTTGATATTGGGGTTAGATTAACACATCACAATGACTCAACGAGATACGCAGGTTGGAATGAATACTCCTTCAATTTCTACGATGACTGAAGGATTGTTTGTATAGTGGTTAGACTAAAAGGCGATTGCCGTCATGGTCTAAGCTGTTCAAACTATGTGGCGAGTCTCAAGGCGAAGGTATCCTCCTATTCAATGATAAGGTAACACCAGTGAGATGTTTCCTTTGGATGACGAGCAAAGCAGTTCTATCCTGTGTCCCCATTCCAATGTGAGTGGAGTTAAACAAGGCCAACCTCAAAAACCAGACAACCTGACTTATCTTACTGAGGTTGGTAGTAGAGAGAGAGAGAGACAACTCCAGAAACAACCTCAAACTGGCAATATTGAAAGCCCCTCTTCTCATCTAAATCCACCTACAACCTTTTTGATTGACTGGTTTCAACAAGGGACTTCGCACCGATGTGTAGCAGTTCTAGTCTCCCCTTCATGTAGCACACAAAGCAAGAGAAAAAAGTAAAAATAAATGCATAACAGAGAAAATTAACAGAGATATGAGGGAAAAAGAATAGTAATATCGAAAAAGAATTTAGTTTTATTGGGGGAGAGAGCATATGATAGATCACAAAGAGTTACTGGATCTGCGCCAGTCATAACACCAATTGTCTCCAGCCTTCATTAATTTTTACCATCCCAAGGACCCCAACCAGGAAGTCTGCACCTTCTTACGTGATATAAACTAACTGTTGTGGATTTCATTCATTGATGAAGTCAGCCATGTTTTGGTTTGACCACGATGGCGATGGCTTGAGATGCATGCGCAACACATGTCCTCTCCATCTCAGTCGATGCAACTTTACAGCTGCGTCTACTGATTTCCCCTCCTTACCAGCTAGCATTCAACCAATTTCTAACCTCAATATTTTTCACTTTATTTTACTACCACATAGCACAGGAGATAGAACGGAGACACCTATGATCAAAGACAGCTACTGGGCCTTCTCATGTCTCCTACTTTCAATCGCCATGTCTCACAGCCAGCCATAAACGAGGACGAAGCGGACTGCTGAGCCAGACGGATATCAAGTCTATTAAGCCAGAGACGATGTAAACTGGCATTTGTGAAGCAAACCTTCTATATCTGTGCAGAAATTTCGTCAACGATCAACCCTCTGGCATTGGCTGATGCAACTTCAACCTTCTTACAATCCATAACCTTACAATGATGAAATGGTATCAGAGTTCACATAGAAGAGATGTGTCGTAAAAATATCTCAGCAATGTTATAGACGACAATGACAAAGTAGAAATATCAAACAAACAGGTTAGTGACAGAATCCTGAAGATAAGTGTCGATTTTCAAAGATTCATTTGATCTGGACTCGGAGATGGTGAAATGACATAAAGTTAGAGAATCAAAGAAAAGCATGATCCAACTGGGAATCGAAAACCCTGGAACCTTCAGGTTCCAACACCCATTGGTTAATTATCAGCCAATAGCAGGAGAATTGAATGGTTCACAAATTCAAACTTTAGAAACAAAACAAAAGGCCAATGTTATAAAAAATAAATAAACTTACCGAAATTGTATTTCTTGAGTTTTTCGTAGAGTATCATCATTGTTCTTTAGATTGCCTAGCAGCATTGAATTATTAACAGAGTTGACTAATTGTTGAATGATGCGTCTCGATTCAGGACTAGCTAATTCCATGGCTAATAACATCGGTCGAGATGATCGTTGATTAGCTGGTGATGATGATGATGATGATAATACACCGATGGCATTATTTTTATTATCATCAGTGTATGCATTTGGCAGAAGATTAGTCACCAAAGATTTAATCATTGACGAGACAGACACCTGTTTTAAAATTTCAAAAACAAAGTGAACGATTTTGACATCTCATTAGATAGAAAGTTTCTGTGTAAGAGAGATTCCTGTTTTCGAAGGGATTTTGTTTGACTGGTTGTTGAAGGATTTCATCATGAGCTGACATAAGTTAGAGAATCATTGCAAACCACCAAGGACAACTGGACAGAGGTTTCATCCTAGTTTGGGACTCTTATTCAGTATGCACCTACAGCCTGGGTTTGAACTCAGGACCTTCTGGTTACAAGGCTAGCGAGCTCGTAGAACATTATATGCCACTGAAATCCGGTCCAATGACCAACCCATGAACCCTAACTTCCGGCAGTCCATGACATAGCGCGATCACATCACAATGTCTTCTTCGATGAGTTACTGCCTCATCTTCAACCTGCTGCACCCAACTGGACACGGACAAATACGCTGAGGAGACCGATGAGTGACATCGTAGGCGCCAGTCAGGCGACCTTGAGTAGAATTTGAGGTGAGAAGTTAGGCATGCGTTTAAGAGTGGCATACAGGGGAATTTGTGACGAAAAGAAAAGAGCTTATGGGAAACTGTGTAGCCAGCTGGAGATGATTGCAGAGAATGGAATCAAAAACGGAGATGTGCTGTTGAAGATCTACATTCCACTCGGAACAGTCCTAAGGAATAATATTAATAATAATGAACCAATAATATGAACAGAATACAAAACAGGATCATTAACTTACATTCAATGCGTTACTCGGTGAAATGATCTCATGAAAGACAATTCGAAGACCGCGATACACCTGAATACACAAAAGCATACATGTATAGTTTAAAAATAAAAAAATACCAACAATGAATTTGTCATTAGATGAATGCAAACACTGAAACAACAATTCCCATACACAATTGGACTTATTGTAAGACAATACAAAGACGTGTCATGCAGTACTACGCTGCTGTTTTCATCCTTGTTTAAGACGCTTCATCAGTGCGCAGTCATGAACGCGATCATAGATCGAACCCAGAATTTTCAGGTTACAACGCAAAATCATGTAGCAGTCATCCACTTAGATACTATATGCACTTAATATGGCGTCGGTGATAGAATCTGCGTTAGATTTCCGGCCAACACACTCTTAAACGTCGACCAACCGGTACTAAGTTTGGAAAAGAGCGAAGGACTGGGGAATAAACAGACATATATATACACACACACTGAGCAGCCTGTGAAAAACAACAGGTTCCTGAGGTATATAAGTCTAAATAGATCTATCGGTTGACACTGCCAGGGCACAGTTTGCGTCAGTTACTTTCCTATTCGAAAGATGTTATCCGATAAAAGATTGCAATGAAAATAGTCCGGGATTACTGACATAACATATGTAGGAAGGTGTAGACTGGTTACACAGAATCCTGAAGACGTAGAATGCTAGTAAAATGGATCGAAAAATGGTTTTCAGGGGCACAGATGCATTAAGGCTTTGGAATCTCCCAGATTCATTATATTATTGTGGCTTTTTATGTTACTATTTTCTTCTTCCTGTACATTTTCTGGTCAACTACGCAAGTGGTTTGGGGTTTGATCCCCGATTAACGCAGCCGTCTTATACCATGCTTAGCGGGCAGTAATTCCTGCAAAAAGAGGGAAGGTTGAGTGTGAGGTTAGCAACGCGATCCCGTAAAAAATAACATTACTATTGGAACTTCAAACCTCGGGTTTGAAGCCTTATGTTGCATTGGGAACGCAAAGGAATAACAGTAGTATAGTTCTTTCGAATACTTTTTCTGTACTTGTATATCCTACATCAGGTGTGTGTGTGTATGGTTGGTTGCACTGCTAAACTTTTGTGCAGGGAAGTGCTACACTGAAATTCTAAGCACATGGATATCAGATCAGTAACTCGGCCTCATGGCCAAAACACATCAAAACAAGACAGTTTATCAGCTTGATTATCGATCAACGGTGCACTTCTCCTGCCATTATGCAACGGTTTACAATTTCTGACTGACTCCACCAATAGCGCTTAGGCAAACTTATAAGCGGACGAAAGGACTTCTCAAGGTTTCAAATACAGCCTAATAAGTTAATTGCTTATAAGGGACTGATTGGTTTCAACACAGAACTTTGCACAGATGTACAGCAGTTTGAGTTGCCGAACCCCCCGCCCCCCCCCCCCGTGTAGCACACAGAGCAAGAGAACAGAGTAATGAGAGATTCGAAACAGAAATATGAGGCAAATAGAATAGTAATATGGAAGAACCATATAGTTTTACTGCACCAGCCATTTTGAACCGTATCACTAATTGTTTCCACCTCCCTCATTGGTTCTTATCACTCCGAGGACACCAAACCAGACAAACAGTCTACACCTCCCCAAAGTTGCTTAAACTAATAGTTATGAATTTCATTGACTGATGAGGCCAGTCATGATTTAATCTGACCACCACTACTAACTCTTTTCCAACCTCACTGATCCTATGTCAGTTAAAAATGCCTGTCGGGGAAGGCGCTGACTGGGCTAAGCATGCGTAACATGCACACATGTCCTAACCACCTCAAATCAGTGTAAATTTGCAACCTCATCGATCGATTTCCCCTTCTTAACTATTAAGAGACGCCTAAGTGCTTATAAGTAGGACATAACTGCCCATTTTACACACCCAAACAGAATGAAGAAAAGGATATATACATATACAATCAACTTACATAGAATAAACCATACAGGAAAGGTGTAATAATATCGGCAAACATATGATAACGTTTCGGTTCAGTTAACCAATTGCCTAAATTGGCTGTAGCTTCAATCCATCGATGAATTGTTTGTAGTTTGAAATTCTTTTCAATCATTTCAGTATAGTTGTTGTTATTGTCTTGAGGACAATATGGAAGTAAGAAATCCTCGGTGAAATCCGTTAGAAAAGTAGTCAGACGACGTCGAATCTCTACATACTATAAGTCAACAAGGAAGGAATACAAATGATAAGGTGATGAAATGACATATATATATATATATATATATATATATATATATTTTCTATAGTTGGTGAAAGTTTTTGTATTTCCCAATGAATGACAAATAAAAAGACGTTTTTCTCTAATAATGCGTTTATTAGATATATCACACAATGAAACAGTATTATTATTATTATTTAGTGGATGACGAGGTTTCGAACACAATTTATTGTTCATAATCATATCCGTTATAAACTCACGACTATGGAACTTCAGTTTTACATTTTCAGGAAATTCGCTTTTAAGAATTTGATTAATTGGTCACAGGGTTTCATCAGATACAGAGCCATTGGAAAACCTGGAGGGAGTATTGGATAGCTGTTTCGCCCTAGTTTGACAAATTGCGAGGTGGTCGTGCTGTGTCATGAATTGGTAGAAGTTAAGATTCACAGGCTGGCCATTGAATCATGCCCCAGTGGCTTAATGGTCCACGAGCTCGCTAGCCCCGTAACCACAAAGTCCTGAGTGTGAACCCCGGCGGGTGCGTGCTGATGAAGAGTCCCAAATTAGGCTTACAAAACAGCTGTCCAGTACTTCATGGCTTTCCAATAGTTCTCTATTGATGTTAGCTTATGGTGAAATCCTCCAACCAAATAGCGTTACTGATGTCAATTACATAGGAGTGAACTAGTAGACCGGGTTCACTTAGATTATCTTATAACTATTAAAATTTAGCTGAACCCAAAATGATTGAACCTGTTAGGTTAAATAACCTAGGAAAAGGTTCAGGTATTACACTGCATTCACTTGCATGTAATCACAAAATAGGGTGAGTGGGACAGTGAGAGAGTATTAAAATGTAATAATATAGTAACACGTGAAGAGACTGAATCTTTGTTTATTGGATTCAACACCGCACACGTGCAATCGAAATGACACAACCCCCTATACTGGAGATATGAAACGTGGCGACAAATAACAAAAAGAAGTTGGAGAGAGAGAGGGGCAGAAAGAGACAGGAAATATATACAAGACAAATTGTGCAAAAGTATGACTAAAATTGATATTAATTTAATAATTCCCATTGTAGCATTAAGAACACAACAGTCAGAGGATGCTTTCCACACGGATATGAGAACATATTCCAGCAGCAGGGTTTTACAAGGGAGAAAGAAAGTGTGTACGAAGCTCTATTGTAGAACACCTGATCGACTGCTGTCACTCCACACCAACCCTGACCATGATTTCAAGATCATTTATAGTGCGTCGGTGGCACAGTGGTTAGGACTCTCATCGACCATGCACATGGTCCGGGGTTCGAGCCCGCATCGCCACACATCTGATATCTATGGTCGGCCTGCAAAATTTGGGCTACCGATATCCACGCTGAAATTTCCATACTTGTACCGAAAATACAGTGTGGAATCAAGCTGTAAATCAAAAATTTAAAAAAATATATAGAATTCATGCTAACTTCCCGCGTTTTCTTCGTTACAGACTTCTAAAGACAGCTGTGGCCTTGGCAATTCATGACTTTAAACAAGACCTTTGTGTGCCTTGGCCATAGAGGGATAGACATTTATTTATTTAGTTATTCTATGTACTCTTCCCTTATTACTATTATTATAATTATTATCATTATTATTATTCTCACTCTGAATCTTTTCCATTTGACCCACTTGTCATTTTTAACCCAAAATTATTAATTTTTAAATTTTTTATCTTGTCAAATTTCACACCATGTTATGTAATATTTTATATTCTCGTCTATTAATCTTAGAATTGTGTACCCCTTTCCAAAATGTATACACCTTATGTATTATTCCATATATGACATTAATTATTTTGCTACTTGACATTAAACTATGATTATAATCACAGATATTTTAATTGCATTTCATACTACTATTATTATTTCATGTATTCACACCTTTGACTTAATTCCCTCACCGGATATAATTTCTTAAAAAGAACTATATATATATATATATATGTACGATTGTACAGATTGATAATAAATTCGTTGTTGTAAAGAGTCTCTTCGCTGAATATTGTGTTCTTAAAATTGACATGATTATGAACAGCAATCACACTTATGCTCGAAACCTTGTCTGACATCCACTTGTTAATACTGCATCATCAATGTGTGATATTTAAGATAAACTCATCTAATGTGGAATTACATATTCTACCACCACAGTGCCTATGTTCTACACTTATATTACTAAAATGCAAATAATAATAAAAGTAGTAAGAATAAGACTGATGACAATGACTTTACTTGTAAATTTTCAAAAATATACCAATATTACCTCAAAATTTGAGTTTTGACGACAGACTAAAATCTCCTTACAACTGGCTCCTAATTGATGTTTTAAATCTTCTGCCTTGGAAGAAAGACATCGGCGTCGATTGATTAGAACACCTAACCATGGATGCAGTAAACCAGAGTTCACATGATCTGTCACGCTATCTGGATGGATATCTTTTAAAGGCATTAGACGATTATCATTATAGGCGCCAATCGAGTGTTGTTGAAGATGCTCACGGAATTCTAATTCACTATTGATACGTTTCATCTAGAATTTGTGAAGGAAAGAGAGAGCAGACAATACATAAAGAAGAATATATACAAAATTATACCCTAGCCAGGGCTCAATCAGATGCTCTAGGTAAACGAACAACCATTAGTGCGACTAATAATCATCTCAGATTAGACCACGGATTGATATCAGTTGGAGAACCATTGAAAACCACCTGATGTCAATACTAGACAGCTGTTTCATCCTAGTTTGGGAATTATCAGCACTATGCAGCCACTTGGTTTCGAACTCGATACCTTCTAGTTACAAGGCAGGCTCGTATACCATTCAGCCACTGGGAAGCGTTTCAAAAGCCCCTGAATTCTAACTTCTACCGATTCATCATTTCAGCGTGACCATCAACCAATGAACTGGATGACGTGGGTTCGAATATCTCAGAAGAGACGTCTGTTCCTTCCCCCATCAACCAATGCCATCAGAGGGAACTCTATTGTCACTCCTGACTGAATGGAACAAAAACTGGTCACAACTTCTCACTAGACCTCCACGCAGCTCTCTCCTGTAGCCGGTTACTACAGGGCATCAGATTAATTTTCTATTTTGTGCTATTTAGGTGACGTTATAACGACGTCGAATAAATGCACGACAGAAAAAAAACACACATGAAATGATCTCAGAACAGTGTCTAGTATGATACCTATCACCATTTTTAGTCTCATCGATTCTACCTTCTCATTTTCTCTCCTTCAACTTGATACTTCTCAGTGGAAGTGACGACGTCAGGAGCGACATTCGATATCAGTACTCATGGCTTCAAAAGCCGGGGTATCATTCACCTGGGTCGTCACAGTTGAACATAGAGTTCGAAAAGCGCATCTCCACTACATTCTCTTATCTACAGTCTTTTCAAAGCTAAACACGATCTCCCCTATGTCACATCCTCACACACATGAACAACTTGTAGTTTACTAGTGAGATTCTACTCAACTCAATGGTTTCTCCAGGGCGTGTTGCGACTCAACCGTGGTCTACTCATTGTATGTCCAGTCCATGAACCATTTCCTACTGCATATTTTGATGAACAACAAGTTTTTGGTTGGTTTCGCCAACATGCAGGATTTCTTGTCACTTATCCCTTCAGGGGTGAAGTTAAAGTATCATAGCCAAAATCGACGTCTTTCAAAAGTTGACCTTCAAGAACCAATCACACACAAAAATGCTTTGAAATATCATTTCAAATCACGTCATGTCTACATTTTTGTACCTGGAGAGGATAGATACAATAGCCCACTTATCACTCTAGGTACTTTATCTGAAAATCTACGCCGTTAAGTAGGATTATGGCTTTTAAGATTAAGGTTGAGGGTCTAGGTTTAAGGTCAGGACTAGGGTTAAATTTAGGATCAGAAGTTAGGATTATGGTTGAAGTTAGGAGTACATTGAAGAACAGTGTCAGAAATATTAATGAATCTTAAAGTACCATGACACCTACAGTCAGTCACCCAACTGGATGAATGAGTACATCACACATGGTACGATTTCTCTATAGGTCATCTGTGTATGGACTGGGAGACATTCTTACATTGGAATTCTGATTGGTTGCTTAAGGTCACTGTGATTCTGGATGTAATAGCTTAACTTTGTCCCTTCTGGTTAGCAATCTGACTTTCAGTTATTATGCAACCAGAGAAGGCATCTGTTCATGAAAATCTAGTCTGTTAGAAGATATTTACGTGACTCACACATCAAGTCTCTGAACTACATTGGAAGCATTGACTTGATTCTCTGTTGAAGATCCCGAACTTATTACTACTTATGTGGTGAGAGCAGCCTGCTAGCTAATTGGTTGACATTAATCTACGTCAATGTCTAGGTCACTAATATGGGCCGTGAGAAAATATGAACAAGGCTGTTTCAACAACCAATCACAGCAAACTTAAACGTGGGCAAATATGATTCGCAGATAGATGGCTCCGCTTTCCGAGGAACTCGAAAACAACCAATCAGAAGACTCCGTTTGTCTACTTGAATAGGCTATAATAATGTATGTGAAATTTATATAAATACGTGTTGATTTCCATAATAAAACGATCTGTTGCCTGGCCTTTGTCTTCTGTTGTTACACTTATACTGACTACAGTACATTTGTAAACTGATCTCAGACGAACGAAGATCTGATCCAATCATGCACTTTCGACATGCTTATATAAGTATATACCGACTGTAGGTGGTAATTTGAAGTCGTCCATCGGGATGTCATCCAACATGTCGACAGATATGAAATATTTCAATCCAATGCAAAACCAGTCAACAAGAAACTCATGAGAAGCTTCAAATAGTATCTACATTTATTATTATCATATTGCGCGTCGGTGGCACAGCGGTTAGAACACTCGCCGACCATGCACATGGTTAGGGGTTTGAGCCTCCACCGACGCACACCTCATATCAATGGGCGGCCTGCAAAATTTGGGCTATTGATATCACATGCTGAGAATTCCATGTCTATACCAAAAAATACGGTGTAGAATCAAGCTGTTATCAAAAATCAAATCAATAAAAAGGAGCAGAAGGGAAAACCAAAAATTGAAAAATCTTGGTTATCGACGATAGCCACTTGCATATCGAAAGGACACAGCTAAACAAATTCAAAGACTATTTGCTTCATATAATATTAAAGTCTATGTCAAACCTTCTAATTCTTTGAAGAAATCGTTGGTGCACGTCAAAGATATAGTTCCCAGAATGTTACAAAGTAATTGTGTCTACAGGATAAAGTGTTCAGAATGTGATGCATGCTATGTATAGGGGAGAGCAGTAGACAGGTGAAGGTCAGAGTGAATGAACATAGATTATGCACGAAACGTCCCCGCCTAGAAATGAGGTAAAATTAAAAAGTCTAGAAAAAAGATCGGCTATAGTAATGCATGCGATGGACAGTGGATATAAGATTGATTTCGACAATGTCGAAATTCATTCACATAAAGAAAGATTGACTTCTGAAGCCTTGCACATTTTAACCACATCGAATGCAGTGAAAAGGAAAGAAGGGATAGACTTATCCCCTATATGGCAACCTCTTATAAAGCAAGACATGTAAAAAAAATTCTACGAGCCTCCATGACCTTTAAAAACATGTAGTATCATGTTTATCACATATGAATTCACGTATTTTCCATTTGAAAAATAACATTCATACACACTATTATGTACTCGTCGCCAAATTATTGTTATGTACTGGTCGAGAATTTAATAGTCCTGACGCAAGAAAGACGGAAATCAGAAGACCACTAGGTTTGCGATGATACTTCTATTTTCCAAAATACCAGGTGAATCAATATGTCACACAAGTGTGTGAGAGCAAAATATATAAGAATGTCCGAACAAGTGTGTGAACAATCAATAGACAGTATTAACATGATTGGCTAATTATAATGGAGTATCGATCCATATATACATAGCAAAATATAGCAGACATGTCAACAAACATACATATTATATGGATATATGTCACGAGGTCAGACTGTCAACAAACACACATATTATATATACTATAAGGGGAATATAAATTGTTAAAGGAGACAGGTTCATCAAAGTGCAATGGTCACAGACTAAGAGAGCAATAGAAAGAGAGACCACCATATATATATATATATATATATATATATATATATATATATATATATATATATATATATATATATATAGATAGATAGATAGATAGATAGATAGATACATATCACACACATAACTATCGTATTTACAAAATCCTGTTCATTCCACTTCATTATATTCATTATTATTATTTGACAATCATTCACCAATAGTACATTTAATTTTACACCATATCATCGTTATTATTTTACAATCATTCTTATTGTTGTTATTTTCAACCTTGAACTTAAGTCTAGACCGCCCCATTCGTTGGTTTTATTTTCATATTGCCTCACACACCCTGATTACACTCACTCTTGAAACCTGTATTTTCTGTTAACTATATTTATATATATATATACACACTTCATTAAATTATTTCATCTCATTCTGTCCCATGTTGTTATTGACCATGCATATTAAAAAAAACTATATGACTATATGACTATTGTTTCATCCCATCTTATACTTGTTCCACAATACACTTTCTGATATGATTCTAATTCGCCTTTACTGGCTATTGTATGCTTACATTAATGGATTTATAATTGTAGAGCCTGAAGAAGAATTTATTGAAAACAATTGTTCGCTCTAAATCATTATAAATTATTTAAATTTTTCCCAGAGTGTTAAGAAAATCAAAGGAAGGTTTTTATGAACGTTTCGCCCTGTACGCCACAGTTGAAGAAGCTGTGGTTGTAGAGAAACTACGAAATGATATCACCTCACGAAATTTGTCTTCTTAATGCCTTATTTAAACTTCACAAATCAACTATAGAAAAGTATACACAACAACAATTTGACATTAGTCATTACAAATATATGTGATGACTGCTTACATATTTCTCTTCTATAGTTTGGTTTGTAAGGGTTAATTTTGTTTTTTACGATTTGCTCACGGATTGATATCAGTAAGAGAACCATTGAAAAAACCAGGGAGTACTGGACAGCTGTTTCAGCCTAGTTTTGGGAATCATCAGCAGTACGCACCCATTGGGCTTCGAAACCAGGACCTTTCGGTTACATATTTCTTTTGGTGAAAACGTCCATGGACAAATGACCTTCAAATAAACTGACTTCAATTTATGTATAAATGTTTTGACGATATATTTTGATGATTAATAGAACTCCGAATAAATCTGCTGAAGAAGCTGTGGTGGCTTACATAGAGAAACGTTCTTTTGATTTTCTTAAACACGCTGAGATTAGTATTTAATTGGTGGATGATGACTAGCAGTGGTGGAATCCAGGATAACGCGCATTTCGTCCTATTTGGGATTCGTCGCTGGATGTACCTGCATTCCCCTCAGTGAGTGATGATGTTCCCACCGAGGCTCGAACCCAGTACCCGTAGTTTCTAACGTCAAAGCGTTATCCACTAGACCACTTAGGCCACGGGAGTAACCTCTTGTGCAACGGGTCATATTAATTTTATTGAATTTGAGATTTTCCCGTCGATTGATTGGATCGAAGTGCTCGGTCTCAGGTTGACATGTAGGCTTCTTGTACAGATGCTTCGACGATGTCTGGGGATTTAGTTAGTAACCTGAGACCGAGCAATTCGGTCCAATCAATCGACGGGAAAATCTCAAATTCGAAAATAAAACGCTGAGATTAATTTAAATAATTTATAATGAATCAATCTGACTCGGCGATCAGAAGTATTCGTAACACCTACGGTCTGGAAACTTATAATATTATTTACATTGTATTATACTGGGGTTTAAACTGTAAAACACACAGTCCGAACACACATTAACAAAATGACATTCTACTCATCATCGCATCACATCACATACTTTTGAAAGAGTGGATCACAGACAAAAACACAAACAGAGAGAGAGAGGGAGGGAGAGAGAGAGGAATAGCTTACTCACCTCATATTCAATATCCTCCTCTTCAATTTGCATGACAAGATACGGATCTAAATGACTTTCTGGACGAATACATCGTAGATATAGGCAACCAATCAGAAGCCAACATTTGCTCAAAATAAATTTATTATTCATCAATATTCTCTGATTGTCAATATTCATCTGAAGAGATTCGTCTGTTGACGAGGAGTTGGAAGTGGTCAGCAACACGTGAAGTTGATTGAATTGTTCAATTAACAGTTCAGTTAAACGTGCAATATGATACCAATCAGAAGAAGATTGACGATTAGTCAGACATGATGTTTTAATTAAATCTATAGATGGTTTTAAAGTGATGTTGATCCAATTCAACAGATCAATTAGGGAAAGGCAAACACCATTCGAGTAGACTGGGAGATTATTCTCTCCGGTGGGATGTGATTTGCCAATAGATTTTAATGATCGATATATTCCTTGTAGGAGAGTGAAGGCAAGCTGTACAACTGTCTTTATATCAGAAGACCTGAAATTTTGATTTTGACATTTTTGAAGAGAAAGGGAAACATGAAATACAAAATGGATATTAGACACTAACATAATTACATCGAAATTCACGGAAAATACCACCCATCCAGACATGAATAGAAGAACAACAAAATTCAGTGAAGAGTCCCTTTTTCAGCGGCGAATTGATTCACACCTAGTCGTACAATCGCATTTATATACGATTATTTTGTATGTGTGAACATTAGAGTTGCCCAAAAGAAATAAAATAAAAATTAGTTAGGTCTATTGTTTTTTTTATATTATATTATATTATTATTATTGTTCCCTTGGGTTCCTAGCAGAACATAGGGCTCTAACTGCACGTCTCCACTTGCTTCTGTCTTCTGCTGTACTTTCCACCTGCATTCATGTTCACCACCCATACTGTTTCAACTCCACTTCACACGATCTCCTCCATGTCACCCTTGCACTGACGTCCCACTCGCCGCTTCCCTTTCGGCCTGGTTCCACTCGAGTAATGGCCTGACGCGCACGCGATGTCACCCAGCGGCCTCCTCAGCGAGTGTCCAATCCATCTCCACTTTCTCCTCCATATTTGTTGGTTGGCGATTGGTTCTTGTTTTGTTTGTTTGTTCCCATAGTTTCTTGTTGGTGATTGTTTCCGGCCCGGCCATCTGATCTTCAGTATAGATCCAGCTAAGACAGTTGTTGTTGATAAAGGTAACGTTTGCAACAGGCTGTTGGAAATATTCTTTGTGACTCGCCCGCCCGCCAAGTTTCTGATCCTTGTAGAAGAACCGACTGACTTGACGTTTGTATTGAAAATCTAACTGAATTTTCTTGTTGATGGTGGCTGAGTGACGAAGATTTCCAGATTGGTTTCAGGTTGATGAATGTGTTTCTCGCCCACTACCCGATTCTCGACTTGACATCCTCATCCGTTCCGACTGCGTGTAGTTGAGACAATGCTCAATGATAGATAAGTGAATGAAGTGACCTCTTTCAAATCCCTCCCGTCGATGGTGATTGGCTGCTGGCTGGATGTTGTTGCTGTTGTTGGTTGGTTAATTTCATAACCTTCGTCATGTCTATGTTTACATGTAGTCCTGTCTTCGCTGGCTGCTTCTTCGACCAGTTTTATCGGACGGTTTTCGTTTGTAAGTCTGTGGTGAGAGCAGGCTGCTAGCCGATTGGTTGACACTAAGCTACGTTATTATGGGCCGTGAGAAAATATGAACAAGGCTGAGTCAACAACCAATCACAGCAAAGTTAACGTGGCAAAATATGATTCGCAGATAGAGAACTCTATTTGTCAAGGAATCCCGAAACAACCAATCAGAAGCCTGCGTTTGTCTGCCTAACTTCTGATAAACAACCAATCAGATGACTGCGCTTGTCTATAATAATGTATGTGAAATATGTATAAATACGTGTTGATTTTCATAATAAAACGATCTGTTGCCTGGCCCTTGTCTTCTGTTGTTACAAGTCTTCGATTTTGTGTGACATCAAACATAAATCATCCACGCGCGAAATCCAGGTCTTCTAGGTTCTTCACGTTAGTCCAGGATATCCCTGTCTTCTTGTTTCCCACTGTCTGACGCATAATCCAGTCAGTGCACCACAATTAGGAATATCATTGGTGATAATAGGCACCCTTATCTGACTCCTGTGTTTACTCCAAACGCCTCGCTTTTGTTTGCGTCATCAAAGTGTTTCAAAAATGTGTCGAATAATCGAAACTGTAACCAGAGGAAGGGTGAAGATTGGTAAGTATTGACGGAGGTTGCGTAATATGAAATAGTATGATCATAGAGACATGCGCCCGAGAAATAAATTGTGTAATAGGTCGTTTAGGATGTCATAAAAATTCAATAAGGCACTTTCAAAAAAGTAGTAGTAGAACTTTGGATTACACCTAAAGTAGAAGGAGGAGGCGATGGAGAAGCTCCTTCTGCGTGCATAAATCAGGGTTTTCTCTCCGGATCACTGAGGCCTCCTCGGCAATGCAAAGTATATGGAAGCTTAATGTTTTCGAGAGACTTCTTTTGACTTTGTAGATGACTTTGAATGAATTTTCCTAACACATATTGAGTTACCAGTGTTGAATATATATGTTCAATTATAGCACTGTTTATTGATCCACTGTTACCTATTTGTAGACAATCGGGATAATGTTCTTCGACTCATTTCGATTAAGTCCGCATCGAACGACCTATATACCTCGCTCCATATGAGCAAGTAAACTGGTAGATATACACAGAAGTGGTAAACTGCGATAGTTTATCCTTGAAGCTGTTGAACAACAATGGGCAGCATCAGAATACCAATCGTAATATAGCTGCAACGAATGTTCTTTTCAGGGACTTAGATATTTTTGTCTTTAGGGTGTCAGCCAGAAGGTCGCCTTTAAAACACTACATGCATGTGTAGCATCTTCTTTGGAATACGGATGGGTTGCCCTCTGTTGATTTTCCGCTGTATGTGTTTATCTGTGAGGCGTGGGGGAGTAGCTATTCTCAAGTAGTGTCTTCCTCAAAACAGTGATCTCTTCTCCTACTGATTCAGGGCTGAAGATTCTACGGATTCTAGACGCAAGAGATATTACCAGGTTCCACTTGAGATTGATGGGTAGCCAACTGTAAAAGTTTGTCAGCTGGCCGCTCAACGTAGGCTTTCGGCATATAGATCGCCTTAGAGTCCCGTCAGTCTTCTTTGTTAGTCAAAACGTCATAACTATTACATTATGACACTAAAAATCAATATTGAAAGTATTAAAACTTTCCGATCAACAATTTCACAACTTTTGAAGGTTAAGATTCAAAGAATTCCATTGTTTTTAGATTTGATCAGTAGCTGACACTAGTCACGCTGGAAAACCAGCGAGTACTATACGGCCATCTCGTTGCAGTTAAGGTCTCTTCAACAGAACTCACCCGGAGAGATTCGAATTCGCGATATTCCAGTTATAAGGTGAGCTCGGAGACCATTTTATCAATGGGATCCAATCCAATGAGCCAGGAATTCATATTTCATCCAACTAGCTATGTATGGTCCAACTATCCTCTTACACAGTTTGATGGACTTCGCTAGAACTAGAACCACACGTAACAATCTGGTAAACAGCCAGCCACAAGTGAGCATCAGATAAATTATCAAGTGTTGATGGTCTGCGAGGATTTGATTGGTTACAGATGTTATCTCGAGTTGACATTTCACGCTCTTATTACAGATACGCTCCAGTTCTGATATATAATGGAAGGGATTAGTAGCTTAAGTGAATGCTTTTGATGTGATTTTCACATCACTAAGCATTGAAGACGCCGTCTAGGAAGACCATGAAAGTTCCACAATTAAGCTGCCAGTGAGCCTCACAGAACACAATCAAATTAAAAATCAACAACCTAAGCTACAAACCACACATCCACATACACAAATATTACCCAGAGCTCGAATCTGAGGCATGCACGACTTTTAAAGAATACAGCGAATAATAGCAACTATGACATCCTTTTAAAAGAAAAGATATTTACCAGATAGAATTTTCAACATATGTGAAACACAACTACTCACTGTAAATTATCATTCTCCGGCGAATTGCTCAATTCATTACTTGAAGGTGGTGATAAAAACAATAAATAATTTGCATCTTGTATAATATGCTGACGATATCGCCAACCGTAGACAGTCAGCTTACCACGATATGCATAAGCACCATAATCGTATAACATTGGCCAAGTGATATTAATCAACGCTTGGCTAACTGATCGCCATTCACCTAATATGTCAGGCTAAAGAGTGGGGAGAGGGAGGGATATGAGAGGAAAACAAAAGCATTGTCATAGAGGGAGAGAAAGAGAAAAGTGATATTGTAAAGCACAAGTGCATACAACTCTATATCCAGTAAGTGTATGAGCCCAAACAGCTAATTAATTTAATGCACCAAACTGACACAATTATTATTATTAGTATTGTTTCATTTAATTCCTAGAGGAACATAATACGGCTTCAACCGCACGTCACCATTGTGTTCGGTTCTCCGCCAACGTTTTCACCTGGTTCCAAGTCTGCCCACATGTTTTCATCTTCTCTTCACACGACCTCCTCCAAGTCACCCGACCGTGGGACGACCAACTCGCCGCTTCCCATTCAGCCGGGTTCCACTCAAGCAATGGCTTGTCTAGTGATTTCACTTGATGGTTTCCTCAGAGTATGGTCAATCCATCTCCATTTCTCCCTGCTTATTTGTTGTACAATCGGTTACTGGTTAGTTCGCTCATTGCCAGAGATCCCTGTTGCTGATCTTTTCTGGCCAACCATTTGATCTTGAGTATTGAGCAAAGACAACTGTTAATGAAGGTCTGTAGTTTGTTTGAGGTGCTCTTCGTGACGCCTCAAGTCTGTGATCCCTAAATTAGCACTGACTTCCCATTGGATTTGAAAATCCGGATCTCATTTTCATTTTCATGCTGAGTGGTGTTGACCTCCACACAGACTTGAGAGCAATGAAAGCTTGTCTTGCTTTCCCGATACCTGATTTAGCTGATAACTTCAGTTAGTCTACTTTACCCAGGCGTAAGCCAGGAGAAAAAGGGAAGGCTGATGAAGTGAGGCTAGTGACTACAATTCTCTGAAAAACGTCTCCATTGCCACAGAAACTATATAGCAAATGAATCGGAGAGACGAAATGACGTTGTGGGCTAGTGAAAGCTTTCAAGAAGACAGCCAACTGACGGCTCCACAAACGATGAAAGCGAAAACAAGCATGCGAACATACGATGTCTGCACAAAGGATGTCCACTATGCAAAAGCAATTAGAAGATACAGTAAACAAGTGCTAGGTTTCTTTGAGAGAGCAAATGGAATCTACTCAGGTCACGAAGACGAACACTACGAACACATTGTCGCAGTGTCTTTCATGATGTCACCACCGCCAACAGCATCTATGGCTATTTTGTGATGGGATAGAAGGGAATCAGATCAAAAGGAAGGAAAGTTACAGTTCGCCCAATGCTACTCGCCTACACATAACACAGACCAGGACTCTAAATTCAGAAATCCAAAACCCTTATGAGCGATGTGAATGCCAAACTGAATGGAAGTAGATAACACTGATTGGGACGAAACTCATCAGGAGCTTAAGGAATTCACCACGAATGAAATATACTTCCCTGTGATTGATGGTCTTCAAATATGCTCAAATAATTTTTCCTCACTTGTATCGATTTAATTTCTTGTCAGCCTAATATTTGACTATTTAGTTGTGTGACTGAAAAAGAATGCCAGCAAAGAAGGAAATGTCATTCCACACTGAAGACAGACCTGAAGATGTTATTCACGAGGACAATGACAGCTTCGCAATTAATCCATTCAAATAAGAAAACTTTACTCAATGTTACATATGGTATTCGATTCTCAAGACGACATGGCAGTTTGTCAGACAATAAATGCTTTTAGTCGTCTAAAGAAAGCAATAAACATACCCACCAGGTGAATGCTCTCCAGCCAATCTGAAAACCGACTGCCAGATAACACACTTCTTAGCCTTAACCTAGTTCCCTAACCGGTAGCAGGCCGCGTAAAACGGGGTGGGTGGAGATTAGCTATATGCGGCGATCAATCACACTTAGTAAAAACAACACCCTTACTGAAACAGTAAAGTTTAAAGCTCCATGTTCCACTACTCACAAGGTAAGAAATGAACAAACCGCCGAAAAAAAAAACACCAAAAACTTTACCTGATTCACTGTCTGAAGACTGGTCAGTTCACTTGGAAGACTCCAGTCTAAACGTTGAAATAGGAAGGATAGCATACTTGAGAAAGACGAAGTTGTCGAAGTAGAAGAAGAAGCACTCATTTTTGTGGATGACGATGTGGATGATGAGGGCATCATGCTGAATTCTTCCATCAATAATTGTTTAGCAATCCTTGACTGTTCAGTGTTTGAATTCTTCAACACAGATTGTGTCATAACAAGACTGGCTAATAGACCAGGACGATTCAATGACATTAACACACAACGAATATATATGCGTAAAGATGTCTTCAATTGTATATAGTATTGATGATTACCACTACTATTATTACTATTATGAGTAGTATTTAACAACTCAGTTTCAATATATTTTGACATTAAAATCATAGTCCAAGGCCATAGACAATAGAATTTCAAAATATCTCGGTAGATATCACCTCCAAGATGATCATCAGTAGTACCGGAGAGAGGGATGATTGCCTGCTTTGCATTCATCATATCCTCATCGTTAATAGCATTACTATCCTCACCAAGATCGCTATCACCACCGCTATCACTATCATCGTCATTATCACTGTAATCCCTGTCCAGATTTAACTCACTGGTACCATTACTACTACTTGTAAGTCTCAATAAGAATTCATTCAAAATCTGTCCAAATTGCAACCAATCAACACAGAAAGCAGCATTATACATTGGTGATGAATACATTTCATACTCTTTCCCTGTAATCATAGATGGTGGTGTCGACTTCGACAGAAAGCATTGTGTAATTGTTGATAGTTTTGGTAGATCTAAATTGAATCTGTCATCACTAGTGAGTACAGCTCTTTGATTGTGGAATGAACAACGTTCAGGCCAATCGAATGAATCGCCCAATGGACGACAAGCGAATAAATGTATCCATGACCAAGCTTTACAAATGGCGGTATAAAAGAAAGATAAATCACATTGTTCACTAGTAGAGGTGGCAGGGAATTGATTCCATAGATTGTGTAAATAGTCTAACCATTTATCGTGTAATTCAGTCAATCCAGGATAAGCGTCTAACCACATAGCAGGAAGATGATTTTCACTAGCCGATTTAATTACTTGTAATAAAGGTAAATGACAAAGATCTGCAGGTTTTGTACAGGTAAATGCTTGACTATCAACATCTGATACATTCATTGTAGATTCGTACAATTCAGCCAATAGGAGAGAATACAAGCGTCTAAAATAGAGATGGGAAGCGGGGGAAGGAAACACAAAGAAAGTATCGTATTATTACATTAAAGAAATTTATTCATGAAATCATATCAAATCAAAGAACAACATTGTTGCAGGGTGGTTGAAAGTAATCGACAGGGAGTGCTTATTGGCGAATGAATATCCTAGGATCGCTATCTCGAAGTGCAGACTGAAAAAAGGTGGTTGTCTTAAGGCGCCATCTCGCACATCGAGTTGTCGACTTACTGTCTGATTCGCAAGGCACTAAGACAACGTCAGAAGCTATACTCCCATGGTTTCCGATAACTAGAAAAAACAGCTTTATCCAAGCTATTCGATCTATTTGGATTCTGGAGAACATAAGTACATCTGTCTGTCTGTTTTCCACATAGAACTTTCCACCGATGTGCAGCAGTTCAAGTCACCACACTCCTTCCTTGTAGCACACAAAGCAAAAGAAAAAAGTAAAAATGCATAATAGAGACAGTAAGCAGAGGTGTGAGACAAAGGAATAGTAAAAACGAAGAACAATATAAATCCACTGGAAATTATAAGTTACAAGGAGTGGATGCATCTGCGCCTGCCACTGAGAACGATTTTAGGCCATATCACCAATTGTTTCAAGCCATTGGTGTTTACCGTCCCGAGGACTCCAACCAGGAAGTCTACACCCACCTACGTGGCTGGCTTAAACTAACTGTTGTGGATTTTATTGACTGGTGCCATGTTTTGGTTTGGCCGCAACTAGCTCTTTTCCAGCCTGACCCTATGTCAGCTAACATTGCCCTTCGAGGAACGCGATGACTCAGCTAGGCATACATGCGTAACACATGCCCTAACCATCTCAGTCGATGTAACTTCATAGTTTCGTCTATTGATTTCCCCTCTTTACCTAGCACTTGACGCCTAACTTCCATGTTGCTCACTTTATTATACCACTTCACACGAGAGACAGGACGCAGGCACCTATGATCGAAGACAGCTAATCTATTCATGTCTTCCACTCTCAATAGCTAGGTTTCACAGCCATAAACGAGGACGGAGAGGACTGATGAGCAGTACACCCGCCCTATGGGCGATAGTCGAATATCACGTCTACTAAGCCAGAGACGGCGTAGACTGGCACAGTGGTTAGGACTCTCGCCGACCATGCACATGGTCCGGGGTTCGAGCCCACGCCGGCGCACACCTGATATCTATGGTCGGCCTGCGAAATTTGGGCTACCGATATCCATGCTGAAAATTCCATACTTGTACCAAAAATACAGTGTGGAATCAAGCTGTAAATCTAAAAAAAAAACTAGCCCTCTGTATCAGTGCTGAGATTTCGTCAGAGATCAACCCGTTGGCGTTGGCTGATGGTACTTCCCAAATAAGTGAAGTAGTCAACGTGCTTTACCAGAGGTTTGGAACGGGGGGATCCCAGTTCTTCTAGGTAGACACCTTCATGTCCAGCAGTCCAGTTTTAGGTGCTAGAAGTTTCCATTATACGCTTGAACTGATGAAGAATTTCCACAGTAGAACTACAAACAAATGTCAAGCACCAGCCAGGGTTTAAGTGACATTTTATAGCTGATATCGTTTCGAAAAATTCGGCTCATTTTCCTAATTAGTCTTAATAACAACAATAAGCAACGGTGTATTCGTGAATGCCAACAAGTTACCTTTATAATTAGTATATCACACCAGGTGAAGTAGAACACCAGTGTGCATTCAACAGCGAAGCCGAATAAAATTTTACCGAAATGACACTCTCTATGAACTGAGAAGAAAACCCTTTCAAAGATGGAACATGATATATATGTTTATGGTGTAGTTGTGTTATCCTATCCCTTAGATGTGAACAAAGCTTCATGGAGAGGCTTTCATCGCCTTTCTTGACAACCTTACTTCACAATTCGAAGAGAGGTTTAAGAATTCTCCATGAGTTTATCAGCCATCTCTCCAAGTAACTCTGTTCACGATCGATTGTTTCTATGTATTTGATCAGCCTCTAGTCGACTTGTAATTCTATTGATTATTTTGTTGACCTTCTCTTCATATGACTACAGTTTTATCGATCGACAGTTCTTTTCTAGTTTGATTGGACACCAATTAGTCGCTAGTATCATACATCTGATCGTTTGTTTGGTGCAAACAGAATTCTATCGGTCGAGTTTATACTGTGGTTCACCATCACGGTACACTCTGAATTGTCGATATTAGATGCTTGGAGGCAGTCGGCAGAGAGCCTTACTGGGACCTAAGTTTCATGCTTGTTGGCTGGCCACTCACCAGTTAGCAAGATGTATCGGCAATCTTGGAGGAACTCATATCCCTGCTGAGATCTGAACCCATGTAACCTCTATGTAACTGCATCACTGAGTGATGCAGGTTTGATTCTCAGAAGAGACATGAGCTCCTTCAAGGTTGAAGAAACGCCTAGCTGACATGTGAATGACATAAACATGACATACAGGTCCAGGCAAGGTTTCTTGCCTACTGCCTTCAACTATCTAATAACAACATTTCTTTTCTAGATCAATGTGTCTGTTGAGCAAAATGATTAAAGAATACACTGAAATAACCTGCCACTGTCAGGGTCACGAACGAAAATGGTTGATAAACTCGTGGAGAATTCTAAAATAAAAAAGCTTCACAACTAAACCATCCATAGCTGAGGAATACACAGCTATGCACGTGAGCTACATATCGTCTTCATTAACCAATGCGCAGAATATCACTTCGTCCTACTATTTGGCTGTGACGAATGGCTAATGGAAGAAGAATATATGAAGAGACTAGATGTCTTCTTACCCTTAAGTGTTTACATTTCACCTCTCACGTGAAGTGGCACAATATGCTGCGGTTAGGCATTCATTGTAAGGTGAAGAGGGGAGAAAATCACTCGAACAATCGCTCGCCATGTATAGCAATGCTGGCTAACATAGAATTAGCTTAGAAAGTGAGTAAACAACGACATACTCATCAATCAAAGAGTGAGGGTGTTATTGTGCGTCGATGGTACAACGTTAGTATGCTCTCTAACCATGCCTCATGTGGTCCGGTGTTCGGTCCGCAATCACTGGACGCACTCCTTTACCTTGATAAGCTAGTAAATAAAGACTGGTAAAGAGGGAAGTTTTGGGCACAGAATTAGCAACCCCACATACCGTAAAAATAAACACCACTGCTATCGAAACTTCAGGCCTCTAGCTTGAAGTCCCCTATATTCCACTGGGAACGTAAAGATGTAAAAAAAAAAGTGAAACAGGGTGATGAGGAAAAGATTTTTTCAAAAAAAAACACCTACTTATTCCACTCATATAGCAATACATCAGGTGGGGGGCATCCCAACAATCCAATAAAATGCTTCCAACCAGGTATCCAACGTAGATCTGGCCAGGTGGTTAGATCATAATACAGCTTTAATTGTCTTACAGATACTGACGATGATGAAGATGTCAACATCTTCATGAACTGATCATTCTCAAGATGTGTTTCAGAGGGATTAGCTTGTTCCAATAGGATACGTTTAGCTAACAATAACAATTCAGATGTAATAATTGATGATGTTGAATAATCGGAGAGTGTGAGATCAATTAAACTGACATGAAATTGACGATAGCCATTAGGTGATGATCGTCTACTAACTAATTCATTCACGCTATGATGAAGATAACGTTCAGGTAAATGCAATAGGCGCTGATCACTTCCCGTATCAGTTGATGATGCTTTATCGATGAATGCATTGTCAACGTAGTATGTGATCAACCATTTCACGAACTAAAAGAAACAAAAGACAACAACCCGGATGAAAACGATCACGTTCAAATTTTATGTATACAAGGAGAAAAGTAACCTATGGAAATCATTACACGCTTTCACTCATCTGTATTGCTGAAGTTTTGGCCATCGAAACAGAAAAGTCAGACTTATATATATTCAGAAAACGTTTCTTTCAAATTGAACAACGGAATGACATCAGCTAGAGAATCATTGAAAATCAGTTGGGAGTAATGAATAGATGTTTCGTCGTAATTTGAGACTCATCAGCAGTACGCGAACAGCATAGGTCTTCAAACCCAGGGTCTTCCGATCACATAATCAAGCTCGCAGACTATTGAGTCACTGCGACTACCAGCCAGTGTCAGAGGCGAGCATTTGTCGTCACTCTCGACTGCGTGAACCCCAGTGGTTATGACTTCCCAAGTAACCTCTTCATGTAGCCAGTCGGATCCAAATGGCTGAACGGTCTATGAGCTTGCCTTGTAACTTGGGAAGTCATGGATTCAAACTCCAGAGGGTGTACACTACTGATGAGTCTCAAATTAGGACGAAACAACTGTCGAGTACTCCAGTTCCCTAAGTGATATCAACCCATGGTCAAAATTCAAAACAATTCAAAAATCTCCACAGGCTAACTCTTTGAAGTTGAACTACCGCTAATTTAGTAAGGACGGATACTGTCTGGACGCAAAGATCGAAGCAGATGGTTGTCTTAGGGGGGGGGTATCCTTCCCTTCTCCGAGCCTTCGACTTAACATCTGCTGATCCAAAAGGCAGTGTAACAGCGTCAAAAGCTACATTCTCATGATTTCGAACCATATGTCATCCCATTCTTTCGGCGGTAAATAAAGTCTACCTACCTGGCAGAAGCCTATGATGAACATGTGAACGCATCAGAGCACTTCAAGAAGAAGACTACGCTCTACACTCCCTTGGCCGTAATAGATGGTTTATGGAGTGGGAGCCGGGAGCTTACTATCCACCCAACAAACAAACAAAATCAAACAGTAATGATGTGGATAAGATAAAGAATTGTGGGAATATATACTTACCTCTATAGCTTTGACATGCATTTGACGTTGACAATAGACAAATTGAAGAACATGATTCAGAATTCTGTTAATGTCCACTTCACTACTGCACTTATCATCAACATCATCACCATCGTCTTCATCAAGATCCACTGGAATCTCTTCTCTCTTCGACTTCTTCAACCTCTTTATCCTTTTGATCTTCTTCTTCTTCTTCAACATCTTGTTACTTGATTTTTCTCCAAGAGGGGAACCGTCGCCCAGTTGACTAGGATTTGCCAACAATTGTTTAGCATACTGTCCAGCGGATATCAGTGCACCGATCGGAGGCTTTTTAAAGCTATGACATGTTACCAACTGAAAAATATTCGCCACAGGTGAAGATGACTGTCGCCGTTCATTGAAACGCTGAAGATGTTGTTCAATACAGCTGGGATTTTCACACGCCTCTAAGAAGAGTGAATGAAATTCTAAAAGACCAATAGCTATTGATTTGGGAACATTTATTGAAGTGAATAAACGTAGCAGATCCAAATGTGGAAGTGAAATCTAGAAGAAAGGAAAAAGAGAGAAATGCAAAAGCTAAAACAGTGCATATACTACTAACTAATTGATACGAGTAGTTGCAAACTGTAGAAAAAAAGTTAAACATTAGTACTTAAATTAGCCAAATCAAAGTGATGTTAACCTCCCCTAATCGATAGCTGCTACTTTAACGTGATGATCACCGGGCTTGCATATCACAATGATCCAACAAGCTAAAATGGCTGGAACTACTGTTCCTGTAGGTCTTACTATACCAGGAAGGTTGTTTAAGATAGCGATTAGACTAAAAGCAGTTACCAGCAGTGTAAGACTTTTCTTACACTGTGGGCAAAGTTGTACTGCTGGGGAACAGGGATGTAACATCAGTGAGGTGTTTCCTTCAGACGAACAGCATGCCAGTCAGCTACGCTGTCTCTTTAATCTAGAGACATGGGGTTAGAATAAGCCGACCCGTAAAACTGTACATCCCAACTTAACCTACGGTGGTCCATAACCGGCGGTAAGTTTACTAATAAGAACCAATCCAAGTAACCAGTTCATATAATCTGTGTGTGACCAGTCTCAAGTAGTTGTCCCCTGGGCTCTGCGGTCATGCAACACTAACTCTCTTTCCAGTTCAGGTACCCGAAGAATCAGTCAACTTCCACAGTGTAGGCAACCAGGAAGTAACAACCGCCCAACACACTTCCAAAAACACACAGTGTTAACCTACCATCACCAATTTACTCGTTTAGCACAGAGCACAAAGTTGACAGTGTTCAGTGGAGTGATAATTCTAGTAATTCTCATTGCCGTAAACAGATCGCATTTACACATCAGATTAAGTTAGATCAAATCAGATGATAACTATCCCAACCTAATGTTTACAGAGTATATTAGTTGTTCATTTAAGTAAATGGTGACTTTAACCCCAACAGAATAAGTTCATTAGGTGTATTTCGTCAACACCTAACTAAAGTATACTTCGGAAATATTGACAAGATTAAACTGCAGCAATCCATGGCATGTGAATACACACGGTTGACTTTGAGGCGACCAATCAGGAGAACTAATGATTTTTCCACAAGAAAACAAATGACATTTATTTACAAGAGAAATATGGCAACCAGTGATTAAATTTATTAAACAGGATAATTTTCGCAAAATGTGATTTCCATTGAATTAGTATGAGTTGCAATAAGAAGGTCGACAATCATTCACTGTCAAAACAAAACAGTGTCACATCCCAAAGTGTTTATCGATATACATGTATGTGTGCAGACAGGTACATAGGGAGGATTCATCGGTCTCTGCAGGTTATGGCTACAGAACACATTTTAAAGTGGCTGCAACAACAAATGAAATCGACAGACACAATTGACCCCGGAAATAGATGTCCAACATCATCTGTAGCGAAGCATATCATAGAGACGGCTCACAAAGTTGATTTCAACAGTGCTCTTAAGCCGATATATAAAACAGGGTTGGGCCACATAGTCAAATTCTTTGAAGCATTAGCCATAAAAAAGACTTAAACCTGTCTTATGTGTCCAAAAGCTATTTGTTATCACCTTAAACCTGCCTTGGTAGTCCAAGTGAGAATCAAGGACCAATTTATTTCATAATATATATTCAACTCCTTCTTTGCCTTGTTTTTTCTCATTTGATCTTTCTTACCCACACCTTTTGCGTCGTTATCTTCTTACCCATTATTTGTGACCTTGACCGGTACACAATCTGACCTGTATTGTAATTATTCATGCCTGCTTGCCTTCTATAAAAACTGTGTATGACAAGCACCTACGTGTGTGATCAGAATGTTCGAAATGTGTTGCGCCAATACATTACACGTTTCAGATAAACTACGTCTTCTTATTGTGTTGTCGAAATTCATAAAGGGGATTTATTGCTTAAAAACACCCCAACCCTAATCCTTCCTAATACTAACCCTAACAAGCCATCAACGCATTATCCAAGCAGTACTTTAAAGACGAGGTCGGGATCAAATGCACACCACAATTCCTTCATAGTGGTGCTATAATCATCGTATGTCCTGCTCTATGCAATGACTAGTATGCGTTCCAAGTCATCAGTACGTTAGCACTCCTGGACAGTTATACTTCAGCTTGGCCAAAACATTATTTAGAATTGCGGGGGGTAATATAACCCTATTTATCTAAACTAATTGTGTCGGCTCAAATATAAAAGTTAACAAAAAAGTGACTCAGTCAAAGCGAAAAACAACCAAAATGTTATTATTCAAACGCAATAGATTAATCAAGTGTTGGTTACAGGATTTTCATCATGAGCTGACATTAGTTAGAGAACCATTGGAAAGCCACCTAGGAGTACTGGACAGCTGTTTCGTACTGGTTTGCGACTCTTCAACAGTACGCACCCACCGTCAGGGTCCGAACCCAGGACCTTCTGGTTACAAGGCGAGCCCGTATACCATTAAGCCACTGGGACCCGATCCAATGGCCGATGAACTCTAACTTCTGCCAATTCACGACATAGCGCGACCCCAGCCAATGTTTCCGGCGAGTATTTGTCCTCACACCCGACCTGCTGCACCCTACTGGTCACGACTTCTCACTAGAACCCCAGGCAATAAGTTAATGTTTAGCTGGACGAGGCGGAGGACAGAGGGTTACTTAGAGGTGTCTAACACTAACAGAACCCAGGAAGATACTAATTTCGGGATACTTGAAACTATTCACGCACTTATTTTAATTTTAATCGAGTTCAAACAACTAAATGGAGACCATTCCGCTTGTTTGTGGAAAGAGAGAAATCATCAGGGAGCTGAAACTACCCTAAATCTGACTAGCTCCATAAAGGAGAATTGGTAATGCAGAGAACCAAATAAAAATCATTCAGTTCGGGGTAAAAGTTTACCACAATTATTAATAATCACTCTTGTAAACTTGAAAGTGACAGGTGTGTTTCTAATAATCGACTGAGGAACGACAACTTTAGCGTTCAAGGGTGAGATGCATGACACACTGTGAGGATCAAATAAAAAGCCTATCGATCAGATCTAACGATGACTGCAGTGCGAAATGGATGTGCACTGCTGAAGCACTAAGTTCCACTCAGACCCCCAAGAAAAAAATAACAATAATAATAATAGTAGTAGTATAAACTTACTGGTTCAATGAAAGTGATTTCCAGACCACGATTACGCATTGCTCTAGAAATGCCGGTCGATCCACCTACACTACAACCACCACCACCCGTTGGACCGCAAATTTCATCAACAGCCAAAATTAAACGAAAATCTGGATGTGCTTTCAAGGTGATAAGTTTACCGTTGGCATCAAGTCCACGTTCACTTAGTAGTAATTCTCCATTCGGTTCTAAGAGACTATTCAACCGATCAAGTGTTGAAGGACTATTTGTGCAAAAAAAGAATAAGAACATTTTGATGAAATCACTTGTCAAAAGGCCACAGAAGTAGTACAAAGGAAGAATCGCCCAAAATAAAGTGGTTGGGAATTAAACTCAAAATTACACCGACTGACTCAGGTTTTCTCACTTCAGTGGATATGCAACTTATCAGAGAGAAGTCCAATTCAAGTCAGGATCTGACATCCGTTAGCGAACAATCATTTTTATTAATTTATTTATTTTTTGATTACAGCTTAATGCCACACCGTATTTTCGGTACAAGTATGGAATTTTCAGCATGTGATATAGGTAGCCCAAATTTTGCAGGCCGGCCATAGATATAGGGTGTGCGTCGGCAGGGGATCGAACCCCGGACCATGTGCATGGTCAGAGAGGGTCTTAACCACTGTGCCACCGACGCACAAAATAAAAGGGAGGACCGGGAGGCCTTCCAACTGCCAAAACTACACGCCCGAGCGCATCCGATTAGGGTACGTCGCGAGTTTCAACCCACCGTCGTACAATGGTGAGCCTCTACTCGGGGTCAAGGCATTCTCAATTACCCTAAACCCAGCGCCAGGTAAGTTAGGAATCATTGGGAATCAGGCAAAGAACTGGACATCCCCAATCTCGTGACAGTTTAGGACTGTTTCTACCACAGTAGCTATCCATAGTCTCACAGGCCAGAGATCGAACAAAGGACGATTAAACTTATAAGCCCAACGTATTGAGCAGAATGTCACTAGTCCCAAATTCCTGAGGAAAAATAGGAGCCTGATAGGTCCACTTTTTCAAGTGTATAGGAGATGCTCAATGGCAGCATGCGCTGACTGTCTCAACTAAATCGTAATTTGCATTTCACTGATCGAATAGCCAGAAGGCTATATGTAACGCAAACATTGTTTGAAAAACCACTCCTGAACAATCTAATCACGATACTTAAACTCGTTTATATATATATATATATATATATTATCTGTTATCTCTCCTAGACTGTGTATATCATTGTAGTCCTGATATTCGCATATCACATAATGACTTCAACTTTATTATTTGTTTTCATCACTGTTCAATCTCCAATTTTAGTGCTTCTCTTTGTGGTTGTGTGTATCTTGATAACGTCTTGTTTTAACTTAGATTTTGTTTGAGTAAATCAAGGTCACAAGGTCATTCTGACCTTGGACCGTCTACGAGAAGCGTTGGTGTATGATTCTCGTAGACAGAAAATATTGTACTTGATTCTTAGGTCAAAATTACAGTTAACTAACTGACGGGTTCAACATAGAACTTTGCACAGATGTACTGCAGTTCAACTCGCCACACTCCTTCCTTGTAACACGTGAAGCAAGAGAAGAGAGTAAAGAGAGATTCAACAAAGAGATAATAAACACAAGTGTGAGTGAGAAGAAAAGAATAGTAACATGGCAGAGTGAAGATATCTGCTCCAACCATTGAGAACGATCACTTTGAGTCAGCCATATCACCGATTGTCTCAAGTCTTTACTGTCTCTTACCGTCCCGAGGATCCCAACCAGGCAGCAGCCTACACCTACTTACGTGACAGGCCGTCTAAAACTGCCTGTTATTAATTTCATCGTCTGATGAAGCCGGCCATGTTTTCGTTTGACCACAACTAGTCTTTTTTTAACCCAGTACTCAATCTTATGCCAGCAAATATTTTCCGTCAAGGAAGGCGATGGCTAGGCATGAGTAACACAGAATGTCCCAACCATCTCAACTGATGTACCTCCCCAACTTGATTGATTGAGCTTTTAATGTTATTATTATTGTTGTTGTTTTTGTTGGATAGAACCACACAGAGATTCCAATCAATAACAATCGTCTTTTTACTTCAAACTGCAGTATTCGCTGTAAGATGTCGCCTAGTAGGGCGATGAAAGCTTCGCAAATTAACCATCCAGCTCAGAGAACACAACCACATCAAAATCATCCACCTGAGCTACAAATCTTCTTTATCATATCTAAATGATGTGACTATGCATGTCTCAAGAAGGTTTCGGACAGTCATACAGTAGGACGACGACGACGTAGAGATCAGTTTCTCTGTGTTCAGACCACAACAAGTTTGGTACGATATCTCGAAGTAGAGTCATGCCTGCTGTACTTTTCAAGTAACCCAACAACTAGAACGAAACAGATGTCCAGTAATCACCTGGTATTCTTCAATGAATCTTTAAACTATTGTCCGTTCTTCAACTCATGTTGGTAGTCATCAGCAACCCAAAAAGAGTTCTTACACCCTATCGCCGTCGCCGTCTATAAAACTGAAGTCGATATCCATCCGTGTCTATGTCAGACCTCTATCGGGTTAGCTAATCACCAAACCATGATTGCACAGTAATTTGTCAAAGTTTCTTATTGATTGACACACTGACACATCACATAGCAAGACTCTGGAATCAGTAGGTCACAGTCACCAATCACCGACTTGATTCACGATACAAAGTGTTACCGACGCTGCCCTAAGTATTATAGCGACAGTGTAGCAGAGATAGTAGTTAGTAGTGTGACCCCTTTTACGAAGAATATAGATGTTTCAGGTAAAGAATTTGTCGATTTGAAAAACTTACGTACAGTGTATTAACGTAAAATATATCATTCCTACATGAAGACTGCTCAGTGCTCTACAATTCATGATTGCTACTTCCTTCATCACTCCTCTGTACAACACTCCTTTAAAAACAAACGTCATGCACATTATACTACTTACAACAAAATGAGTAGTACAGGCCTCAGCAATAACAATAAAAGATGAGTAAAAAAAACACTAACCTGCATAACTGAGCATTTTCTATCAACACCCAACTACCATCGATGATCCCCTTGACAAGTGGACTATCCACCCATTCAAACAGACCACCGGCTTCACGTTGTTCCAATGAGCCGAGTAATTCAATGGTATCCGATGTCGGTGACAAACACATTGTTAACATTTTCTGACCAAGAAGAATAGATGCAATATGGGCAAGAGTACGTTTGCCTAGGTGTACAAGAGAGAGGACAGTGAAGCCAATAATAATAAGCCAAAAACGATTACAACACAGAACAAACGGCTATTTATTAAGTTACAATTTAATACAGCCTTGTCAAGTAAGATTAAGTTCCAGAGAATGACTGATTAGGACTCAACGGCTTCTGTGAAGACCGTTTGGTAAAGGACAGACAAAAAACTATCCGAAACTCCACTTTGTCACACATCTAGTTGTTAGAATGGTCATTAAGGGGAAAAAAAGGAAAGTACTCAAGGTGTTTTATCGCGTAACACAATTGCCAACATAACACATTATCTTAATTTCTGTCTTGATGTTTGTTGTCCAAAAGAGACAATCTTCTTAAAACTCGATCGCTTCTCCTCTTCTCAACTCAAAAAGCTCCGCCGTGAAAAAGAAAGGTTCTTCAAAATGAAAAACAAATCTGGTGTTAAGAGAATGAACACTTTGATTAAGCTTGAATTACAAAGATTGAATGCTCTCTATAACCAGAAGTTTCTTTCATGTAAATCCCCATCAAATATGTGGAAGTTATTAAAGGAAATCACAGGTGGTAAGCAAATGTTGAATGATATTTCTGTAGATGTTAACATGCTAAATGAATCCTTCATATGTATCCCAGCAAATGTTATGATTCCTAACTCAAATAGTGTAAACAATGACTGCTTCTCATGCTTTAACACGAATGATGTCCTCAAGTGTCTTCAATCTCTCAAGCCTACTCAGTCCCTCGGTCCTGATGGTGTTCCTGCTGTTATCCTTAAGGAGTGTGCCGACATCTTGTGTTCCCCGCTAACTGACATTTTCAACGAATCTTTTTCCAAAAGTATTATACCTGAATCATGGAAAAACATCAAGATCGTTCCAGTGCCTAAATCTACAAGTGGACCTAATGTTAAGTTTAGACCCATTTCAATTACCTCACCCTTTTTGAAAGTTATGGAAAGACTTATTTTACTTAATCTTGATCCCTCTTTAAAACCTTTCAACGACCCCAACCAGTTTGCTTATAAACATAGTAGGAGTACGTTAGATGCCGCTGTCGTCCTCCACCATAGCATAGTCTCTAGTTTAGATAAAGGAGCTAAATATGTTCGCTGTGCCTTCCTTGATTACACATCTGCATTTGACTCTGTTCCCAGGTCTCTCTTGCTAAGTAAGCTTGCTGCAACACAGGCTGAAAGCTGGACAAATAAGTGGTTGCATTCCTATTTTTCTGAAAGGAAGCAGTACACCGTCTACAATGGAAAATCCTCCACTACCTCACTTACTTTAGCTGGTGTTCCTCAAGGTGCTGTTCTTTCTCCCTTTCTGTTCTCGTTTTTCTTACATGACTTGCCTCATTTTGATGTAGCCACTTTTGTTAAATATGCCGATGACCTCTCGGTTTCTATGCCTGTCAACTCTCAGTCAGATTGTTCCAAATTAAATAGCTTTCTGTCGGAAATTAGTCAGTGGTCCTCTTCAAACGGACTTAAGCTTAATCCGTCTAAATGTCAGGTAGTCAATTTCACTTTCAGACGTAAATGTGACCTACAGCAACTAGTTAGCTCACATGGCCCCACTCTCATTGACGACACAGAGGTTGAAAATACATCTTATGTTAAGTACCTTGGGCTGAGTTTTTCCACCGATCTTTCCTGGTCTTCCCACATCTTGCTAGTTACTAGAAAGATGTTTCGCTTAACGTTCTACATTAGGAAATTTAGGCAGTCTGGCATAAACCAGTCTTTACTTTCTCAGTTTGTAAATTCTTGTATTCTACCCATCCTCCTTTACTGCTCCCCATTAGTCTTTCCTGGACTACTTAAGAAAGACTTTGCTTCGCTGAGAAGGGCACTAAAAGCTGTTAGTAGGGCAAGTGGGTTATCGTTAAACCAACTGGTGAACACTATTGTAGATAGACATATTATGTCATGTAAGAAACTAGCGAATACAATATTGTCGGACCCCAAGCATCCTCTCTATACGCATCTATCTCCTTGCATTTCATCTGGAAGAACTAGAAGCAGCTACAGGAGGCTATATGCTAGGACTACCAAATACAAAAACTCCACAATACCATATCTGGCACAGCTGTTATGTGATGAGAAATCCGTTAGGTATGACACGATAAACTTACTGCGGCACTCTAACAAATAGTCCCATTAGTTTTTGTTTTCCTTTCCTCGTTACTATCACACTGTTGTTCTCATCTAGTACCACACATCAACTTTATATTTCAAATCCTGTGTTGCATTGTTTGAAATGAAATACTCTACGTTGTTTTTTTTTCTTAAATTTTAATATTTATTTATTTTATTTATTTATAACTAATTTATTTTATTTTTATTTATTTATCTTTGATTTTTAAAAATCTTATATAATTTATGAGGTAATTAGATGCAATATACTGTAATGCACGCTGAAAATTCCATACCTGTACCACAAATACTGTTTGGAATAAAGCTGTTATTATTATTATTATTATCTCGTCATAAAACTTTGTATTCGTCTGCTACACAACTATACACTTCTCCTTTCGTCAATTAGAACTTCACCGACTGATAATATCCAATCAAAGTATCCCACAGGAAGTCAATCAGCAACCCAAATAACTCAGTGGTAACGTCTCTTACAGCAGTACTGGGAGACATGGGTTCAAAGGGACATGAATTCCTTCAAGATTGCAGACACGCCTCGCTGACCGGTGAGTACCAACTGGAATGAAACCTAAGTCCAAAGCTACGGCTTCCTGTCGATTGCCTCCAACTACTGAATATCATTAAAACAGTTAATTCCCTAGCTTTACAATCTACGACAAGTGAATCGGACTACGCGTTTTTCATCAGCTCTTATTTACCAGATCTATCTAACCGTTTGTTTGTTTAATTTTGTTGTTTTTTCATCATTCACGCGATCACAGATAGCTCCATATCTTTTTCATCTTTGGGGATTACCTTATCTTAGCCAATGATGTGATGGAAAACGAAGAGAAATGATTACACGACTTCATCACGACAGAGAGCTATGTCGTGAATTGGCAGAAGTTAGAATTCATGGGCCATTGGATCGGGTTCCAGTGGCTTAATGGTATACGAGCTCGCTAACCTTGTAACCAGAAAGTCCTGGGTTCGAACCCTGGCGGTGGGTACGTACTGTTGAAGAGTCCCAAACTAGGTTGAAACAGCTGTACAGTACTCCCAGGTCTTCCAAAGGTTCTCTAAATGATGTCAGTTCACGATGAAATCCCGTGGTGGGGTGGGGGAGAGAGAGTAGAATCTAATGAAAATAGGTGATATAAAACTTCGGAATGACACTATATTACCATAAATCAATCCGGAATGGAACACAGGACCGCAACTAATTTTGAAAGCTTTTTCACATATTATACAATAGTGTGAAATACTCCCATATTATGAATCAAAAGTCAATCTGAACGAAGAATATTCTTTTCATAACATCCTTCTCCTCTTCAGGTTCTTACAATTATAAAATATAATATATTTGTTGCCATTACAATAGTAACGATCAGTTACGCGGCGGATACAGTTTTTACTTACGTGGAATAACAGATTAGTAGTTATGGGGTGTCAAAATAAATAGTCGTATTTGTGTGATAAACGTGCTAGTAGGCTGAAATCGATTACCAAAATATTGTAAAATGGAAGACAATGGTGGTGGTTAGTGAGTCATAACAGATTCGTAGAGTGTGGGACAGGAAAATTAACAAGTCAGTTCAAGGTTATAAAAGGTCTCAGATGAGTAAGTGGCTAGTACAAAGTGGTCTGTGTTAAACAGGAGATAGTAAGACTGCAATGAGAGGTTCATAATGAAATAGCCAATATATGAAGTTAAACAGGTGAAGACATATTGAGGAAAGAAATGATATCACTAATAATAAATATTGAGAGAATGTATACATGAAGGGTATAAATTATGACGAATAATAATAATAACAATAATAAGCAAAGAAATAAGAAAAACGAAGAGAGTTAAGGGGAAGCAGCACTCTTGGTGAGAAGAAAAATCTTCAATCCAAGTTTGGCCACGGTAGGAACAGGGTCTGGACGTGTACTTTTTGGATACAAAGTTCCAGTTTAGTCGATTTTATTGCAACAGCTTCAGCTATTTGTGTAGGAGACGTGAGCGAACTGTACATGATAACGATTTCGGAATTCGGTATAGAATCCTGAAAGCCGTGTTGACTTCGATGCGATGGCAATAATTGTAACGACAACAAATACTGTATTTTATAAATGTAAGAACCTGAAGTAGAGAAATTATTGAAAAGAATATTCTTCGTTCAGATTGACGTCTTTTTTTACATATTTGATCATCTACATGGTACCCTCAGACTTGCAACCCACCGATTTCAATTTGGGTGCCACTCAATGATAAACGACAATACGCACTCCACGTTAAATCCCAACTTAAATATTTCATTTTGTACAGCTGAGTACTTGCACAAGTTATTTCATACACAAAATATGATTCCGAACGTGCATATGAGATGCGATTTACTGTATATGCCAACGACCAATGACATTCTCATACAATTGGCAGTCAATCATACTTATTATGTGAGAGCTAATCATAAAAATCTGAATTTTCAAACTTCAGAAGGTAGAACGGGGTTCGAACATGTGACCCAGGAGTTAGAAGTCCATGTATGAAAAAGTATTTCAAACAGACCTCAAATATACAAGAACACTTACCACAACCTGGCGGTCCAATCAACATTACCATCCAACCCATTTCAATAACTTTTAAAAAGCTTTCCAGTACACTACGTTGACGATCCAACAATAATAAATGATCGCAGGATTCATTATCTACCCTTGAAGAAGAATACTCTTCAGGAGATGAACGGAGAAAATGCGCTAAACCACAGTGAATTGATTCGTTGAGAAGGAAAATATTTCCACGTGGTTCATAATAATAATACGCTCCAGTCTGCATGCCTAACGTCTTGCAGACATCAATCCATAATGTGACAATCTACACGAGTTGAATAGAGTTACACAGAACGGATACAAAACGCATGAATACTGAAGTTACAAAATAAATGGCATGAATATTTAAAAGAAAAAGTTTATTCCACGGTTTGAGCAATGATGTCTCTATCCAAAGAAAGCCATATCATGACGCTAATAATTCCAACTCACTCAGGAGTTGAGTGACTAACAGGTTTGCTTAGTAGTATAACATGAGATGATCATACATGTTCAACTCCTTGACGAAGTCATGTGTGTGTGTGCGTACAGCAATGCTGCCAGTGTGGACACTTCGATAATTATGTCTCAAGAATGACATGATGTTTCACAGTCAGAACACTGCCATTCACTGCAGATTTCAGGTAGACATCCAGCTGATGAGTCCCAAAGAGGATGAAGGAGGCAATAATGGATTTCATTGCTAGCCAACATTTACGCAATCAAACATATTCTGTTCACTAGACATCTTTATTTTTCAATCGTAACAGTGATAAGTAGGCTAATCTACTAAGACTTCAGATTACAATAAATGCTGACCGATCACACATATGGTCCGGTCGGTTCGAATCCCGACCGACATGCTCTTAAACCTCACCTGGGTTATCAGTCCAGTGTAAGCTTGTAGCTAGCCATGAGGCTAGCAATCATACCATGTAGAATATAAAGAACACAACCGCTGCTGAAACTTTAAAGCTGGAAATGTATTGTTCGACTATGGAACTCGGTGGAATGATTCAAGATGAAGTAAAAACCTGCACCACAGATGGATTACTGGAACAAAGATACATTAGTCAGTAGTGATTGTGTTGAAATGATGCTAATTAGGTCACACACAGCAGTTGGACTAGTAATCCGCAGGCTACCATTATTATTATTCCCTTCACTTTCGAATGGAACATAGGACTTCAACAGCACATTTCCACTTCATCCTACTCTCTGAAGTCCTCTTCAACTGTACCGACGATTGCCCGTAGTCTCTCATTTCCTTCTCACACAATCTCCTTCATGTCACCCTCAGATGGCCAATTCATCTCTTCCCATTCAGGTTTCACTCGAGAGATGGACTGGCGCACGATTTCATTCGACGGTCTCTTTAGTGTGTATGACCCATCTAAATTTTCTACTATATATTTGTTGAGCAATAGGTTTTTCGAAGGCTCATTACCCAGCGAAGTTAGTTACTGCCAATTCTTCCTAGCCGGCCATCTAGTCTTCAGTATGGAACCAGAGAAGGCAGTTGTAGATAAAAGTCTGTAACCTGTTTGGAAATATTGCCCGTTACTGTTTGCGATTTTCGATAAAAATCTTCCTGCCTCACTTGTTCTGAATTGTTTGAAGGAGCGTAGGATAACATAACTGTAACCTACCTTCCTCCTTGTGGAGTTGTTATAATTCCAAATGACATTGCTTTCCGGTGCACAGACCATCATGATAGCTACTCTCGCAGTGTGCTCCTGGTTGTCGTCTAAGTGAATGGAGTAGATTACTGACTCCCTTCCAGTTCAGCATTTTGACAGTCCACATCCACTCCACCTGTCTCCACTACAGATACAGAGCACTTCCGTTCCGTATTTTCTCCTTTCTTTGGCTACTTGAGCAACCTTACCAGCTTCGTACATTGGACGAACACTTCACACCCCCTGTCGTTATTACTGCTTCTATTGGAAGAAGATAAATCGATTGACTGGCTTCCCGAAGGCTTCCTCTAGCCCTCAACATCATTTTATATCTACGATTCCAGCGAAGAATAAGTTTGTTCTTTTATATATTTTTTATATTTGTATTGTGCGTTGAAGTTTCTGTAGCAGTGCGATTGATTTTCCAGGGTACGGTTGGCTGTCCCACCCACAACCACCCTCCTCATTCCCCGGGCTCGGAACCTGCTAGAAAACTACCGAGCTAGTAAGCTAGGCGAATCCGCAGCTTACCGAATTCGCATAATCTCGCAAGCTAGAAAGGCAAATACCAAAGTCAATGAGGTACTCCACATACTTTCAACTATCTATCCTACCTTGAAGATGAAATAAATAATAACTGTGACTCCTCCTCCTAATACTACTATAGAAATAAACTATACTACTGAAATATAAAAAAGTGGAAGAATACCTTTTGTTTATCCTGTAGTGTACGCATACGATCAGTGTACAACAGGTGAACATAAAGCCCAGGGTTAATACCCTCGAATTCCTACGTTAAGAAGAAAGAAAACAAACAGATCAATATAAAAAATCATATGAATATATTACGGGTACATTGATGAAATATAAAAGAATGTGTGAACACTCGGGCAGATAGATAACTGTTACCTTTAGACACTGGTCAGTCCTAGATATCGTAACGACCTAATGAGCTACACCGCCTGGAACTCATGTTCCCGCAGACTCTAGCATGCCTCACAGGTTATTTAGATAGTGGTTAGACTAAAAAAGCAGTTACCATCGTAACGTAAGTTTTTTTTACACCAAGATGAGAGATCAGTGGGGGAAGTCGTAATGCAGGCGAATAGAGATGCGATAACAGTAACGTGTTTTACTGAGATAACCTAGCAAGCCAGCTATGCTGTACCTATCCTCTCTTCGAACGGGTTGTGTATGACCAGTTCCAAGCAGTTGCAATTCCCTGAGCTCATCAGTCAGGTAACACTAATATACTCCTGTTTTAGGTATTCTAGAGGAGAAATCAACCTCCATGATAGTGGCAGACAGGAAGCAACAATCACACACAGACGCACACAACTTTCATGATCATTATCCCCAATCACTTACTGAGTGACTGAAATTAAACAAAGAACTTTGCACAGAAATGAAGATCTTCAAGTTGCTAGGCATCCCAAGGAGCTGGGATAGGTTCAAACCGACTAGTGTTAATGCCACTTGTGGATTTGACCCTCATCCTATAACTCTTTTCCAACCTAATCCCATGTAAACTAAGTGTTCAACAAGGAGGGTGGTGATAGGGCTGGCATGTGTAATACGACGTGTCCTAGTAATCTTAGGTCGACGAAGCTTCCCAACGGTTTCGATTGACTTCCTCCTACTTACCTAACACCATACGATTAAACCCATTATTACTCATCGTAGTACTGCACATAACACGGGTGATATAACGCGAACGATTACGGTTGAGAAAACACGACCAGTATTTTAAAACCTTCTACTTTCGAAGAGTTGGTTTGTACGAATTTGATGTGTTTCCAGTTTGACCACAGATTGATATCAGTTAGATGACTGCTGAAAACCTAGTTGAGACTACTGAACAGCTGTTTTGTCCTAGCCTAGAATTCATCGCCAATACACAGTCACCGGGTTTAGAACCCAAGTCAACCCAGTCAAGAGTGAGGGTAAATACTCGCTGCAGATGACATAGGATGGTGACAATCGCGCTAAAATCACGAATAGGTAGAAGTTAGAATTCATGCGGTGATCACTGAGTCGTGTTTCAGTGGCTGAATGGTTTACAAACAGCTTGACTTGTGTGACAGGAAGCTCTTGGATTCTAGTCTTAGCGGTGGCTGCGTACTACCGATCAGTCGCAAACCAGGATAAAACAGCTGCCTAGTATACCCTGTAGTGGATTTCGATGATTCTTCTACTTCCAGTGACCATATCTCGCAAAACATATAGTATTGTGAAATGAGGTCATATGATCTGGTTGGTTGAACATTAATAACTTGAGCAAAGCTAACCGAATAGAATATTAAAAATTAAAAGTAAGTATATATGTCATCAGATAATACTAATACTACTACTACTAATAATAATAATAATGGTAACACTGACCTTCCCTTTCACCAACAGATCACACCATCGAGTTAAATCACGTAAATTAAACTCCCATGGTCCACCTTGACTACCGAATTCATGTTCAACATTAATACGTTTATTCACCTTGAAAATAGACAAAGGACATAAATTGAAATGTTCATCTAACAGGGATATTTTTTTTCAACGCAATACGCTACACAGTACATGTAAAACGCATTGGCTACCATCAAGTTTACAATAAAAACAAAGAAGTTATTGATTTCGCATGATAAACTAATTCACTAAACTAACTTGCCACAATTCCTCCTTGTACCACAAAAAAGCAAGAGGAGAGAGTGAAGACAGATTCAGAAGAGAGAGAGAGAGAGAGATAATAAACAGAAGTGTGAGTGAGAGGGGAAGTAACATGGAAGAACAATAGAGTTTTATAGGCGGATGGGGGTAGGGATATGACAAACCACAAAGAGTGAATGATGCACCTGTGCTATCTATTGTGAACGAATTTGATTCATATCACTAATTGTCTCCAGCCCTCATTGCTTCTTACCATTCCGAGGAACCCAACCAGTCAGTCAGACAGTCCACACACCCCCTGTGTGACTGGCTAAAACTAACTGTTATGCATTTCATTGACTGATGAAGCTAGCCATATTTTAGTTTGATCAACATGTTCTAGCTCTTTTCCAACATGATCCATCCTATGTGAGCTAACGGTGTTCGTAGAGGAAGATAATGATTAGTCATGAGTAACAAATGTCCTAACCATCTCGACCGGTGTAACTTCACAATCTCGTCGACTGATTCGCCTCCCTCTTTACCTAGCATTCGACCGATGCCTAACCTGAATATTGCTAACCTTATTATATCACCAAGTAACACGGGAGAGAGAAATTAGATATCTATGATCAAAGACAGCTAGGCAGTCTTTTTGTATCTTCCATTTTCAATGGCTATGCCTAACTCAGTGCTATAAAGGAGGACGGAGCGAAGTGCAGATCAGAACAGCCAGGTGAGTCCTATTCACTGGCTTCACGTAGCGGCGGATGATCTTACCCGCCCCCCCTCCCCAGCTCTCAGAAAGAGTGAAAAGACGTTTGCGAACAGCATCTAACACTTACAACCAGACTGGTGGATATGCTTGTCCACCGAGAGGAGATAGAAAATCCTGATTCCAAACCTGTAATATACGTGATCTGCAGAATCCAAACGGATAGAATGGCGTGTATGAATCTATTTTTGTCCCCGTCATCTATAGAAATGAAGCTTCTGATGCTGCTCCTCTACCGTGAGGAATAAACTTCATGTCAAAAGCCCGCAGGGAATGGTGGGTGTGGCTCATTAAGACAATCACCTGCTTCAGTCTAGACATCCAGGCAGTATCCAAGACCTCAAACAAACTATAAGACAATTTTGTATAGCTCATCTCCTAATGAACATAAAGTACCATGTCCGTGTTTTCATAATAATTATTATAATAATACAGATACCGACAGTGGTGATCTATGTTATTAATATCCTTTGTATATGTTTCATGCTGAAGGTGAGATGTAATGAGGTGTCCAGGACATAATGGAGATTGACTCCTAGAAGTTATATTCTACCTTTATCATTCACTTGACATTTTGATATTCCCTTGTATTACAGTAAGAGGAATGTAGGACTTCGTCAGCACATCCCCATTTCATTGCAGTCTTTTCCTTAGCTGAGACCACGAATACTAATAACCTTTCATCCACCTTCCCTAGGTCACACGATCTCCTCTATGAGTCACCCTCGTATACCCATGCTCTACTCATCTTCCCCTAATCAGTTTCAAACTGACGACCTGATACATTTGACGTCACTCCGTGGTCTCTACAACGAATCTACAATCCATCTCGGTTTCCTTCTGCAAATATATTGGGTGATAACTTCTTGGTTGGTTAGTCGTTTTACTTTCAGTATCCAGAAGGAAGGCGTCTGTTGATGAAATTCTGTAGCAGACTTCTAGTGACGCGTGCGCCATATATCCGAACCATAGAGAAGCACTGACTTTTTTTTAATGTAAGCTATTCAACTTCTCCACGAGGTAATTAGTGATCTCTCCTAGTAAGTATTCATCCTGACTGCTTGTTCTTGTGTATTTCCTCACCTTCTAGTCCACTGGTATCGGTATTGATTGTTCCCTTCACCTGAGAGACAACCTTTTGTTCATGTGATTTCCTTCTTATGGGTTGGTGAATATTGTCTATATCAGTGTGTATGGTGATAGCTGATTCACTTGAATACCAGGCTTCTAGAAATCCCCTGATATTTGTGGTGTTTACTCTGTCTAATATTTGAACATTGTCCTAATCGAATCAGTGTTCGTGGTTGTCTGCGTGCAGTGATATAAGGGAGTGGATATCGTGTCTTTACATTGACCAGTTTATGTTCATGAATGCGAAGACAAGGAGGATGTCGTCGATTTTGACCAATATAATGTTTCTTAATAGTTTCTGAAGCTTATCTTGTGAATGATGTTGGTTTCGTCCTCTTTCGTTGTTGAGTCTTTTGACTGACATAAAGATGAGAGAGGGGATTTTGTGATTTTGTTAGTTTGTGGATAACATCAATTCCAAGAGGTTTGAATAGTCTTGCACAGTGACTTCACGGATATTCTTTATACATGGTAGTACAATATTCTTTGTGCTTTCTCATTGGGGGACATTTAATTTGGTTAGTTGGTTGATTTAAGGGTAGATATCTTTCGACGAAGTTTCGTGAAAATCCACTTTTTTTGGAAGACGTCCATAAGACATTTTTCTTCAATTTTCCTCAAAGTTAAACTTCAGGTCAAAGAAATAATCAATAGCAATACAAATGGACTAGAAGGTAAGAAAACACACAAAAGCAACCAAAAAGTCACGTCCAAGGTCACCCACTAGGAGAAGATGACTAATAAACTCGTGGAGAAATCTAAAAAGCTCACTTCAACAAATTGAAGTATGCCCTGAAGATGTTGTCTAGTGAGGTGATGAAAGCTTTGCAGCTAAACCATCCAAACGCAGAGAAAGCAACTACACCGAGATCATCCAGTTGAGCTGGAAATATCCCCCCCCCATTGTACCTTTATGAAAGAGTTAGGCCTGAGGAGGATATAACTGAAAAAGAACATAATACACTTCTCACCGATATATCCTCTTGCTATAAACGCACAGAGACATGACACTGAACACTTACCTCATCGTTAAAAGCAACCATTATGTGAATACACTCTGTCGATATATCAGGATATAACTGACTAAGGATAAATTCTTGATCTGATATTGTCAATGACCTCATATACACCTTGAAAAGACAAAAAAGCAACAACAAAAAAAAACAGAATTGAACTCTACTCGAAAAAAACACAATTCTAAACCGTCAGTTAGTATTCTGGATCAATAAACAGAGTTTAACAGTCAAGGAATCCTGTAAATATGTGATAAACACACGTATTCACTTTCTGGAAGTATTCAGACTATCATTGATAAGTTCAGTCTAAAGATCACCCAGCAACCACGAGTTGAAGCTCAAACTATCTTATAGTATCATTTGTGGTAGAATAATTTCACCTGGAAATTCTCTCCATTAACAATCTCTTTATAATGTTGATACTAATTTGAGTATCTTAACTAAATTTGTAAATATTACCTTTTGCACTAGGTTTGTTTAAAGATTAAATGTGGATAATGACAAATAATGAACTGACATCGGTTAGAGAACGATTGGAAAGCCACCAGATAGTACTATCAGACAGCTGTTCCGCCCCCACGCCTAGTTTGGGCCTCACCGGCAGCTTGCACCCACCACTGGGGTACGAACCCAGAATCTTCCGGTCACAAGGCAAGCTAGCCCATGGACCAATCAATCACTAGGATCCGATCCAATGACCAGTCCATGAATTCCAACTTCTGCCAATTCATGATATGGTTCAACCAATCGAGAATATCATCCGTGGCGAGTATTTGTCCTCACACCTGACCAGCTGCATCCCACTGGTCACGATTTCCCCCCAAAACCTAGGTAACTACCAGCCCGAATAGGGCCAATCAGTAACTACTGAGTGTGCACTGATGAAGAGTCCCAGACTAGGACGAAACAGCTATCCAATACTCCCAATAATTAAGGAGCTAGTTGAAACAATCAAATACGCACAAATATTGATATTAGATCGTTCTGGGGGGGGGGGATTTTCGTAACAATCTTTCCGTTACAGCTTGCAATACTTAGTTAGCGCGCACAGTTAAGTTGTCGGACACCACTTTGTTGAGGCGCGGGGGTAGTTGTCAAACATAATTTTTGATATAAATCATTTTTTGTTAAATAGCATCATCATCATCACATATTCTATCTTGCAAACTACTTACGAGAATGCATTGATTGGTTTCCGGCGTTCGGATAGCTATTCCTGAATGTTGGTCACTGCATCACCAACTCTTTGCAATAAGAATGTAGATCATAACTAGAACACCCTAACCGGACAGTCTACACTCCCCAAAGTGGCTGGCTCAAACCAACTGTCAAATAATTCTTGAATTTATTCCAGGTCTTGACTGGATCCCCTCTAACACCTTCCTAACCTAATCCAATGTCAGATAACATTTCTCATCGAGAAAGGCAATAAATGCGGCATGTGCCACCTATATCTTGGCCAGCTCAATCGATGTAGCTTCACAAACTCATCTGTGAAATTTCACTCCTTACCTAACACTCAACATCTAATTTCAATATTATTCACCACATTTTACCACTTCATAGGGAAGACAAAATGCAAATATCTGTGATCCAAGATAGCTGGCCTTTTCATATCTCGCACTTTTAATGACCATTTCTCACAGTAAAATATGAGGACACTTCCTTTGGTCGATAGTCAAACATCACATCTACGCCAGAGATGATGTGAGTCGGCGAATGTCACAACAGCTTTTTGTACCTAACCCTGCTAAGATCTCGTTAACAATCAATAAGTCTATCGAGGCTGATGCAATACCCTCTCTACCAATTCACTCCCCCATTTGTCTTTAAGCCAAGAGTTGGTGCACTGCGCAGTCATCAAGCATCATCTCATAATTTCTGTGACAGGAGTGAATCACATACTAAACATTTGAAGACTTCTGCACATATTGTTTGAGAAGATACTGGATTTTGTCAGCGTCTACATCTACACATACTCTAAGCTGACAAGACTGCACCTTGGTAAGAGTTGTTCTTATCTATGTCACCAAAATCACTTAGGACCAACAACATGATGAAATTAAACTCAATTAGGTGACTCACTGAAAAAACCCTACAAAAATCCTTATGAATACACTTCAAACACAGTTGGATATATGTACGTATACAGAATCATTAGAAATTTAAAAGCGGTGCGCTGGTTAAAAAAATTAAAACCCCACCACTTACCTGAGTGAAACGATTCAAAAATGAACGTGGCAAACCTTTACGTCCACCACCTTCACGTAAAGGATTTTGACAGGCGAATAAACGAGTAGTCTTTGAATTAATCTTAAAGGTGGTATTCAATTCAGGTATGAATACTTCACCACGATGATCCAGGCAAGCGTTTAAACACTCAAGAACTGATTGAGAGGCTAAATTCATCTATTTCACGAAAGAAAAACCAAAAAAAACAAGAGGATACGGTTTAAAATTAGAGGATAATTTAAGGGGGCACTCGCTAAGAAAGAAATCAATAAAAAGGGAGAATCCGAAGGGTTCATCAGAGAATGTTATTATTCACTGTTTAGAATGGTCGTTACGTAATCAAATCAAGGAATATTAACAGCTACTGAAGAGATCACAGCGACATATACGCGGTAATTACTCTTGGTAAATATCTGACGGAAGCCTAGGGTAAACAACTGTTTCAGAATTTCAAGTTTCATCACAATTGGATATCAGTTGGAGAAAAATTGAAAAGCAGATGGGTGTACTGCTAGACAGTCGTTTCATCAGCCTACTTTCCGACTCATCGGAAGTACGCACGCAGAACAGGGAACTTCGAACCCAGGAACTTCCGGTTACCAGTCAAGGTAATGCACTATTCATCCATCCATCAAGACTCGATGCAATCACCCACCAATTCTACCTTCTACCAATTATTCGTGGTTTTAGTGCGACTGTCACTAGCCAATGTCATCCGTGCGGAGTATTTGTCCTCACTTGCATTCGACGGGAAGGACGCCACTGGCTTGGTATCAGTTTGTGAAGCATTGGAAACCAGCTGATAGGAATACTGGAATGGGCAGAATTGAAAATTATTGAAATTATCGCGATGGGTGTCGTGATGTAGTAGCCTATTGTGTGATGTGTGTCAACGAGATTCCACTAGGAATCATAACCAACCAAATGACTTTCAATCTCTATTATAGTAGTGAATAACTTCAATCCAGGGAATACTGTCAGTCGAATACAAATGTTATTGAGAAATGATTGAGTGTCTGAATTTTTAGTGGCCAAGGGACATGGTTATGACTAATCTCCAGAAATAAATAACAAGACACTTAAATAAGATCGACTTAGTCGTTGCGTTTTGATTACAATCTGATACACTCAATCCTGCTTGATATGAATACTTTTCAGCCATTTTTCATTCCTTGAGCATTCCAAATACAACATAGGATAACTAAGTTGAGCTCTCCAGTTTCAGTAGTGGGGAAATTCTTTTTAGGGAGTGAGGTTGCTTATCCCACCCGAGCCCTCCAACCTTTCCCCTTTCACCAGGTTTACAACAGGCTAAGCAAAGTTTAAGAGTGCCCTAACATGAAGTCGACCACGGACACATTGTGGCGTGGTTGGAGAGAATTATACTGCAGTGGTAAATAATTCCCCAAAATTATTGACCATAGCAATCACCAGTGAACATTGGATGCTGACCCTTAGTATTTAAGTCGCCTTGTTTAGCTGAAGGCTTCCGGTCAAGCATCCTCGCCATTTGGTACTCCGTCGTGTCACGTTCGTGCACGATCACTAGCCAGTTTAGCTCCCGCTTCAGTTCACGATTTGGTTCCGAAATATATCTCGTAATTTGGATAATCAATCGTGTCTTTTGCTTTGCCTTTGGTCCACGAGAAACGAATACTATAGTAGTTGTTGGTACAAGATCTTGCGTTAGTATATTCCGTACAAATCGCGAACGCCAATACCGTCAACCTCTAAACTGGTCAGTCCAACCGCGAACTTCATTTTCGATAAATACTTAGATAACCCCTGGGAGTTCATTTCTTTTTTGTATTTGTTCTTGTACTATATTTTATTCGACATACTTTTCGTCATGCGTGATCCTAGTCCCAAGGTCATTCGTATTCGCTCAACTCCCAAAACCATTCATTCAGCTCGTACCATACTGGCCAGATAATGCTGAAACGTGGTTTCAGATAGCTGAATCAGGTTTTTGTGAGCATGGGATGACCGATCAACGTTCGCCACACTGAACCTCCCCGCCATCCACCACGTACCCGAATGGGATATAGACACTGGTCCGCCGTCTGTAGGTGAGGTTACAAAAGCTATCAGTAATTTGAAACGAGGCAAAGCGGCAGGACCCGACGGAATTATTCCGGAGGTGTTTAAATATGGGGGTGACATACTAGTTTGTAGATTAACTGAGGTACTAGGCAAAGTCTGGGAATCAGAGACAGTACCATCAGACTGGGGTAAGTCACTCATTATACCGATATTCAAGAAGGGAAACAAGTCCTCGTGTGATAATCATAGGGGGATCAGCCTAACGAACATAGTCTCTAAAATCCTAGGCTCAGTAATCATGCATAGACTAAGCAGAACTCGGGAGGAACAGACAAGGGAAAATCAAGCAGGCTTTAGACCAGGTAGAGGGTGCATAGATCATATCTTCACTCTTCGACAGATTCTAGAACATAGACACACTTTTCGGCGTCCAACAATTGTCATATTTCTTGACTTGAAGGCGGCCTTCGACTCCGTGGACCGAAAAGTACTATGGCAATGTCTGACTGTGAAGGGAGTGCCAAGAAAGTACATTGCACTAATCAAGGCACTCTATTCAAACTCACGTAGTCGTGTAAGGGCTTATGGGGAATTGTCATCTGAATTAGTAACAACCAGTGGTGTCCGACAGGGATGTCCACTTTCCCCATTTCTGTTTAACTTCATCATAGATATGCTAATGGAAGTATCCTTAACTGAACGTAGTGACTTAGGAATCGACTTGTTACCAGGGAATAATCTAATGGACTTAGAATATGCAGATGACATAGTCCTGTTAGGGGAGGATGCTGACAAAATGCAGAGTCTTCTGAACACCTTGAGCAGCAATCTTCGTATGTTTGGCATGCGATTCGCCCCTGCAAAATGTAAGATGCTGCTACAGGACTGGACGACGTCAACCCCTAACTTAGTGATAGGGAGTGAAGTGATAGAACATGTTGACCACTTCACCTACTTGGGAAGTTGTATTAGCACCAACGGACTGATTGGCGATGAAATCTCAGCACGGATCCGAAAAGCTCGAGCTGCTTTCGCTGACTTACACCATCTCTGGCGTAGGCGTGACATCCGGTTATCAACCAAGGGACGTGTGTACTGCTCATCAGTTCGCTCCGTCCTTCTCTATGGCTCTGAAACATGGCCAATACGCGTTGAAGACATGAAAAGGTTGACTGCTTTCGATCATAGATGTCTGCGATCTCTGTCTCACGTTAGGTGGTTTAATAAGGTAAGTAATGTTGACGTTAGGCGTAGAGTGTTGGGCAAAGAGGGAAAATCAATCGACGAGGTTATAAAGTTACATAGACTAAGATGGCTAGGTCACGTGGTGCGCATGCCTAACCACCGCCTCCCCCGACGGGCATTGTTAGCTGATATAGGTTCAGGTTGGAAAAGAGCCAGTGGTGGCCAAACAAAAACATGGCATCAATCCATGAAATCCTTGACAGTTAAACTGAGTCAGGTAGGGAGATGCAGACTCCCGGGTTGGGGCCCTCGGGACTCTAGGAATCAATGGCTGGAGACAATAGGTGACATGGCTCAAAATCGTTGTCAATGGCGCAGATGTATTCAATCTCTGTAATCTTTCATATTCCTTTCTACCATTACCCATTCTGTTTCACTCTTATATTTGTCAAACTCTATTAATTCTCTTCACTCATCTTCTTGTCTACCTCTGTGTGCTATTTGGAACGTGGCAACTCGAACTGCTGCACTTCGGTGCCAAGTTCTATGTTGAATCCAGACAGAGACAGACAGATCAACGTTCACAGGTCCCTGCAGTTATTCACGCCCTACCGCGGGAATTCAGCAAGTGCATAACTAAGCAGATGCCAAGTCCCAAGGTAAGTAACTCGTACGAGTTGCTCAAAGCACCCCTCCCCAGGAGAAACGTTCTCACAGATCGACAACATCTCAACAAATTATTTCGTAACATCGAGTTAGGGGATCAGTCAGCTGTGAGCCGTCAACCTTTAAAATATCATTGAACCGTCAACGCACATTCGCTTCAATATATATATATATATATATATATATATATATATATATATATATATATATATATATAGTAAAACCCACGGATAAAAAAAATAAAGAAATAGTTTAGTGAAACGAGAATGGAAAGGAATAAATGGTTCTCGTCCTACAATCTTTCGAAATCATTCACAGGATCCCGTCACACTATGAGATCAAGGACATCTGAGTTATTTATTTTGAGATATGGATTGACTCAGCTAGGTAGATTCCTCAGTGCTTCTTGAAGCTAATAGATGATATTATACAGAAATGGTCGTTTCGTGATAAAAATTTAATCCCCGTAGTAAGAACACTTTGACAAAGCATTGATATGAACACAATTTTACTTAGTTGATAAAGGCAAAATCAACAGTGGAAGTCAGGATGCTCATTTTATCCCATCTGTGACTAGTCATCATCTGAACGTAGCTCCATCACCAATTTCCTTCTCTCTTTTACTTTTTTAAATAAATCAAGGATTTCAGGCTCAAGATTTGAAATTTTAACAGAGACGACTTTTTATTTGGGTGGGATTGATAGTCTAACGACTTGACCTCCCATCATAGTCAGGCTTAGCACAGGCTAAAAGAAATTTAGGAGTGTGTCGGCCAAGAATCGGACTCAAACCACGTCATGGTTGGCGTGCATTCTACCGACGAACAACAACTACCAACTTACACATCTCCAACGGTATGGCAGTATTCTCGAGGTTTTCATGCGAAAACACTATCACGTCCTGGATTGTATGTTGCCAGGTTGATGTTATCCACCCAAAACACAAACAACTTCAAAATTAGGAACTCGAATCAGTAAGCATTTACTTGACATTTAGTAACAGTAATGTGTGTCTACACTTACCTCATCTAGTACAATCCAATGGCCATCACAAAGACCTTGTAAAAATGGACCAGATTTCCAAGCGAAAACACCTGCTTCAGCACCCTCCACTGGAAGATCACATCCAAATAAGTCACTAGCTTCCTGGATAAGGAATAAAAAAATAGGAAGAAAATGAATACTGTTCATTAAATACAAAAAAGGAGAAAAAATCGATCAGGAGAGAAACAAGTAACCAAGCGGAGCTTAATCAACTGTAATGTCCTTCATCAAAGATATACGTATAAACATACATGTCTGTCTGTCTGGATTCAACATAGAACTTGGCACCCTGTTTGCCCAACACTCTACGCCTTACGTCGACATTACTTACCTTATTAAACCACTTAACGTGAGAAAGAGATCGCAGACATCTATGATCGAAAGCAGTCAGCCTTTTTCATGTCTTCAACTCGTATTGGCCATGTTTCAGAGCCATAGACAAGGACGGAGCGAACTGATAAGCAGTACACACGTCCCTTGGTTGATAGCCGGATGTCACGCCTACGCCAGAGATGGCGTAAGTTAGCGGAAGCAGCTCGAGCTTTTTGGATCTGTGCTGAGATTTCGTCGCCAATCAGTCCGTTGGTGCTGATACAACTTCCCAAATCGGTGAAGTAGTCAACATGTTCTATCACTTCACTCCCTATCACTAAGCTAGGAGTTGACGTAGTCTAGATAAACATACATAAACCAAAAAAGTTAACATACCACACAAAATCGATACATCACGGACACTTAGAAATGTGCCACACAAAGTGTTGTTTCATAGTTTATACGAGTCCTTGGATACTGCTCGAAATCACAAAACGTCCCGTTAACCTTTGACTAATAATCTAATCCACAAGACAGTAGAGCAATATCAGGAGCTACATTCCCATAAGTGATAGTGACCAGAACAGGTTTACCGACGTCATTCGATACGTTCAGATTCTAGAGCCCATATAAACACCATAGCTTTGTTTAGAGTTGAGGCTGCCCAGTGCTCCTACATAGGTAGACCAGCATATCCACGGATGCGGTTGTAAGCACCAGACGTTCACATTTGTCCTTTCAAGTTTTTAAAGAACAATCTTGCCGTCATGTGAAGGCGACAAACAGGACTTACCTGAACAGAAGCTATGATAGAGACAGAGTGACAATCACAGATGTGACCACGGTGTTTATCGCGGTGGTGTATATATGTACCATACAGGATATTAACGAAATTCCTGATGCTGTGTACCAGCATGATAAATACACACAGCTTTCTGTCATGCATTTTAAGCATCATCTAAGCGGACATTTATGCGAAAATAAAGGCATTAGTAGAAAATCCTATCGGAATTAAACACTACGCTAGCTAGATAGGAATTATCTATAAGGCACATCGACAGTCTACTAAGGAAGCGTCATTTAGAGCAAACCACTGTTGGTTTCCTATATGACACAGATTGACAGTACTAGTGTGACTATGAAATCAAATTCTATCATTCAGAAAGTAACATGTGATCATTTAGGTAAGCGTTTGACCCTCTTACCACTGTCGAAATCCACAAATTCTGTTAATTTAGGTGTTGGTTTGTAGGGATTTGATTTGGTTAATAGTCTCAACTACGGCTATTAGCTTAAAATGAAACTTGAGGAAATAATACAGAATGTTTGACTATGATACATAACACTCGTGGAACCTTTTACACTATATACGCCTACATACTTTGCATATACTTCAGTGCAACTTACCTACTACCACTCTATCATGATTCCTACTACCAGACCTACTTCCAACATAAATGAAACATCACCTATTCGTGATGCTTGTTACTGTCACTGTTTGTACCAAGACTTTAAAGTTCTGTCTGCAATGGCGGTTCATGTATCATATCTATAATCAAGACTTTTTACCTGTCAAAATAGTTTTACTATTCTTCCCTTGAGTTCCGAATGGGACATAAGGCTACAACAACAGCACGCCTCCACTTTGTTCTATTTTCTGCAGTTTTTTTTATCTGACAGTACGACACCCTCTAGTCTCTGATCTCCTATATGTCAACCTCGGAAACCCACTCCCAACTCAAGGATGTGCCTGGCACGCGATGTCACGCAACATTCCCCCCCCCAGCATGAGTCCGACGCATCTCCATTTCCTTCGTAATGCTTGTTGAACAACAGGTTCTCACCAACCAGTTCATTCCCAGACATTCTTGTTGCTAATTCTTTCCGGGCTGTCATGTGATCTTCAACATGGAACTAGTGAAGGCATCAGCTGTCGATAAACGAACCAGTGAAAGCGACAGCTGTTGATAAACCTCCGCAGCAGGTCTGTTAAAAATGCTCTTCATGACGCTCGCGATAAGTTCCTAACCTATACAGAATAGCTGACTGACTTAACATAGTGGTGTTTAAAATTCGAATCTTGTTCTTTAGTGTTACGGAATGCAGAAGATTTCCAATTCTGAAAGATTTTGACATCCTCATCCCTTCGATCTGGTTGTGTTTTTGAAACAATGTTGCTTCGCCAGATAACTCAAGAAAGCGACCTCTTTCAAATTAATCCCGATGACAGTGATTGGTGTCGGTTGGTTATCTTCATCACTTCACTCTTCTTCTTCTTTTTCTGTACGTTCCCCTGAGGTCCTCCATCTACTGACACTTTGTTGGTTATCGCCTGCAGGTCTTCGAGTCTATGCGACATTGAACGACATAAATCATACACACATGCGTGAAATCCAGATCTTCTAGAGTCTTCTGATCGGTCCAACGTTTTCTAGCTCTTTACTAGCTCCCCAAGTACCGTTTTCCGCAAAATCCAATCCACCACAATTAAGAATACCATCGGTGATAATACGCAGTCTTGTCTTATACCAACCAGGCAAAGTACAAATGAAAATAATTACATTGAGAAAATAGACTTAATAGACACTCTAATGAACTTACTGTTGCCTCCGACAAATTTATACGTATCACTTTATGTCCAGAGGCTTTAGCTAAAGCCATTACCAATGTAGTCTTACCAACACCTGGACTACCTTCAAGCAGTAATGCTCTACCAGGTAGTTGCATAGCTCTTAGTAAACGCTTTAAATTTGAAGCAGGCGTTGGTGCATCGAAAATAAATGAAGTGGGCGTTGTGACGTCATCGCCATAAGGTAGATAAGGACCTAGTAAAATTAATAAATAACGATGACAATTGAAACTTTTAGTCCGTGTTAAAAGTACATTATTATTATTATTACTGTTAGCAGTAGAAGAAGTACGTGATTTAACCACAAGTTGACACCATTTATAGAACTACAGGAAAATCTGACACATCCATGATTACCGACCGCTGAGGATGTAGTTCAGTGGGTGCGAACTGTGCAGAGTCCCAAACGAAGCTGACGAAACACCTAGCTATTCAGTACACCCAGCTGGTTTTCAAATGATTCACTAACTGAGGTCAACTAATGATCAAACGGGTAACCAATTAAATGAATTCCTACAAATCAATACTTGATAGTTTATAAGATTACTGGGAAATCAGAAAGCATTCTTAAAATATCGTTATGCTGCTTAGCTTACGTAATTCAACGTAAGCAAGAGAATGTACCTACGACCGTAAAATGACTCCGATCAACCAAAAGTATTTACTAGACAGATGGTCGAAGTGATGTGTATACCGGATGGTCATTTTAATCATTCATGCATAGTCCAGAGTTTATCATCCATCAACAATGTATCCAAATCGGTTCAGTTCAAACTAATTAAGTGCTTTCTCTGCTGATGACATAATCACTGACTGATTTCGAAGAATTCAATACATAATGGGAAATAAATTGACTAGAATTCCCTACTAAAGTATCACATATTTTCGTATTGATTTATATGACTCAAATTAGATAACGAAGATACACCAGTTAGGGAACCATGGAAAATCAAAGAGTACTGAACAGATTTATCCTCTTAGTTGACAACTTTTCAACAGTACGCGCGTGTCATTCCCCTATCTCTAGCCAATGGAACGTAATCTAACCACCGATAAATTCTAACTTTCGACAATTAGCGATACATACAGCACGTCTGGAAACTAGATGTTTCGTCCTATTTTGTGAATTTTCGACAGATCCCAGGACCTATGAACTACTCTCCACACCGGGGATCGAACCCAAGAAGTCAGCTTGTTGACTAATTCAACTCTAGTGAGTTGGAATCTTATGACGCATAATCTCGGCCCGCTATCTTACTCGAAATCAAATCAATCCCTGCAAAACTAACATTTGAAAACATGATTATTACCACCACTGGAACGCATACTAGCTTCTGTCAGCACTAGTGGAGAATGACTAACCGACAGACAAAGTGAGTGAGTGATAACAGACAACTTGGCACAGAATTACACCAGTTTAAGTTGGCAGAAAATAAAAAGTAAGAGGGGGTGGATAAGAACTGTCGTAGACAGTTCAGTGGATAAGGACGATCACGACATTCACCTACAACACCACCAAAAGCCTTCATCAATTGATAGCATTACCATTCCGAGGACGCCAACCTGGTTAGATCAAACAAACTAGTCAAATACTTTACATCCACTGGTGCCAGGTTTTGGTGCAACCATCACACCACTTGACACATAAAAGGATGGATCGAAATGTGCACACAAGATAGTAATACCAACAATCAATCAATAAATAAATACATAAACAAACCTGTAGGTATGAAGAATGGATCACAACCGAAGCATTCAGTGCTTTTCTTCAACACAAATTCTTCATTCATTGGAGTACAAAAATTAGCATAAATAGTCTCAAAGTCAGGAAATGGTTGTTGAATAGTGTCAATTAAATTCTTGTCAATTGATGACATTTGATCAATAAGATAACGGATTGTAGTGCAAAAGAAGCCTGTAGGATTGTTATTAACATTATTACAGTTCCCTTGATCTGAAAAAAGAAATACAATCAATCAGTTAATAATACAAAATATATATGGAACTATTCATTGATCTATTACAAAAAGAAATACTAAATTATACGAAAAAAATAACATTCACTCCATGCAAGAATGCTCCACATTGAATAAGTTAACTAGGTTGACAGCGTAACGAGCTGAATTTGAACACGTTATCCTGGATCATTGAGAGAGAGAGAGAGACACTACGGTTATTCAATGGTCAAAACCTTACAATTCTCAAGAATTAGTTTGTACGGATTTGATTTACTTTTTTCAAATTAGACCAGGGAATGATATAAGTTAAAGAATCATTTGCTAAAGCAACAAGTAGTACAGTGTGGCTGTTTCGTCCCACTTTGAGACTCTTCACTAGCACGCACTCATTGGAGTTCGAAACCAGGACCTTTTGGTTACGAGGTAAGCTCATCAATCATTAAACCATTGGGACTCGATCCAATTGCCAGCTCACCAATTCCAACTTCTGCCAATTTTTACCATACAGCGCAGCTACTAGCCAACATCACCTGCGAGCACTTGTCCTCACACCCGAAACGCCGTATCCCACTGGTCACAACAATCTGATTTCTCCAGAATATACTCGCCTTCAGATATGATGGAGTAGATTTGTACCTCAAGTGGATAATTTTGATGTTGTTGTGTTCTCTAAGCTAGTTGGATGGTGTATTTTTGAATCTTTCATTGCTCCTACTAAGCAGCATCTTCGATGTTGAAGAGAGCTTATAGAATCCTCTAAGAGTTTATTAATCATCTCTCCTGGTAGCTGACCTTGGACGTGACTGTTTGTTTTTATGCATTTTCACACCCACTAGGCTACTACTGGTATTGGTACTCATTGCTTCCTTGACCTGCCCAACTAGCACCAGTCAACGTTATCCGAGGCGAGTATTTGTCCTCACAGTGTCGACCAGCTTCACTATACTGGTCATGATTTCTCACTAGAACTCCCGGTGATTTCGTCCTGTAGCCAGTCGTCACTAACGAGCATCAGATTAGGTTGCAAGGGTTACTTCGCAAGGATTTGATTTGTTCTCAGGTTTGACCACAGATTGATATCAGCTAAACAACCATTGGAGTGAGGGGAGGAGTGTGGGAAGATACTCGCCACGGATGACACTGACTAATGACAGTCGCGCGAAAATCAAGAATGGGTAAAAGTTAGAATTCGTGGGGGGATCGCAGTGGTTGAATTGCATACAAGCTAGTTCACCATGAGACTGGCAGGTCCTAGATTCGAACCCTGGTAGTGGGTGAGTACTGACGACGAGACCCCAACTAGGTAGTACGAAACAGCCGGCTAGAAGTACTCCCAGTCGGTTTTCAATAGTCAAACATGAAAAAAATCAAATTTTTATCTACAGTAGTATTTATCACAAATGGAGCAAAAACAAAAGACATACCATCAGTTTTCGTGTTAGCAGTTTCATCCAAAGCATCCAGGAATATTAAACATGCACCATGTATGCAAGCGCTGAACAAGTCGATTGTCGCTGTTGTCGTCGTTGTTGTTCCTGTTATTTGGCAATATGAATCCGCTTGACTATCGTCGTTTGTTCTGACGACAGTTCGAATGAATTCAATCCAAGCGATTAAATCACGAATAGTTGGTGGAGATCTAAACAGACATACATTAATTATAAAAGTACGGAAGATTAGATATCAACAGAGAAAGCGTTAGAATAATTCAGACGTGTGTCACAATGTAGATTTCGTCACGAGAACCATATAACACTGAACAATCCTTTAGTGCTAGTTTCAGACCACTAAGGAGTGCACACTCACAATGCCCACACCACTAAGCATCTAACCTCAGGACCTTCAGATTATCGAACCAAACTCGTTTACCATTCAACCACAATTTGGATTTGTGGGGAATAACACCATACCAAAGTTAAAAAGAGAAGAATACAGCTCAGTGCCAAAGAAAATACTTTATATGAACCTGGACTTCAGTGGAGATTCAGCAGGAGACGCCCTAAAGAGGCGAATCTGTAATTCCTCGAAGAACATCTACCTTACAGCAGTGCTAGCAGTCATATTCTCTAACCACCGATTACACATCTAATCGATTTAAAGGATACACTCTTGCATATAACGACTTCAATGTGAATATAAATCAGCTCACCCGTTTCTGTGAAGCTAGACAATATAGATCATGTTAGCTGATCTGTTCCTTTAAACAGTCTACTTTAATGATGTAGTGTTCAGTCGTATTTGTTATACAAAAGTGATTTCTATGAGGTGTACTGGTAGGAAATAGTCCAGACGTATTCTCAAGAGAACGTCACGCATGTCTGAGCTTTGTATAGACCATCCATCTGTCTACAAAATGCATATCATATCTGTTCACAAAGGTCGAACACATGTACAGTGGTAGAACAGAACTAGATGCATTAGAATGTAACTAATGTCACCTAGTTCTGTCTTAAGTGTCAATTATTTGAGAAGTGATAAACAGACTAGGAGGACTAGTAATCGGTAGACAGTTCCGATTGACTTCAGACTGTTAAATCCAGTCGATAAGAGTACAGTCTACGTCTGGATTTTGTGCTTGCTTACTATGCTTTGACTACCTAGGGGTATATGCAAGCTCAGGGGTTCAGAGGTAGAATGCTTACCACAGTTCGAATCCTGACCGGCTGGTGTATACCTTTACCTTAACCTTCTATAGCCGGTTATAAGCTCGACAAATAGGGTAAGTTGGCCATGAGGCTGGCAACCCCACCCCGTAAAAGCAACAACACCATTGAATCTTCAAGGCTTCTTGAAGTCACACGAGCACAGAAGAATGAAACCAAACCAATACAAACCAATACTTGAATACCAATGAGATGCTCACTGGCGACTGGCCCTATTCAGGTAGGTAGTTACCTAGGGTTCCAGCGGGAAGTAGTGACCATTAGGGTGCAACAGGTCGCGTGTGAGGACAAATACTCGCCGAAGACATTGGCTAACGGTCGCGCTATGTCGTGAATTGGCAGAGGTTACAATTCATGGGCCATTGGATCGGGTCCCAGTGGCTTATTGGTCAACAAGATCGCTCGCCCTGTACCCAGAAGGTCCTGGGTTCAAACTTCGATGGGTGCGTACTGCTGAAGAGTCCCAAACTAGAACGAAATAGCTGTCAAGTAATCCCAGGTTTTCCAATGGTTCTTTAACCAATGTCAGCTCATGTTGAAATCCTGTAACCAATAAAATCCTTACAAAGCAATACTTGAAAGAGAAATTCCTCGCCAATCGGTAAGCGGGAAGCAAAATGAACTCGTCTAACCTGTGATGTAATGAAGTAATACCATTCGATTTACATTCTTCCTGGGTTACAGCTAACCACTGAATAAAATTCACCATTTTTTCAGAAAATTGTCTAGCAAGACGATTATTTTCACCGCTGAAAATATTCGGAAGTTTTAATTTCAAATTATGTTGAACAATATCTATCCAATCAGTTAGCGGGTTGGACAACTCCTTCAACAAGGATTCATCAGGTCTGACTGATGATGATAATGATGATGGGTGGACAGCTGTAAATGTCGGTGATGGACACCAAATTTCAGTGAAACGATTCCTTAGAGCAGGTGATAATTCTTTCTTCCCATAATCTCCACCAGGATTCATTGTAGCAATAAATCGAAACTTGGGGTCAGCTGTTAACTGGGTAGTGTCAAGTGAAGTACCATCCAATAGGTCTTCAGTACACTCAGCAAGATGAAGTTGTCGTTCCGGTTCAAGTAGACTGTTTAATCGTTCTAATACAGCATCATCAGCCAATGAAATTTCATCCAGTAGAAATAGATCCCCGTTTAGCATAGCAACAACTAATGGACCATTGACCCATTCAAATAGACGAGAATCATCTGTAGACTGTTCGAAGAAGGAGAAGGGAGGGATAGAGAAAAGAGAGAATGAATAAAATTAAATAATGTAAGAGTATTCTTATCACCTAGACACAAGATTGTAGAGTCTTGAAGAAGTGGAAAACTGTAATTACGAATTTTATCTCTCACGCGTTCGAAGTAGTCGAACTAGAGGAATTCGATGTCAACCTAATAAGTCTTGTCCAGTGTGGACTTAATCATATTTGTTTCAACTATTCGGTTAATGCGCTGCACCCGTGGTGTATGTCTGTATGAGGGCTACCCAAATCAGAACCTGTGACCGAAAAGTTGGAAGTTGACCGCCCACACTAATGTGCTACCGGGGAACACAGGATAATTTATAAAAGACTTCGGAGTAAAATGCAACAATTCAAGTTGAAACTTCTACAAGAGCTTGAGAAAGGTAATACAGAATAAGTATATGGCAGAGGATGAATCTGTATCGTCCCAAAGAGTGCATTGCATCTCCGCCAATGAGTACAATTTTGAGTCATATTATTATCATTATTTCCTTTAGTTCCTAGAGGAACATAGGGCTTCAGCTGCGCGTCTCCATTGCGTTTGGTTTTCTGCCAACCTTTTCACCCCTCTCCAAGTCTGCCCACATGCTTTCATCTCCTCTTCACATGACCTCCTCCAAGTCACCCCACCCCCGGACTGACGACCAACTCGCCGCTTCTCTTTCGGGTTCCACTCGAGCGATGGCTTGTCTAGTGATGTCACTTGATGGCTTGTTTCCTCAGAGTATGGCCAATCCATCTCAATTTCTTCCTGCTCTTTTGTTTCACAATCGGTTACTGGTTGGTTTGCTCCCAGAGATCCCTATTGCTGATCTTTTCTGGCCGGGTATCTGATCTTGAGTAGTATTGAGCGAAGACAGCAGTTATTAAAGGTCTGTAGTTTGTTTGAGATGCTCTTCATGACGAACCAAGTCTGTGATCCGTAAAGTAGCACTGACCTACGTCAAATTGGAGTTGAAAATCCGGATCTTATTTTCATTTTGATGTTGAGTTCTGTTGACCTCCACAAAGACTTGAGAGTAATGAAAGCTTGTCTTGCTTTTCCGATTCTTGCTTTGATATCCTCGTCAGTTCGGTCGGCCTGTAGTTGAAACGATGCTTCCCAGATCGGTTAGTAAAGGAGGTTGTTTCTTTCAGATTCCTCCCATTTATGCTGGCTGATTGTTGTCTGTTGTTGTAGCTGTTGGCCAGGAATCTTCATCACCTCTGTTTTCTCTATGTTCACCTGAAGTCCTATCTTTGATGCTTTTTCTGCCAACTTGTTGCTTTTCACTTGCATATTACAAAAAGTCTCAAGCCATTGATTCTTCGCGTCTCGATGACCCCTCCACCCCCAGCCCCATAGTGAGACAATCTACACCTTACAATCTGACCCATTTAAACCATGCTTTCATTTGATCACTATTAACTCTCTTCTTGTGTTGGTCGACAATGGAGATAGTCGTGGCTCAATATATGTGCGAACACATATCGTAGCCATTTCGTTTCGATTGATTGATGCAGCTGCTTCACAACCTCATGAAATTATCTTTCCTTCAACGTCTTACCTCAATATTCATGGTCATAATGTACCATCTGACACGGGAAATAGAACAAATATACCTATAATCAAAGACCGCTAGCTTCTTCACATCTCCCACATTCAACAGCTATATCTCAAGACTGTAAAAAAGGGTAGAGAGAATTGTTGCAAGCAAAACACACGTCATCTGATGAACGTTATTCTGTTTGAAAAAAGAAGAAGAACAAGAATACTGAAGAATGAAAAATAACTTGACTTACATTTGTCGCCTCATTATTAGTTGACGAATGCCGAACAGGTCGAAGGCCACCAAGAAAATCTGAAGCCTCAGTACACTGATGACAATTAACACAATGTAAACGTTGGTTGTGCAGTGCAGCAATCACCTGGCAAATTGTTGTTTTACCACAGCTTTGAAGGGAAAAAAAGGAATAACGAAAGGTAAGACACCAACCAACCAACCAATAGATAGAGTAAAGGCAGAAAATTTAATGAAACTGTCTAGTGGAAACATTTTAACTAATGTTGTCTCACTTTATACAAATATTACATATGATACAATCAATGAATTACCAACATTGAGAAACTATGAACTATATTCACACTGTGTGACAGGCAGCTGACGATAATATCCAGTTAGTTACCCGGGGAGAAGCGAGAGTCGAACACAGTGGAACCGACTGTTGCTTGATCTCAGATACACGTTGAAAGCTGTTTCTTCCTTAAATAAGGACTCAGTGTCTCGATCTAGTTGCAGGCGTAACTGTTTTGTTGCCAACAGTTATTTTCCTATGTCCATTTGATCATAAACATATACGTCCACAAACCAAGAAGTGATCACAGTCTTCACAGGTGTTCCAAAAAGAGCTGCAGTCTTCTACTGACCCTCTCTATGTGGTTTTTTTGAGCTCACCATTGATTTGGTGATGGAAGTTGTCAGGTTAAGCTATGTCTCTACAGATGATTTTCTGAACGGAACTGTAGAAGACGATCACCGTTGTCGGTTCGTCGACAGGGAAATCCTTAGACACCACCAATATACTTCTCAGTCTGACATAGCTTCCCTACGTGGACATTGAAGTCGCCTACTAAAACGACTATGTCTTAGCGTGTTTCTTTCCGTAACAAACTAGACAGTTCCTGGTAGAAATCATCCTTTAATTCATCCAAACGGCAGCCGGTCGGGCATAAGCGGAGACTATGAAAAGACAACAACGGGTAACATCGTCCTTCCTTCTTCTAACGGACCCCTTCAGATGGACGACACGACTATCTGCTGGGATCCAGTCAAGAAGGGGTTTTTTTGCGCTAACAGTCAATGACATCCCTACACCTGCAAGTTCCGGCGAACTAGCTGAGAAGTCTCTTGACACCCATAAGTTGAATTCTGCGGATTCACCTTGTTGACTCGGTGGGGTCAAGTGAATACCTACAGCCAGGTCTAGTGTGCTCGACATGCCAGAGTTCTGGCTAGTGATCTCTGTTATCCGATTCGACATAGGGTCCTGGCGTTAAATGCTCCAATATGAAATTGGTGGTGTGGTTTTAGGAGGCTGGTGGGAGTGTTTTTCTGATTGTCATTGCTACTTGTCACAGAATAAAATGAAGTTGACTGACTAGCCTGCAGAATAGTATCGACAGTAGTAAGAAAACAAGATGATGAGGGTGATTAGGATCAAGGAGTGTGACAGGTGGATGAGCTACACTTCTGTGCAAAGTTCTATGTTAAAATCAGTCAGTCAGACTGTAGCTTGAAAGCTGAACGTTTAGAGCTATGAGTCATACCTCGAAAACTCGTAGGGATACAAAGTACAGCATATAAAAATGTCGAAGAACGCCAAGACCACAACACACCTGAGACCACGGAAAATAGACAGAAAGGTATTCAGAACAACAAAAGATATACGACAGAAATGAATAGCTTTCAAGACACCACAGTTCGAAACAGTAACCACTAGGGAGAAGAGTAAAGAGACAGAAACACTCAGACTACCGAATTCTTTCAGAAAATAGATGACAACTATAAACCACTCAAACCACTACGACTACTATTAGGAAACCGATCGAAAGACGCAATGGCGCCCAGAATGGATCCTCACTTCGTCTCGACATCCACATGCATACACTAGCTATCAAAAGACATGATAACAATAACAGTCCCTTAGAGCAACAATGAACACTAATTCGACTGTCAAAAAATGATCATTTTAGACAAAGGAAACACCACAAATGCCAGGGGATTTCCTAAAAGCCTGGCAGTCAGATAAATCTGTGATCAACAGACACGTGGACATCAATGATAAAACACGGAACACAGATACACCAAAAAAAGGAATACTTCTGACAGTACTAGATCGTGCCACAAACAGTTGAACACTCTTTAACTTTACGGGTTCTCGACAAACTAAAAGAATTCAGTACTCATTTGTTTATTGGATATAAAACACAATAAAAAAAGGAAGTAAAAGTGTGGTTGCAGTTGTCTGCTAGCCAAAATTGGTAGACAGCAGTTCATGTCATGAGAAAAAACAAGAACACAGACTTTGCGTTGGCGGATACGATTTCCAGATATATGGTTTGACCTTCGAAGAAACAGCCACAAAGAGATGACAGAATAACTTCAAGTGAGAAAACGACCAATCTGATATGTATCCATATATATATATATATATATATATATATATATATATATATATGTGTGTATATGGTGGTCTCTCTTTCTGTTGCTCTCAGTCTGTGACCATTTCACTTTGATGAACCTGTCTCCTTTAACAATGTATATTCCCCTTATAGTATATATAATATGAGTGTTCGTTGACAGTCCGTTGCTTGGTGACATATATCCATATTATATGTGTGGTTGTTGACATGTCTGCTATATTTTGCTATGTATATATGGATCGATACTCCATTATAATTAGCCAATCATGTTAAGACTGTCTATTGATTTGTTCACACACTTGTTTGGACATTCATATATATTTTGCTCTCACACTATTGTGTGATATATTTGATTCTTCTGGTGTTTGGAATATAGAAGTATCATCGCAAACCTAGTGGTCTTCTGATTTCCGTCTTTCTTACATCAGGACTATTAAATTCTCGACCAGTGCATAGCAATAATTTGGCGACGAGTACATAACACAATCAGAAGACACTGTTTCTCTGATGATAGTAACTAATAATAATGTACACAAAAATATATAAATGCCTCGTGATTTCCTCAATAAACGATCCGTTGCCTGGTCTTTGTCTTCTGTCATTACAAAAGTTCTACTATCATCTATCAAACGTTGATAGATACTCTTCGCATGTTAACACTCTCCAACTAACTAAGCAATCATGCCACAAGTGGTTCAGTGTTCGGCTCCCAGCCGACGCACACCTAAACTTCGCTAAGCCAGTGGTGGTAAGGCTAGTAAAAAGGGGCGGTTGAGTGTGAGGTTAGCAACCCCCGTACCGTAAAAATTAAATACTCAACTACTACCGAAACTTCAAAGCTCTAGGGAGAGAAGAGTTATGTTTCACTCGCAAAGTAGAGGAATAAAATAATCAAATAAGGCAAAGTCTATAAATAATAATAATAGTGTATTGAATTATCCCACACTGCAAAACTTACCCTGTCTCTCCGACTAATAACACTGGCTCTTCGTACTTTAACGCATTACCAATTAGAACTAATAAACGACGCATATCTCTTGTCCATACAATATGTTGAAAGGCTGGTTGACAGATTGTATTATCCACCGAAAGGATTGGTTGTAAAAATTCGTATACCGCTGGGGATGACTCTTCATTTAGGTCGAATAGTCTATTATTATTATTGTTAAGCGAAAGGAAAATAATAATAATAATTCAAACAAAATATAAAGGTTAGCTGCACAATACGAGTAGATTTTCATGCCACTCTTAATTATATATCCGTAATGATTACGTCACCGACAGTAACCAGTTACAGAATCACTGGAAACCAGTTTTGGGGTTGATGTTGACCAGGATAGCTGTGTGTGTGTGTGTGTATGTATGTGTATGGATGATTGTTACTTCCCCCACTGATCACACCGTGAAGCCTAATTTCTTCTTAGAGTGTCTGAATCAGAATGGAGCATTTCAGTTGTGTGACCGAACAAAGTCCAGGAAACAACTACTTGAGGGCCGTTAACCACGCACACATACACACCAACTAATTGAAGTCGTTTCTGGAGTTGGATTTGTACTAAAATCATTACTGTCAGTTACAGACCGCGACAAAGTAACCTGGGATATACCATTTCCTACCGCCCACTCCGCCAGACCGGAAAGACAGCAGAAAAACTAGCCTGCATGTCACCTAAGAGAAACACCCTACTGCTGTTATCTTGCACTGCCAGTAAAGTATCACAAAATCACTTTATCCTGGTAATTGCTTGCAGAAACATTAGTTTCAATCTAGTTTAGCTGGTTGTTGGATAACTGCGATATACAAGCCCAACACCACCACCACATCAAAGTACCATCAGCTATCGGTTAGGCCTAGTTTGACACTCTTCGACAACATGCACCTACAACCCCCTCCATGGGTAGGTTTCGGGTAAAGAAGCCGGTCTGTTGACTGACTATGTGCACTCATAGGCTAGGAATCTCAACTACTGTTTATTCACGAGAGAGTCAGAGCTGGACAGGGTGAACCCTTATGGATTGTGACTTATTATCAGGAACTTCAAGACATCGATTTTGTTAGCCATTAATGAATTGGATTAATGTTAAGTGTCAATTTCTTTAGAAAACCAACATCAGTTAGCAAATCACTGAAGACTATAATTGTCTTCATTAAAACATCTGATAGTAAATCGTACTGTGGTATAGCTATTCAACTACATTTAAGTTTGAGTTCACGAGTAATCCTATGCTTTAATTATTATTTTGCGTTATGCTTTATTCTGTCATCATTTCACATCTATGGAAAGTGTTCAAGTTCCCCTTTTCCCCTCGATTGATTTTCATCTAATTTATTAGCTGATATCGACTACTCATGCATCTGAATTTATTGTATGTACCCCTACCCAACATGACTAACACTGTCACTGATTACGCAACAATAGCAATATTTGGATGGGTAGTGAATGAATGAATCATTAGAATAAGAAATAAAGTGGATTTGTAATCTACTGTCACCATAAACACCCTGGTACGACTGAAGATGGATAGACATCGATCTTCGCCTCGAAACGCTTTCATGAGTCCACGTGTTCATAGCCCCAGCTGGGTAAATACCTTGAATTAATGGTTTTACACAGGACGGGTGTTTCCAACATACATGAAAGGGTGAATACAAGTGTCCGACGCTTACAGAGGGACTGATGGCCATGCTGGTCCAGGTAGGGTAACTGAAAAACCCCGATTTTAATCTTGTGATGTAAATGAACTTAATTCGTTGCCGGAAACCATAGGAAAGCAGGTACTGACGCTGCTCGACTGCCTTGTAGACTAGACTTTAAATCAAAGGTTAGGAGTAGGTGGTCCCTTAGGACAAACACCTGTTTCCATCTGGGAGTCTGGAGAGTATCCTAGCCCTCCTACAAACTATGAGCCAATTTTTATACAATTCGTGGATAGTGGCTAGCACTGGAATCCAGGATGCGCATTTCGTCCTATTTGGGACTCGTCATCTGGATGTACCTGCGTTTCTCAGTGAGTGATGACGTTCCCACCGAAGCTCGAACCCAGTACCCATAGTTTTAAACGCCAAAGCGTTATCCACTACACCACTTGGGCCACTTGGGTGGGAACGTCATCACTCACTGAGAAGTGCAGGTACATCCAGATGACGAGTCCCAAATAGGACGAAATGCGCATCCTGGATTCCACTGCTAGCCACCATCCACCAATTGCATACTAATTAAATTCCCAGACATCGTTGAAGCATCTGCACAAAAAGCCGACATGTCAACCTGAGACCGAGCACTTCGGTCCAAACAATCGACGGGAAAATCAAAAATTCAATTCTATGAGCCAATTTTGTTAGGTGTATCTCTTGGTGACCACAGTGTATCAAGTTTGTATCTTGAAAAATCAATAAATGTACTCCTTCTGAGGAAGGGAGCTAACATAGCAAACAAACAAGACCCAATTAGGCATTAATTCACTCTCAACCAACAAGATAAAACATAGGGGAAGTAACCATCTACAACTACAAACAGGGAAAGGAAATAAACATTATGTGTGTTAAAAAAAAAACAAGAAGATAAATGCACCTACCTTGATTCTGTAACTTTACGTTTAAATACAGTTTCAATAACCTCTGCTACAACTTGTACTTCATTTGGATTACGTACACGTCCAGCAAGTAATAAATAGCCTTGATCAGCTAGGTAAGCATCCCAATCGAATAGCTGAACTTGTCCTCCATCGCCGCTATGACACCCAGATACTTTATCGCATGTTGCTAATCTATAACGTTCAGCCCATCGAAATAGATCACGTAGGGTGATAAAACTATCTTTGCCTTGAAACAGATTGGAACTACATCTAGCAAGCTAAGCAAATCAGAGAAAAAACGGATAGTTACCCTCACAAAAATGGACAATATACACTCTGATCGACAATACGATCTAAACATAGTAACTTTTAGAATTCAATTGGTGGATGGTGACTAGCAGTGGAATCGATGATACGCATTTCGTTCTATTTGGGAGTCGTCATCCGGATGTGTCTTTACTTCGATTGGATACTAGTGCAGTGTGTGCACTATGAATTGTTGATAATAGATGGTTGAAGGCAATCAGCAGACCTATGTTCCGTGCTAGCTGGCACTTGTCAGCAAAGCTGGTTCAAATTTCAGAAGAGATATAAGTCCACTTTGTAAGTACATATACGCCTTGCTGACTGACTGGTGAGTGCCATCTTGCACGAAACCTAGGTTAGGCGAGGCTTTCTGCCGATTTCCTTCAACTATCTAATAGTCAGAGTTACCTTTGTAAGAAATACTCCTTGTTTATTCCTTTGCGCTTCGAGCGGAACAAAGGGCTCCCCATTTGACCTTTGAAGTTTCCATAGCAGTGATGTTTTTATTGACTAACGCTATTGGGTTGCTAACCTAACGTCTAGCAGAAAACTTCCAAACCGGTTTCAGCTTGATGAAGGTGTATCTTGCCTTTCCTGTTCTAACTGGTGTTGACATCTTCCCACATAAGTGAAAGAAGTAACACCACCTCAGTCAAATCTCGTACAGAAGTTGCTCGACAGTAACTCCTGAGCAGGTTTCAATTTCATTCTCAGTGTCAACAGAATTTTAATATATCTATTAACTGTGTGATATCATCTTGAGCAAGGCTGTTGGAAACAATCAACAGAAGGCAATATAGACTTAGGTTACGCGGTTATCAGCACAAGTCGTTACCTAGTTAGTTAGGTCTGTGGGACTTCAAACTAAACACCCTGCCGAAAAAACCGTCGATAAAAAATTCAACTATAAAAACTAGATAAATAACAAAGATTTTTTTAAAAATTTATAAACTAAGATATTACCTGAAGACGATGCATCACTTCAACTAGACGATGAGCTCTACTAGGTGGAAGTAGACACTTCTTCTCCAGAATTATTTCTAATTCATTTCGAGGAATTGTATCAAAGTGCAGCTCAATAAAACGATTACGTAGAGCACGTGATAACATCTAAAAATTTAAAGGGAAGAATAAAGAGTTTAATTGGCGGATGGTGACTAGCAGTGGTGGAATCCAGCCAGGATGCACACTTCGTCCTATTTGGGACTCGTCACCCGGATATAATTGCATTCTCTAGTGAGTGATGAATCTCTCACCGAGGCTGGAACCCAGTGCCCATAGTTTCAAACGCTTAAGTGTTAACCACTAGACCACTTGTGCCACGACAGCCACCTCTTGTGCAACATGTCATATTAATTATTTAACTGAATTTTAGATTTTCCCATCGATTGATTGATTGGATTGAAGTGCTCGGTCTCAGGTTGACATGTCGGCTTCTTGTGCAGATGCTTTGACGATGACTGGGCATGTAATTAGAATTTAATTGGTGGATGGCGACTATTAGCAGTGGAATCCACGAAGACGAGTCCCAAGTAGAACGAAATGCGCACCCTGGATTCTGCTGTTAGTCACAATCCACCATTTAACTTCTAATCACATGCCAAGACATCGTCGAAGCATCTGCACAAGAAGCCGACATGTCAACCTGAGACAGAACACTTCGATCCAATCAATTGACGGGAAAACCTCAAAATTGGATTAAATGAGAATAAGAAGTTTTTATTGACAGCAAATGAGTCTTACTGAATTCAACTTTGATGTTCACGTTGACTGATTGGATTGAAGTGTTCGCCCTCAGGTTGACATTTCTTATCTTCTATTTCCTCAGTATTTTTATGATATTTTAATTTAAACTCTGATTATCCGTCCACTTCACGTAACTTTCAAGATTTGACCTAATTTATTAATTTATTGAATTGCCTACGTATACACGCGTATTACCTTCGTTATTCTTCATATGGCCACCTGCATACACCTTATTATCACTATAACTATTGTTATTATTGAAGTTCAAAACATCCAGCAAATTACTATTATATATATATAAAGCAAATTGTGAAGCAGTGTGACTAAACTGATATGATTATGAGCAGCAATCACACTTATGCTCAAAACGTCGTCATCCAAGTTATTAATACTGCATCATCATTGATGTGACATTAGCAATAAAATTATCTAATATGGAATTATACATTCTACCACAGTGTGCAAGTTCTGCACTTGCAATAACGAATTGCTAATTAATCGTCTGTCTAGTTAAGATCAAAACTGCCTTGGATATCAAACATCTGTCCAACTGCATATAGTGAAGAAGCAAGTGTACACCGTTTTGCAAAATAGTAATTACTATAGTTTTTTTTCCTTCACGTTCCCAGTGGAACATAGGGCTTCAAACTAGTGGCTTGAAGTTTCTGTAGCAGTGTTTAATTTTACAGGACGGGGTTACTAGCCTCATGCCCAATCTTTCCTCTTTACCAGCATTATTTCTGGCTTAGCGAGGTAAAGGAGTGTGTCGGCCGGGGATCGAACCCCGGGCCACGTGCATGGTCGGTGGGCGTCCTAACCGCTATGCCACCGACGCAATTACTATAGTTAGAGATGAAAATTACCACCATGAACAACAACAACAACGAAAACAGAAGGAAAAACATGATTCTATTGAATTAAACATTCATAACATGAAAAATACTCAACAACAATGGACTTCTTCTTACTTACCTTACGTCCAGCATATAGACCCGGTGGATTTTGTGTAGCAAATAGTCGAAAGTGTGGATGTGCTTTAACTGTTTCCTGCGTCTCTGTAATAAACACAGATCGATTGTCATCTAAAACCTAAAGGTTGATCAAGAAGTAGATTAGTCGAGAGTGGTGAGGGTTAAAAAAGCAAATAAGGGATGGTATTGAAGATCAACAGTAGGATACTTTTCAAGATAAATGAAATCAGGTCAAAAGATATTACTAGTTTTTGAAACTCTCATGGATGGTGACTAGCGGTAGGAGGGAAGGGGGGATTCAGAGGAGTCCTGTATGGGACTCGTCATCTAGATGGACGTACCTGCATGTGAGTGCGCGAGTGATGGTGTTCTTACCCCCCCCTCCCCGCAAATGAGGCTCGAGCACAGTACCCATCGTTTCAAACACTCCAAACCGATATTCACTAGACCATTTCGGTAATGAGAGTCACGCCTTCCTTTTACAACGGGTATCAGTTACTATTCAATTCGGGCCTTCTGGGATTCCAATGCTAGTCACCATCCATCCACTAAATCTTCAAACATCGTCGAAGCATCAGCACAAGAAGTCTAGATGTCAACCTGAGGTCGAATACTGCAGCTGAGTCGAGACAATCAATGAGAAGGTTCAAATTGAATTAAATAATTCCATCCGTTTTTTTCTATTGGACTGATGTGTTCAGTCTTTGTCGAGATGTCAGCTCCCACAACCGTCTCGCTTTGAAGATGTTCTCAGGTTAACTTAATGCTATTTGCATAAAGCTACATACTACTTATTTGACTTAGATGAGTAGTGTGCAACTACCATGAAATTCCACTACTCGAATTGTGTAAATTTTTAAATTGTGAATTTGGTTTTATGCTATTAACTACTTCTTGGTTGCCCAGTTAGAGGTGCGGTGGAATGAAGACCACCACATTTGTGTATAGACTTATCTGTCTATCTATCTTCCGTGCATAACAGGGTTAGCAATATTGAGGTTAGGCATCGGTTAAGTGTTGGGTTAGGAGGGGAAATCATCAATCAACGAGGTTGTGAATTTAATTCATTTGAGATGGGACGAGGATATGTGTCACGCATGTTTTAGCCTAGCCACCGCCTTCCTCGACAACGGCCAATATTAGCTGACACAGGATGTATCAGATTGGAAAAAAGTATTAGTTAGTGGTGGTCGAACCAAAACATGGCTGGTTTCGTCAGTCAATGAAATCCCCGACAGTTAGTTCAAGCCATGTAGGGAGGTATGGATTTTTGACTGGTTGGGGTCTTCGAGATGGTAAGAACTAATGAAGGCTGAAACAATTGGTGATATGGCTCAAAATCGTTCTCAGCAGTGGCACAGATGCATTCACTCTTCGTCATTTGTCATATCCTCCCAATAAAACTATACTGTTCTCCCATATTACTATTCTTTTTCCCTCAGTCACACTTCTGTTTATTATCTCAATCTCTCTTGAACTTCTCTTTACTCTCTTCTCTTGCTTTGTGTTGTACAAAGAGGGAGTTTGGCTAGTGAAACTCCTGCATATGTGTGCAAAGTTCTGTGTTGAAACCAGTCAGTCATTTGGGTCTAGTAGACTAAAGGTATCTGTATCCTGAAGCAATGATGCTGCCCCTACTGAGACTCGAACTGACTACCCATCTCTTCAAATACTGACAGCCTTATCCATTAGACCATATGGTGGCGACAGCCCATCATATTCTTGTGAGAGGCGTTGAAGTTGTTACTAGTTGGAATTACTACGTTGAATTATCCATCGGTTGAGTTTATTAGCTCCTATTATGGATACCCCCCCATAGGAGGTGTATAACACTATTAATCACCGGAGGGGCAGGTGTAACGACAGAGGACAAGGGTCAGGCAACAGATCGTTTATTGAGAAAATCAAGAGGTATTTACAGATTTTTATGCACATTATTGTTAGAGGAGAAGCAACCTCTTCTGATTGGTTGTTTTCTTGCTGAAGGTTATTCTGTTATCTCTTTGTGGCTATTTCTCAGAAATTCAAGCCATATATCGGCGAATCACATTTCCACACGTTAACTCCACTGTGATTGGCCGGTGATTTTCTCATGGTTAAGCTTTCTTATTGTTTTTCTCATGACCCTAATTAGGGACGTGAACATTGACGTAAATTGTTGTCCACATTTTTGGCTTGCAGCCAGCTTTCACCACACAGGTACACCCACCTAATGAGCTTAAATATAGGGGAAACATGCATTCTGGATTCTGCTGAAAGCCATGATCGAAAACAAATACAGCAAAACAAAAAACCCACAGTCGATGCGAATGAGCTACGCATCAGTAGGTTGTGGAGGTACACAACAAACAGTCAGCCTGCTGCCTATGGCTGAAACTTTCGTAAGCGCAAATTCTACAGACTCCCTAACACCCATATTTTCAAAAATCCCATTAAAAAACTGGATAAATAACGAGATTCTTATAAAAAACCAACTTACTCTGTTCAAAGCTTCTAGAATTTCAGTTGGCGCTAAATTCAATTCATCCAATATAATCCAATAACCATAACGCATAGCTTTGACCAATAAGCCATCTTTAAAGACTAATGGTGAGGCAGATTTTATTTGCCCATTGAGATTTCCCTCTTCCCCTGTTGTGGATAATGTTTTACTCGTTGCTTGTGCAGTTGATGAGACTGTATATGTTCCAAGATAAGTTTGTTGATCTGTATGCTCATGATTATTGATTCGATAACACACCTGACCGACACGTTTAGCCAGATAGGTGATCAGCGAGGTCTTGCCAACTGATGTTTCACCTTGTAACAGCACAGGTAGACCACCCCTATTTGATATTTCCAAGATGCAAGGAGGAGGGCAAATAGAATAAGTAATAATAATCATAATAATAAACAAAATGAAATTTGGTCCGTTCACTGAACCATAGAATCCGCAGCATTTGCAGCTGAACACTCTGAAAAGAATTCTCCTCGAAACTGGCTGCCCAGAACGTTTTACCTAAACCGCTTACACTCTCCGCTCTCAAAAGACTTCTCTACGTATATATCTACAATTCAGTGGAGACTCATCAACATCATCACTGCGTGTCCCACTCACTGAAGAAACCCTTCTTCTTGACTTGAAGTTCAGCTTACTTTCTCTACGAAACCAATGATTCACATGAACATAGGTTAGGATAATCTATCATTGCTAGCTGCCTTATCAATGTGCAACTGCCAGTTCACCTGCTAGTGTGGAGCTAGGTATGTCGGCCTTACCCAGGGTATCATCGAACACTTACCCACAGTCGTGGTTTTATTACGGAGAAAAAAGGTTCTTCCCTTGCGCCACAGCTCTACCCTGAAAAACATGATCGAATCTGAACACCAAGCAAACAGAATAAGTGGGAATCTTGCTAAAGGAGGAGTATGAACCACAGCAGCAATGGCGATACACATGTTAAATCCTGAAGTCTGCATAAAAAAGAGGTTTGTTCAGTCATTTAATCTACAGGGGATCTGATCATTCTCAACACTGAATACGTAATTTCTGTGTTTTGGATCTTAATTGTTTTATTTTCTTCGCACACACACACACACCCTATTAAATATCTACGGCTTATTACCTCTGTTGTCAACTTGACTCTCGTTGAATTTGAGGTGAATTCCACTCGATCCTGTCAATTATATTACGTCACTCAATTTACTCACCTAATTATATTTCAGTTTCTACCCGGTTAGTACCCTTTATATTTCCAATTTATTATCTAAAATCTCTAGCTCTAACGACATCTCTGGAAATATTTTATTTTTTTTTTAATTTTTGATTACAGCTTGATTCCATACTGTATTTTTGGTACAAGTATGGAATTTTCAGCATGAATATCGGTAGCCCGAATTTTGCAGGCCGACCACAGATATCAGGTGTGCAACGACAGGGGATCGAACCTCGGACCATGTGCATGGTCGTCGAGAGTCCTAACCATTGTGCGTCGGTGGTACAGTGGTTAGAACTCTAGCTAGGACTCTTTTTGTTGCTAAGATATATATATATATATATATATATATACTTACTTTACTTCGGCTATCTCCTACGGGAGGATGAGCCGGCTTCATGAACATCTCGAATTATCGCTGCCTAGGCGCGGCGATCTGATGCAAGGTTTTGCGACAGGGTTATCCAATTCTTGTTCCACAGACGGAGTCCGTAGACGGTTTGTAGCCCCAGGCACTCCATATCAGCCTTGACTGTACCAAGCCATGTTTTCAGCTGTCCACCCCTGCGACATCGCCAAGATGGAAATGGCGAGGGATTTAGAACTGATTTAACCAGATCGTCATCTGGTCGGCGCAGAACATGGCCAAACCACCGAAGGCGACGTTGTTGAACCAGTACTGGAATTTGGTTCATGTTGTAAAGAGTTCATGAAGTTTCATGGGAATTAGGTACGAGTGATGTCCCCAGGATCACTCGGCCTTTTGTTTGAGAGTGCAGCTCTAACCTTTACACAACCAAGTGTGACCTACAAGGCAGTAGGAGTGGGGTAGGGAATCCACTATCCATTGTCAGCCAGCCGGTGACCGGAGTCCGGTTCATACGCCTTTTTGAATGGGGCCAGACATTCAGGGTATCCAATAAGCCCTTTGTCCATACATCTGCCGGTGAGCTCTGGTGAGCTTCATACGCCAGTCGTTGGAGGTTTGGAATCAGGGTTTAGCCATCTCCACCGGTATATATATATATATATATATATATATATATATATATATATATATATATATATATATATATGCGATTGTACAGCTTGAGAATGACATAGCTGAAAAAAGTAACTCTTCGCTAAACGTCTTTTTTTTATATATGACTGCTTAGTGGGAATTTTTAGGAAGAATAAGAAGTGAAAACAAAGACATCAATTTCCACTCATTTAAAATGTATTTGCATATCAGTGGCTCATAAGTGGAGTGCTCGTTTTGCAGAGTCCGGGATTCAACCACCCTGTCGACCGATCGACGTAGTTCTTGAAAATCTTATCAAGTCAGAAGTAAGCCCAGCAAAGAGGGGAGGGGTTACAAGTAAGGTTAGTGACCTCCCACCCCCGTAAAAATGAAAGTATTGTTATTGAAAAGTCAAAGCTCAAACCGGAGGTTTTATGTTCCACTTAGTCGGGGGGGGCGCAAAGGAATAACAAAAATAACTAAGTGTCATTGGATGATTATATATGTTCTAAAATAATACGAGTATCAGCTGACGGATTTTAATCAAGTCAGTATGGCAACACAACTACAAAGAATCTCTTATACACATAGAAAATGCAACTTCTTGGTGATAACAACATTAGTGATAGACAACACAGCACAATACTTCATGAATGCAGAGAGAAGAGAGCAGTCTATTCAATAGGCATATACACACGGTGTCTCTCTTCACAATCACCCCAATTTTATACATTCAAGTCGACAAATAAACGGAGAAACTATCCAGGGAGTAGTAATCAGCACTTTGAACGTGAGTATGCGAGAACACATAACTAAATGGTTACGATAACAATCTGGACTATGACGTATCTTAAAATAAGCTGGCAGATTTCCAGCTTCATCTATAGCAAAACACAGTAGCAGTGGTGTTTTTCATCACGGGATGAGATCTCTAGCCTCACTCCCAACCTTCACTCTCTTATCTGGCTTATAACCGGTTAAGGGATGTAGAGATGTGCGCCGGCCGGCCAGGAATCGAACTCTACACCACCTATGGCATGGTTGGTTGGCGAACATCCTACCGCTGAACCGCCGGCGTAATCAATATGAATCAAAAGAGTGATATCAAAACAATATGTTTCAAGATTCTCCTTTGAAAAGAATAAGCAGCTCACGCTGAAATACTCTGAGACAATAACTATCCATGAAAACTGAGTGCATCCAACCCCATCCGTAAATCTACCTTGATAATCTTCACTTGATTATATACTACCAAAAGGTAGTGTGTTAGATTATTCTGGTTTTTAACCCCACTTCCATAGCATTTTGTTTGTTTTAACTGGCCTTTTATTTTTCATATAAACTGATTTGACAAGTGAATGTGTGTCTGTGGAGGGGGGATCAAATTGTTCGAAAACTACATCACATGTTGCAGACAAACTTCAACTTCTGATATAATGTCAAAATTTACTACTTAAGGGAGTCAGCCAATCATGGCGGCTTTCCTGGGGTTCAAGTCTCCCCCCTTCCGCTCCACATCTACTTCAGCAACGAAAAGTGGGTAGCATCGATCCTCAATCCGCATATATATATATATATATATATATATATATATATATATATATATATATATATATATATATATATATATATATATATATTAGTGGGGATAATGAAAGCCGCCGAATGTACATGAGACATTATGTTCTGGATAAAATTGAGTTTAACGCACTGAACAAATCAGTCGAATCACCGAAGATATAATTGAAGATCAGCTCAGACTGAAAATGAACAGATTGTTGGCTACAAAATTTTTAAATATATATATATATATATATATATATATATATATATATATATATATATATATATATATATATATATATATATATATATATATATAGGCAAAGCAATAAGAAGACGTAATTTGTCTGAAGCATGTAATGTATTTGCGAGCAACACACTTCGAACAGTCTGATCGCATACGGACAAACAAACTCTGATTGATAATAATTATCCGAACAAGTTCATCAGGAGATATAAAGTATTCAGAACACCAAGACACACTCTTCAACTCGCCGCTAAAGAAGACGTGTACATCAAGCTACCCGATGCACAGAGGATCATAGCAGCTTAACAACTAGACAAAGATTGAACACTGCTGTTAAAAAGACTTTTTATGCAGCTGATATGATAAAAATTGATAATGTGAAGCTAGTATATCCTTCGAAGTCCTTAGAACATGTGGAAAATGATGTCACATCTCACTGTACTTACCAATTTGAATGTACGTGAAGTCCAACATACATATGGAGGAGACTCAGTGATCACTGCAGGTAAAAGGGCTGGCTCTTCAGAGCATATTCTTAAATAGCTTCAGAAGCAAATAGAATCACCAGAACCCATTAATACTGAGAAGAGGAGATCTAGCTCCTCTATTGAGAAACATATTGCAGAGGAGATAGGACATAAAGCTGATGCTTACACGTCTTTTAAACCTATCTAAGTTTATGAAAGCCCTAGATGGCAATTAGGAAGTTTAAACTACCTCTATGCGTCCAAAGCAACAATTCGTCATCACACTAAATCTTTTTTGATAAACTTTGTTTAGATACCAGGGTAGATGTACTATGACTATTGTTATTTTGACCTTCATTATGTCCTTTTAACTTGACTTAAGTCTCATTTTCTCACCTCTTCACTCTTTTTCAATTTCATATATGACAAGTCTGTATGTGTGATCAGATGGTTCGAAGTGCGTTTTACACAAATACAACATTACACGATTCAGACAAATCACGTCTTCTTATTGCTTTGTCAAACTAAATTCATAAAGGGAACACACTAATCGTTTTAAATTATACACACATATACAAACTTACCCTGCAGAGACAACACGTGCTAAATCCTTTAAATTGGCTTGAACACTTGGTGTTAATATATAATTCCCAGCTGTGGTATTATTATTCGCCTTGTCACAATATGCGACAGGTTGTTGTGACCCTTTAGGCAACCAATACCCTTCAACATTGATAAAATAATCTTCAGGACATTGTGATCTCGTAGTATTAGTATTAGTAGTCGTAGAATTATCAATATTCGCTGCAGGTAAACTGTTCAACGGTGGTATCGGTAATGGCGTATTCAACTGGCGTAGTAATGATACTGAGTCTGTATTCCAACCAGAGGAGAGATAACGTTGTATCAATGTATCGAGAATAGGTCGAGATGTTCGACATATTTGTGAACCAAAACTGAATATCAAACCCTATAATACGAAGAGAGACAGACAGACAGATAGGTAGACAGACAACAGCAGCAACACACAAAAGTATCGAATGCATAGTAAACAACGAATCAAATGATTGATATTGGAAACATTCCATTCAAGTATGGACGCTTCGATGAGACATGAAGGGATTAAATACGATGTGATCGGGTTGACAGTAGCTACCGGTGGAATCTAAGATGCTCATCTTATTCTGCTTGGGGAGTCATCAACTGAGCGAAGCTATAGCCCCGCACTAGAGGTGACACATGTGACCTGCAACTGACTTCAGCAACTTAAGGATTGACTTGTTGCTAAGGTATAGTCTTCTTGACTTGGAATATACTGGTGATATAGTCCTCCGTCCTAGGTGAAGAGGTTGTTCAAAATGCAGTTTTCTGAATACCTTGAGAAGCAGCAATCTTCGGATGTTCGGAATGCGATTCACTCCTGCCAAGCGTGAGATGATGCTACAGGAAAGGACTACATTGACTCCTACCTTGAAGATAGGCAAGAGTGAAGTGGTAGAGCGTGTTGACCACCTCACCTACTGGGGAAGCTACATCAGCCCCAAAAAGACCTGATCGATAACGGAATCTCAGAAGGCTCGTGTGATGATTTACTGCCAGACTAAGCCATTTCGGTTATCGATCAAAAGATATGTGTACTGCTCAGAAGTTCGTTACCGCCTCCCTTTTGGCGGTGAGATATAGCAATTGAAAGTGAAAGGAGTTATCACCTTCCTCGGCGGGAAATGTTAGTTGAGATAAGATTAATCAGGCAGTGGCCAAACAAAAACATGGCTAGCTTCATCGGTTCATGAAGTCTTTAACAGTTAGTTAGACTGTTTGACTGGTTGGGGTTCTCGAGATGGTAGGAACCAATGGAAGCTGAGGAGACAGTTGATGATATGGCTTAAAATTGTTCTCATTGATGGCACAGATGTATTCACTCTCTATGATCTGCCATATCCAAAAACAATCCTATTGTCTTTTTAATTTACTAGTCTTTCTCCTAAACATTTCTGATTATATTCTTTCCTTCGAATCAGTGGATGACACTTTAGTGTTGGAAACGATGGTCCATACAAGGTTCGAGTGTGAAGACAAATACTTCCGCCGATGACACTGGCTGGTAGGTGAAGTAGGAAGAATCGTCCACTGACGTAAGTTAAAAGTCATTGGCTATTGGACTCCATCACAGTGCATGAATAGTCATCGGGCTTGATCCCAAGTGGAATTATGTGTGCGTATTGTTGAAGAGTCCCACTCTGGGACGAAACGCTCCTTCAGCATTACCAGGTTTTCAATGGTGACAACCTGCGATTAGACATCAGCTTAACTAAATCCCTACTGACACACTTTAAAAACTATTACTCTCTCTCTCTCTTCCTCCCTCTTGGTAGATGATTATACACGCTAGGTAGAATTTATTCATTAACCAAGAGCAGTAAGTATCACTTTGACTACATCAGTGTGTCAGGCTGGCATAGAGAGAATAACATAGACATAATAATCATACATGATTTGCACATAAAAGTCAACTTACCTCATACAACGAACGCAATACACTGCCATGATAACCTCGACCAGCTTCAATTAAAGCCCGACATAACGTTCGAAGACTGTAGTGATTAGAAAAGGACAATGGATAACTCACATATTTGATAAAACAAAGACAATATTAAATTAAAAGGCTTCAGCACTTCAAGTTAACCAACCTCAAAACTCCTAATCTCATCGAAAACAAAAGCGTATTATGGCCTTACAGGCTTGATCACAAGCTGACATCAATGGAAAAACCACCAGGGAATACTAAACAACAGTTTCGTCCTATTTTAGGACCCATCATCAGAATGCACCCACTAATTTGCAAACCGAAGACTTTCCAACTGCACGACAGACTCGTAGACCATTCAGCAACTAGGACCTCAAGCCTATGACCAACGAATTCCAATTCCTGCCAATTCGCAATATACAGCTCTACGACATTCTGACTGGGAGGTTCTTGGTTCGAATCCCGGAGACTGCGCAAAGATGAAGAGTCCCAAACTAGGACGAAAACAGAACACCTGATCGATTCTCGACATCGAAGGAACTACCAGCTGTACACAGTAAGCAAGAATCTTACCAAAGTTGTAGAAATTGAACTGCCAGATCCTGAATCATGCATACACAACACAAGTGTGTTCATCCACGGAATCCGAAAGTGGACCTTAGTAGTTTCAATATTTTTGACGCGTAACTTTTCACTTTCTAGTTCCGGCTAATACATTTTTTCTTCCACATTAAGACACTGATCTCAAATTGTCTCTTTTTCAATTTTAACTGAACTGCACTCACTCTTGTCAAATATGCAACGTTATTCGGTTAGCGTCTTCCCCATTACGTAACTTAAAACCTCTTGATTCTTATTTACAACCTGACACGTAATCGTAAAACATTTCTTTTGTTGCTATGATAAAAATGTATTACTTATGTACGATTCTACAACTTGAGAATGATATCGCTGGAAAGAGTACCTATTATTCGTTGAACACCACTTCTTTTATCAATGTAAAAAGGTCATAAGCTATCTCGTGAATTGTTGGATTTAGATTAGATGCTTGGAGCCAGTTGGCAAGTAGCCCTGTCTTACCTAGGTTTCGTATTAGTTGGCACTCTCTCACCAATCAACAAGGCATATCTGCGCAACCCTAAAGGAACAACTCATCTCCCTTCTGAGAGTTGGGTTAGTGATTCTCAGTACATTTTTCGATATTCATGTCAGTTTCAATTTGACTGAGAGAATTCATGCAATAACAACAACAAGGTTCTGTCTGTCTGTCTGTCTGGATTCAACATAGAACTTGGCACCGAAGTGCAGCAGTTCGAGTTGCCACGTTCCAAATAGCACACAGAGGTAGACAAGAAGATGAGTGAAGAGAATCAATAGAGTTTGACAAGTATAAGAGTGAAACAGAATGGGTAATGGTAGAAAGGAATATGAAAGATTACAGAGACTGAATACATCTCCGCCATTGACAACGATTTTGAGCCATGTCACCTATTGTCTCCAGCCATTGATTCCTAGAGTCCCGAGGGCCCCAACCCGGGAGTCTGCATCTCCCTACCTGACTCAGTTTAACTGTCAAGGATTTCATGGATTGATGCCATGTTTTTGTTTGGCCACCACTGGCTCTTTTCCAACCTGAACCTATATCAGCTAACAATGCCCGTCGGGGGAGGCGGTGGTTAGGCATGCGCACCACGTGACCTAGCCATCTTAGTCTATGTAACTTTATAACCTCGTCGATTGATTTTCCCTCTTTGCCCAACACTCTACGCCTAACGTCAACATTACTTATCTTGTGAAACCACCTAACGTGAGACAGAGATCGCAGACATCTATGATCGAAAGCAGTCAACCTTTTCATGTCTTCAACGCGTATTGGCCATGTTTCAGAGCCATAGAGAAGGACGGAGCGAACTGATGAGCAGTACACACGTCCCTTGGTTGATAACCGGATGTCACGCCTACGCCAGAGATGGTGTAAGTCAGCGAAAGCAGCTCGAGCTTTTCGGATCCGTGCTGAGATTTCATCGCCAATCAGTCCGTTGGTGCTAATACAACTTCCCAAGTAGGTGAAGTGGTCAACATGTTCTATCACTTCACTCCCTATCACTAAGTTAGGGGTTGACGTCGTCCAGTCCTGTAGCAGCATCTTACATTTTGCAGGGGCGAATCGCATGCCAAACATACGAAGATTGCTGCTCAAGGTGTTCAGAAGACTCTGCATTTTGTCAGCATCCTCCCCTAACAGGACTATGTCATCTGCATATTCTAAGTCCATAAGATTATTCCCTGGTAACAAGTCGATTCCTAAGTCACTACGTTCAGTTAAGGATACTTCCATTAGCATATCTATGATGAAGTTAAACAGAAATGGGGAAAGTGGACATCCCTGTCGGACACCACTGGTTGTTACTAATTCAGATGACAATTCCCCATAAGCCCTTACACGACTACGTGAGTTTGAATAGAGTGCCTTGATTAGTGCAATGTACTTTCTTGGCACTCCCTTCACAGTCAGACATTGCCATAGTACTTTTCGGTCCACGGAGTCGAAGGCCGCCTTCAAGTCAAGAAATATGACAATTGTTGGACGCCGAAAAGTGTGTCTATGTTCTAGAATCTGTCGAAGAGTGAAGATATGATCTATGCACCCTCTACCTGGTCTAAAGCCTGCTTGATTTTCCCTTGTCTGTTCCTCCCGAGTTCTGCTTAGTCTATGCATGATTACTGAGCCTAGGATTTTAGAGACTATGTTCGTTAGGCTGATCCCCCTATGATTATCACACGAGGACTTGTTTCCCTTCTTGAATATCGGTATAATAAGTGACTTACCCCAGTCTGATGGTACTGTCTCTGATTCCCAGACTTTGCCTAGTACCTCAGTTAATCTACAAACTAGTATGTCACCCCCATATTTAAACACCTCCGGAATAATTCCGTCGGGTCCTGCCGCTTTGCCTCGTTTCAAATTACTGATAGCTTTTGTAACCTCACCTACAGACGGCGGACCAGTGTCTATATCCCATTCGGGTACGTGGTGGATGGCGGGGAGGTTCAGTGTGGCTGTAGGCAAGTTAAATTGTTCCTCAAAGTGTTCTTTCCAGCGTTCAAGGCGTCTATCCTGAGAGCTAATTAAGGAGCCATTTTTCTCAGAAATAGTCTCACTTATGAATTGCCTTTTCCCGCCCGATTCTGTGATGAGTCTAAAGAGTTGCCTAGTGTTGCCTATCGCCAATGCTTTTTCCATCTCTTTCGCCTTTGTCACCCACCACTGTTCACGGTCCTTGCGGAGACTTTTAGTAAGTTTCCTTTTGTGCAGCTTTCGCTCCTCATTGAATTCGGTTCAGTGAAGAGTCTCTTTTTTCGGCGGCGAATTCATTCATCACTCAGTTGTACAATTGCATTTATATATGATTACTTTGTGTAAATGCGTACATTAGGATTGTCAAACAATAATGAAAATTATTGAATTGAATTTTTGATTTTCCCATCGACTGATTGGACCGAAGTGCTCAGTCTCAGGTTGACATGACAGCTGCTCCTTGTGCAGATGCTTCGACGATGTCCGGGCATTTAGTTGGTATACAATTGGTGGATGGTGGCTAGCAGTGGAACCCAGGATGCGCATTTCGTCCTATTTGGGACTCGTCATCTGGATGTACCTGCATTTCTCAGTGAGTGATGATGTTCCCACCGAGGCTCGAACCCAGTGCCCATAGTTTCAGACGCCAAAGCGTTATCCACAAGACCACTTGGGCCTAGAGAGCCACTTCTTGTGCAACCGGTCATATTAATTACTGAATTGAATTTTCGATTTTCGCGTCGATTGATTGGACCGAAGTGCTCGGCTGACGAGTCTCAAATAGGACGAAATGTGCATTCTGGATTCCACTGCTAGCCACCATCCACCAATTGTATAATAATGAAAATTAGTTAAGGTTGTTATTTACGTCATCAAAATGTCTCTAAAATGTGACGAATAATCAAACTGTAACCAGAACGGGGGGGTGAAGATTGGTAAGTATTGACAGGGGTTGAGTAATATGAATTAAGATGTTAATGGAGACACGTGTCCAAAGACAAATCATGTAATAGGTAGAAAAAGTAAATAAAGAGTTGGTTAGGAAGATGTTACTAAGCTGTCATACAAAAATTCAAAATAAAAAACATTATTAACATAGTCGTAGAACTTGGAATTACACCTAAGGTTAGAAGCAGATGATAGATAAGTTTCTTCTGTATGCATAAATCAGGGTTTTCTATCCTTTCTCTGTCTGTCTGGATTCAACATAGAACTTAGCACCGAAGTGCACCAGTCCGAGTTGCCACGTTCCAAATACCACACAGAGGTAAACAAGAAGATGAGTGAAGAGAATCAATACAGTCTGACAAGTATAAGAGTGAAACAGAATGGGTAATGGTAGAAAGAAATATGAAAGATTACAGAAACTGAATACATCTCCGCTGGCCATTGACAACGATTTTGAGCCATGTCACCTATTGTCTCTTTCCGGCCATTGATTCCTAGAGTCCCGAGGGCCCCAACCCGGAAGTCGGCATCTCCCTACCTACCTGACTCAGTTTAACTGTCAAGGATTTCATGGATTGATGAGGCCATGTTTTTGTTTGGTAACCACTTACTCTTTTCCAACCTGCACCTATATCAGCTAGTAATGTCCGTCGTCGGGGGAGGCGATGGTTAGGCATGTGCAGCACGTGACCTAGCCATCTCAGTCTATGTAACTTTATAGCCTCGTCGATTGATTTTCCCTCTTTGCCCAACACTATACGCTTAACGTCAACATTACTTACCTTATTAAACCACCTAACGTGAGAAAGAGATCGCAGACATCTATGATCGAAAGCAGTCAACCTTTTCATGTCTTCAACTCGCATTGGCCATGTTTCAGAGCCATAGAGAAGGACGGAGAGAACTGGTGAGCAGTATACACATCCCTCGGTTGATAACCGGATGTCACGCCTACGCCAGAGATGGTGTAAGTCAGCGAAAGCAGCTCGAGCTTTTTGGACCTGTGCTGAGATTTCGTCGCCAATCAGTCCGTTGGTGGTGATACAACTTCCCAAATCGGTGAAGTGGTCACAACATGTTCTATCACTTCACTCCCTATCACTAAGCTAGGAGTTGACGTAGTCCAGTCCTGTAGCAGCATCTTACAGTTTGCAGGGGCGAATCGCATCCCAAACATACGAAGATAGCTGCTCGGTTTTCTATCCGGATCGCTATTCCTCACCACTGTAAAGTATACGGAAGCTAACCGTTTCTGGGAGGCTTATTTTGATTCTGTAGATGACGACTTTGAATGAATTCTCGTTACATATATTGAGTGACCAGTGTTGAATATATATGTTCAATTATAGCACTGTTTATTGATCTTTTGTTACCTTTTCATACCCAAGTATGATAAGGTTCTTTGACTCTTTTCGATTAAATGTGCATCGAATGACCTACATATCTCACTGCACATGAGCAAGTAAACTGGTAGATACACAGTGTGGTGAGAGCAGGCTGCTAGACAATTGGTAGACATTAATTTACGTCAATGTCTATGTCGCTAATATTGGCCGTGAGAAAATATGAACAAGGCTGATTCAACAACCAATCACAGCAGACTTAACGTGGGCAAATACGATTCGCAGATACATGGCTTAACTTTCTGAGAAACCAGTCACAAGCAGTACAGAATAACCTTGAGCAAGAAACAACCAATCAAAACTGTGTTTGTCTGCCTGAATAAGCTATAATAATGTAGATGAAATATATATAAATACGTGTTGATTTCCGTGATAAAACGATCTGTTGCCTGACCCTTCTCTTCTGCTGTTACAATAGAAGTGGTCAAATGCGATAGTTTGTCTTTGGAGTTTTTGAAGAACAATTGGTGGCTTAAGAATACCAATCACAGTGTAGCTTTCATCATATTTTTGAAACACTTTAATGACGTAAACAATATTCCTAACTAATTTTTATTTTATTTTTGTTGTACACATATACACACAAAATAATCATATCTAAATACAACTGTACAGCTAAGTGAATGAATTTGTCGCCGAAAAGAGACTCTTCGATGAACTTTGTTCCTCCTATATTGTTAGAATTCAGTCTGAACCAAACAAAGAATCACACATATTACTGACTAGTGTCCAATCAAAGTACCCAATACAGTTCTACAAGAGGTCAGTCGTGAACCGGAATAGCTCAGTGGTAATGTCTGTAACTGCAAGTGGTCCTGGGTGATACACAAGGGTCCGAATCTCAGACGGAACATGAGTTCGTTCAAGGTTGCACATAAACCTTGTTGACTGACGAGTGCCAACTAGTACGAAACCTAGGTCAGGTTAGGCTTCCTGCCGATTGCCTCCTACCATCTTTTTTTATTCCTGTGAGTTCTCAGTGGAACACCTAGGGCTTCAGGCTAGAGGCTTAAAGTTCCGGTAGCAGTAGTATTCACATTTTTAAGAGATGGGGTTGCTAGCCACATGCCCCCGTCCCAACCTTCCCTCTTTACCAGTCTTATTACTGGCTTAGCGAGGTAAAGGAGTGCATCCAGTGGTCGGGGATCGAACTCCGGACCACATGCGTGACTGGCGAGCTTTCTACCACTGTGCCATGGACACATATCCCGAACAATCTAATATTAACAATTCATAATACACCTTGATGGAGAGCCACCTAGTGGCATGGTGACCATATTGCAAACTTGATTCAGTAGAATTCAGTCAGTACCAAACAAGGAACTAGACATATTACACTAGTTACCAAATAACATTCAATCAAAGCAGCAAATCATAAACTATAGTCTCGATCTAGTAATAATAATATAGGTCACTTCATGAAAGCTCAGAAGCCAAGAACAAATTTCCACAAAGTACATTTTAAGAGCATATCATGACAGTGCATAAGCCACCAAGCGTCAATGGTCCTGCCAATAGTCATCTTGAAGTCTATCATAAGTATCGCAGACATCAGTACTAGTGGATATTTGAATGTGAATAACATTCGTTGAGAAAAAGAGCAACTCTTCGCTGAACACCACTCCTTTTTTCGTATGATTATATTATATGACGATAAATTTGTTAAACAAAAAATATTATTATACCAGTCGAATTAACTTACCTGAAATGAGGTCTTTGACCAACACCATCTACTAGACCTTCTAAAGCAGCTTGTCTTAATGCTGAATACAAACGTACAATTGTAGCCAGTTGTGATGGAGTTGGATTCAACGCCAATAGATATGAACGTGCCAATGTAGCTAAATCTTCACGATTATTTGATCGTAATATCTCAAGATCACGTTTAACATTTGAATCCGTGATAGTATTGACAAAATTATCTGATATACCACTATTAATATTGCTAGTAGTAGTACTTGTAGAGGTATTAGGATTTGCTTCAACACCAGGATCTAATTCAGGCACATAGAATTCAGTGAAACGATTACGAAGTCCCACTGGTAATTCACGTTTTCCAACATCTGTAGCTGGATTCATAGCAGCGAATAAATGAAAATCTTTATGACGTTGTACTGGTTCACTGTCACTGAATAAATAAATAAATAAGTAATATGTAAATATGAGAATAATAAACGATTAAGCTGGTTGAAAATTCTATTCTACCTTGAATATAATTGACTAAAGATTGTGGGCAAAGTTCAACAATAGCGTCGCAGGAGTGTGAACGCTCCAATGACCTTGAACGCATGCTAGACGTTAGCTAATGGCATCTGTCATTATCATAACTGAAATATCAACGCTATTCAACAACTTAGGAGCAAATTTCACCCAGATCACGTTTTTTTTAAGTACTGTTTGTTTGGACAATGTGTTAACAGCTCGTTAGGGTTAGGATTAGAGTTAAGGTAAGTATTGGGGTTAGGGTTAGGATCAGGGTTATAATTAGCATTAGGATTAGAATAACGGTTTGAATAAGGGTTATAATTAGGGTAAGGATTAAGGTTAGGGTTACGATTAGGGATACATTCATAGTTGATGTCATTTATTTTCATTCGTTTTATCATCCACGTTTTCCTGCTAAGCAGTCGTCTATCCTCTTGCTGAAAACCATAATAATTCAACTGAGGGCTATTTTGGAAGACTGTAAGCAGGATAGGAGAGATAAACGATTCACAAAAACAGTTTATCTGCTGTCATCTCGGTGAATACGTGTACAAAAACTAGTCTAATTTAGCAACTGATACTCCTTGATATAACTATGACGTATTTTTAAGCCATGTCAAAGAAAGATAACCTGATTAGTGCGTTTTCAAGCATTTTATTGTCTATTTTTTGAGCAAACATTCCTCATTTTTATTAGTGACTACGTGAAGGTCACTAGTGCGTTCACACTCCTGGGATGCTATTGTTGAACTTTGCCAGATTGCGAACTTTGTGTCGGTGGTTCAGGGTTCGATTTCCGACCAACGGATGTTCGCCTAGCCAGTGGTAAGTTAGTATAACACAGAAAGTTAGGCGTCAGGTTGTGGTGAGAGCTGTCTGCCAGCCGAAATAGGTAGACAGCAATTTACGTCAATGTTTACGTCTCACATCTTGGTCATGAGAAAAAACCAAGAACACAGACTAACTCAACAACCAATCTCAGCAGACTTTGCGTGGGCGGATACGATTAGCAGACATATGGTCTGACCTTCAAAGAAATGGTCACAAGATGACAGAATAACTTCCAGCGAGAAAACAACCAATCAGAAGACGCTGTTTCTCTGCTAACAATAAGGCTAATAATAATGTACATAAAAACACACAAATATCTGTTGATTTCCTCAATAAACGACCTGCTGCCTGACCCTTGTCTTCTGTTGTTACAAGGTTAGCAGCTACAACCGGTAAAAAAAGAAACCAGTGCTGCTGCAACTTCAAAACTCAAGCTTGAAGCCCCATATATTCCACTCAGAAGGTAAGAGAATTGGGATACACCGTCAACATCATCATCATCAGAGGCATTATGATTCTAATAATAACATGAGAATACTTACCCGCGTTCTGTTAACACAAGACTTCCCCTCTCTGAATCTAATAAACCACTTAGAGAATCAAGCATTTCAGCTGGTGCTAAATTGATTTCATCCAGTAGTATCCAATCACCGTCTTGTACAGCACGAACTAATGCACCTTCGATAAAAGCGAATCCAAGTCCAGGTTTATTTGACTTGGTAATATTTTCAAAACGTTTTTCTAGCATATTTAACTCATTTAAAAGTTTAATCCATGCTGAAGAATCTGCAGAATCACGCTGAACAGCAACACGAGCTGGATGACGCATTAAGGTGATTAAATCAAGCCAACGTTCTGATGTGAAACAAGTCTGTTAGTGAAAAAACAAACGACAACAACAATAACAGTAGCATAAAAAATCTAAACATAATTGTGAGTACAACTCAAAAAAGACAGAGTATTACATTACTAATTTTCATAAGTTAGTTTGTAAGGATTTGATTTGCTCTTCAAGTTGGACCAAAGATTGATATGAGTTAGGGAACCACTGAAAGCCAGCTGATGGGAGTATTGGACATGGGTCACTGAATCGGGTCCCAGTCGCTTAATGGTCTATAAGCGCTTGACTTGTAACCAGAAGGTCTTGCAATCGAACCCTAGGGATGGGTACTGCCAATGAGCCCCAAACCTGTGGGACGAAACAGCTGCCCAGTACTCCCAGCTGATTTTCCAATGTTTCTCTAACTGATGCCAATCCACGGTGAGACTTGAAAAACAAATAAAATCTCTACAAACCATACTCTTGATAACCAATCTTATGTTCGCTAGTGATAACTAGCTACTGGAGGAAATCGCCTGGAGTTCCAGTGAGAAGTTGAGACCAGTGTGATCCGTCGGGTAGACATTAAGGACAAATACATGCCACGGATGAGAATGGTCGGTACTATCGATCCGTTGTCGTCAAACTTAAAACATAATCTAAAGCAAATTTCGCACGAATGACACTCATCAGTAGCGAGCATATATGCACAACCTCTTAAAGATTTCACTATGTATGTTGAATTAATGCTGAAATCCGAAACGCTAAATCTGTGCTAAAATTGATTAGTACAGGTGTCGTCAGACTGGATAAAATGATTGATCTCAGCGTCGAAGAATTGAATGTTATAACTGTTGACTCAGCGCTATTCACCATGTCGTCAACATCTGTTTTCACTTGTTGTGAGTTTAAATTGCTTTTCTATTCACATTCTGTGCACGTGTTTGGGGAACGCATGGGGCCCGGGCTTAGAATATAAAGTGTTAGCTTACAATTGGGAATATAAAAAGTCTCTCCCGGGTAGGTAAGTAAGTAACAACATGTTAAACTAACACCGGTAAATTATAAAAGTAAAGAGTTACGGTGCGCAGTGACATCAAGCCACCTGACCAGTATAGTGTACACATTGCAAAATTTGACTGACTGATCGAATTCAGTCTGAATCAAACAAAGAGCTACACACGTATGATACTAGTTATTTACTATCTAGTCTCCAATCAAAGCAGCCAATACAGTCCTACAAAGGGTTAATCGCCAATGCGAAAAGCTCAGTGGTGATGGCAATATCTCGGACTGCACCCAATGGCTTACCCTGGTGAGAATCTCAGGCGGGACATGATTTCTTCCAGAAGTGCAGATACGCCTTGCTAGCTGATGAGCGCCAGTCAACAAGTGCAAAACTTAGGTCTAGGCAGAGCTTCCTGTCAATTGTCGCCAACCATTGAATAAAAATATATACACTATTTGTAAAATCAAAAGCATCGAAACTAAGTGTAAGAAGGTGGGGCATTTGGCATTTTACTTCAAAACTAATTATTTGTACAAACGGTGACACCGTGGCAATGGATAGAGGCACATACTACTCTGTGGAGTGCCTAAGCACTTGAAATTCGCTTATACGCATTGTGATTGGTGGATTTTCGTATGCGTAAACATTGCGGCTAACATGCAGTAAGCGTTAACTGAAGCGGGCTTTGAATACCTATACGGACACTATATACATATACACTATATACACTATATACATATACATACATTCCCGATGCACTTACGACATATGCCAATTCGATGATAACTAGATGTTCGGTGAAAATGCTAAAAACGATTGTTTTCCACTAATTTTACAAGTTTTTCAGTTAAAATATAGCACTTATAATGCATTTCAGTCGGAAAATGAGCATGAGTACAACGTAAAACAACCCATATACAATATCATAATAACAACTGACTTCTGAACCAACCAATCAATTGATGTGAGCCGCTATCCATTGATGTGATACAGCTGATCGGTCTAAGCACTCAACTTCTAATCTAACCAGTGAGTAAAGGTTTCGAATTCCCCCTTCGTCTACTGAGGTTTCGGCTGATAACTAGCATAACAAACCCTCAGACAAAAGGTGTGGATCACTTCCAAATGGGTATGGAATTCCAGAAGGTTTCTGAGTAACGAAACTATCCAGAATAGACTAACCAGCTGAATTTCAACATAAAACTTCGCACAGAAGTGAAACAGTTGACGCGAACAGATCTTTGGAATATCAAGTTATGAGGCCAAATGGTACTATTAACCATTTGCCACGTTGAGGGAGGTACAGAGGAACTATAGACCGAAAATCAAGTGTAAAAACAACCAAAATAAGCCCTATCTCTTCACATGTGACCCAGTAGCCGCCTAGTGGATAAGGAACACTTGGTGGTTCAGTGGAATAATTCTCGTCATCTACGCAAATGGTTCAGAGGTCGGCTCCCGACCCGATAGTGAGGGAAGGTTGATGATTAACGAGGCTAACCAACCCCATCCCATAAAAAGAAACACTGACCTCCAAGAAGCTTGAAGCTTTATCCTTCCGAACGGAACGAAAAAGGATGAAAAAAGCACATCACCTCACATGGATATCGCGACTAGTGACATCAATCTCCCTTCAAAAAAAACGGGGGGGAGGGTCAACCCAAAACTACTACTCCACCATAAGAAGAGGCAAGTGAGACAGAGATCACACAATAACAACACCAAATCAACAAAGACAGCAAATGTGAAACATTCGATAAACTTACATTTATATGATTCAAAAAAGTTGCATTACTATCCAACTTAAATGTACAACTAAAAAGAGATTCAAATTTTTCACGTATCGGCCGAACAAACACTTGAAAGTCGACAGGTTTAAATCTAAAAAGAAAAGAAGAGAAAAAAGAGGGAAAATACAAATCCACGAGGAAATATAATGTGAAGCGGGGTCCGGGGTTCGATCTCCGGCCACTGGACGTACTCCTTTACCTCACTAAGTCAGTGATGAGACTGGTAAAGAGGGAAGGTTAGGGGGGCGCGTGTGGCAAGCAACCCCATCCCGTAAAACTAAAATCAGCCTACTGCTACCGAAACTCCAAAGCTCTGGCTTGAAGCCCTACGCTCCACCGGGAACGTAAAGGCGTTGGAAACGAAAAGAAAGATATAACACATAGAGCGAGGGACAGCGAGAGAGAGAGATAAGACAAAAATATGGGATCTACTCCATTCAGACATGCACACATACTACAATTGCCTTTATTCCTCACTGAAGATCAGATCGACGATAGAAAAGGATTGACAACAAGGAATTCTAGCAACGAATCAACCAACCAGCCAACAAACAAACAAACAATTACTACTTAACAAATTTGGCCAAAGAAACGGTAATGGATTGAAGACACTGAAGAGACTACGTGAGGGATATCACGTGGGCCAGGTACGTTATCAAATGAAATCCGGAATGGGAAACGACAAGGTGTACGTGACTCCGAGGATGACATGAAGGAAACTGTGTGAGGAAGAAATGAAAGCTTATGAGCAAACGAGGAGCCAACCAACAAAAAAAGACTGTAGAGAACAGAATGAAAGGGGGATGTAGTGCTGAAGCCATATGTTTATTATTATTATTATTGTTCCCTTGGGTTTCGAGTGTTACGTATGCCTAGCCATCGCCTTCCTCGACAATGGGCAATGTTAGCTGACATGGAATGGATCAGGCTGGAAAAGAGCCAGCTGCGATAAAACCAAAACATGGCTGGCCTCATCAGTCAACCAAATCCACAACAGTCAGTTTAAGCCAAATACGAAGATGTAGACTTCCTAACTGGTTGGGGTCCTCGGGATGGTAAACGCCAATGGCTGGAGACAATTGTTGATATGGCTGAAAATCGTTCTCAATGGCTGGCGCAGATGCATCCACTCCTTGTGACTTATAATACCCAATAAAACTATATTGTTCTTCGTTATTACTATTCTTTTTGCCTCATGCCTCTGTTCACTGTCTCTATTTTACGTTTCTTTTTACTTTCTTCTCTTGCTTTGTGTGCTAAGTGAACTGTGGCGACTCGAAATGCTGCACTTCAGTGCAAAGTTTTATGTTGAAAACAGACATATAGACAGTTTTAGTGGAATAAATAGAGCTTCAACAGTGTTACTGTTGTTGTTGTTGTTGTTAACGTGTGCTTAGGACAGATTAGCCAACGCATTAAGTTAGTATTTGTTCATAGTCCACTAGGTCGTAGTTCCGGTCATAATAAATAGTACATCTCCACTTTAATTGATTCACTGGGAAATGCAGGTACATCCGGATGACGAGTCCCAAATAGGACGAAATGCGCATCCTGGATTCTACTGCTAATCACCATCCACCAATTAAGTACATCTTTACTTTGTCCTATTCTCTGAGGTCCTCTTCAATTGGTGCTATGACAACCCATAGTCTATCACTTTTCCTTCTTTTCACAAGATCTCATCTATACCCGCCTCCAACTAATGGCCAACTCGCGTGGTTTCCCATTCAGGTTCCACTCAAGTGACGGCCTAGTGCACAATATCAATTGATAGTCTTCCCAGCGTTTGTCCGAACTATATCAACTTTCTTCTACACATTTGATGATCAGTAGGATTCTGGTTGGTTTATTCACATAGTTTCTTGTTGGCCGGTCATGTGATCTTCAGTACACAGAGACGCAGAAGGTTGTCGTTGACAAACTTCTGCAGTAGCATTGCTGGAAATGTTGGAAGTCACATGCCCATATAGAAGAAGTGAATGACTCACCATTGGTGTTGAAAATCCCAATTTTGTTATTTATGCTGCGTAGCGCAGAATATTTCTAGACTGATTTCGAAGTACTGAAGATTTATTTGTCTTGCCTTTCCGGTTCTAACCAGGTTTGACATCTTCATCCGTCCGGCGAGTCGTTGAAACGATTCTTCCTAGATAAGTGAATGAAGTAACCTCTTTCAAATTTATCCTGCTGATAGTGATTGGTGCTTCTTTTTGTCGCTGTTGGTTGGTTACCCTCATCACCTCCGTCTTCCCTACATTCACTTGAAGGCCCATCATCGATGCCTGCTTCTTCTGTCAGTTTGTTATCCTTCGTCTACCAGTAAGCCTTTGAGTTTGTGTCACATTAAACGACATGAATCATCCACGCGCGAAATCTAGATCTCCATGAGTCTTTTTATCAGTCCGACAAGTTCCTGTCTTCTCACTCCTCACGCACTGTGTCCCGCATAATCCAGTCCACCACAATTAAGAATATCACCGGTGATAATAGGCAGTCAGTCTTTTCCTTATTCCTGTAATCACTTCATAGGCTTCAATGAGTTTCCTGTTGTGGATCACCACAACTACTACGTCTAGCCTACTACACTAAGAAACTTAGACTATCTGGAATCACCCAAACTCTAATTTCACAATTTGTCAACTCTCGTATCTTGCCTATTCTATCTTACTGTTCCCCATTGGTCTTTCCTGGGCTACTGAAAAAGGACTGACTTTACCATCCTGAGAAGGATGTTGAAGGTAGTTAGTAGGACTAGTGGTGTAAAACTCAGTCAGCTCGTCACTACATTAGTAGAAAGGCATCTGAATACATGCGAAAAATGATCTAAGACCATACTCTCCAACGCCCAACATCCCCTCTATTCCCAACTCTTTCTCCTTGTATCTCATCAGGTAGAACCAGAAATCAACACAAAATAATATACGCTCTTACAACCAAGTATAGGAACTCAACGATACCATATTTGGCCCGTATTCTAAGTGACAGAGAAAATGTTAAACGCAAAACCTATGACTTGCTTTGTTGTTAATAACATAATTTTAAGCTCTTTTGTTTCTCTCTTATTTGTATTCTATAGCGAACACCTTCTTAAACATACTTAGCTTCCTAAAATTATTATCATTGGCTTACTTTTTTATTCTATTCCTTCTGTTATGTGTCTACTGGTTCCAGCTATATTATCACTATGAGTATTACAAAATTGTCCTGTCATTAACCATCATGTAATATTAGTTTTGTGATTGCTTTTTTTGTTCGGCAATATTAACTGACAATCTTGGTTGTGAATGCCATTATTACCATCTTAAAAATTTTGTATTATGCAGGATTACTCACACTACCACTACAAACACCTCATTAGACCTGACAATAAAAATGAAAACCCTGAAATGTTTATTTTATGATTGTTTAGTGTTGTTCAATCAAATTAACTGATCATCTTGGCGATAAACATCCTTAAATATCATTTCATAACTTCTTGTATGATTATAGCTGTTACTGTTCACCACGCATAAACATATCATAGCTTCCATTACCCAATACTGAAGTATTATTTATTATTGGTGTTTATCCTTCTTCCCACTTGGTATTTTTATTTGCATTTTTTTGTTATTTTTTGTGTTTTTTGTTGTTTTCTTTAATATTTATTTTTTGAAATACTCCTTTTAAATATTTGATAAAATTAGATGCAATGTTGTAGATATGTGCCGAAAATTCCACACTGTACCACTAGTACTGTTTCTGGAATAAAGCAAATTATTATTATTACATTCATATTAATAGTACAGAAAATATTAAATGGGAAAACATACCCTCCCATTAGATCTACACTATCCGATTGTTGATTCAAATTGATCACCTTTAAACGATGACCCGTAAGATAGGCTAATCGTTGGACAGTGGATGTTTTACCAGTTCCTGTCTCACCGACAAGTAATACAGGTTCTTTGTGCTTAACAGCAACTGCTATTCTCTCTAACAATGAACATGACAAACGAGTTGAAGCAAACGGCCAAATTAATTCATTAGAACTTTGAAGCATTGAATTCCCTCTGTGTATAGGAAATAAAAAAGAAAAGAAAAAAAAATGGTTTTTAAACAAAAAGACTCAAAACAATTTTAACAGGCTAACGAAATGATGACAACTCCAATTACTAAATAGATAGCCAAACAATCAGTCTCTACTGCCCGACAAATATGTATAAGGCAAGGGAGATGACGGATTACGCATATACACTGAAGAGACTTTCACACGTCAGATTCTCGAGTAGAATCCAAACGGGCAGCGATGAGTTGGGCATATGAAAACCCTTATTGACTGACTTCCCTTCCTTTACCCCTAGCCACAGTCCTGGACGCCTAACCTCAACACTGCTCACCATATTATACCATATACCACTTGATACGGGAGATAGAATTCAAACAACCACGACCATGTTAGAAGTTAACTGGTGGATGGTGACTAGCAGTAGAATCCAGCCAAGATGTGCATTTCGTCCTATTTGGGACTTGTCTCCCAGCTGGATGTACCTGCATTCTCTAGGTGGCTCTTGTGGCCTAAGTGGTCTAGTGAGTAACGCTTTGGCGTTTGAAATTACAAGCACTAGGTTCAAGACTCGAAGAGAAAATTATCACTCATTGCGGACTGCAGGCGAGTCCCAAATGGGACGAAGTACGCATCCTGGATTTCAGTGCTAGCCACAGTCCACTAATTAACTTCTAATTACATGCCCAGACATCGTCTGCACAAGAAGCTGACATGTCAACCAGAGACCGAGCACTTCGGCCCAATAAATCAACGGGAAAATCTAAAAACTGAATCAAGCTAATCTTTGTATATATCTCCTACTTTCAATGGTCATGTCTCACAGCTATAAAGAAGGGTAGAAAGAACTACGTAGTGCACACACATACACACATGTGCTTTAATGAGCATGAATGTCTCATTAGGATATAAAAACTCTAACCAATAGCATTATTAGTAAAGTTGTAGGAGAACAATGAAGTTCATCAAATCAGTCGAACCTTCAACGATCCATTTTGTTCATCTGTGCGGCTTGAAAAACACGAAGAAGAAGAAGAAGAAGAGCTCAGCACCTCCATACTCTCTTCGAATTATCATTAATAAATACACCTTTCTGTCGTAAGTGTCATATTCTCCCTTCGTTCGTTGGATCCAGTTTAAATGGATCAGGCTAAAGAAAGAGCTATCTGTTAGATGAAATGGCCAGAGCCACGATAGATGGCTACACATTAATTGTTAGGGTTATTTCTAGTCAAAACCAACTGGAAGCGAGATCGGAGCCATACATTCAAGCAGTCGAACCTAATTTGGTTTCCTAGTAAATAACCGCCAAACTGTGTAATGAACAACAGAAATTTCAACAACAGAAAAGAAAACAACAAAAAAAGTTTTATAACAGCAACTCTTACCCAGCGATTTGAATCTCCCATTCTGGACTTCTTCGACATTGTAGAATAATTCGACCAATTTGTAAAATACTCTTCTGAGTGTGTAAGTTAATACCGATTGATCGACAGCATAGAATATTTCTTGCCTGAAAAAAATTTTTTTTGATTAGGAATATTGATATGATATAAATACTAGTGTAGAATTAAATGTTGTGTCTACATACAAACAACGAAATTTGACTATTATACAAATCTGTGTGTGCGTCGGTGGTTCGGAGGTAGAGCGTTGCCCGACCATACACATGGTTCAGGGCTCAAGTCCGGGTTCCTTAGCTGGACAAGGAGGGGAGGTTGAGGGGGGGCTATGAGGCTAGCAACCCCAACCCGTAAAAACACCACTGCTACTGAAAACTTCAAAGCTCTGGCTTGAAGCCCTATGTTCCTCTGGGAATGTATAGGAATAAAAATTAAAAAAGCAAATCTGTGTACTGTACTAGGGTTTTGAACTATCATGAGATTTTGTTGATGCAGCAATCCAAGCACATTAATTGTCATCCTATATAATACTATCCAAGTTGTAGACATTGGAAAGAATCGTCAAATAAAAATACAGTTTTATTGGAAGCATATAACCTCACTGATTATTGTATTTCCCATCGATTGATTCTTACAAATAACACTGCACAATAATGTCTCAAGGTTATTAATTCATGAAGTTATTTAGATAGATAACGGTGACTGATAACAACAATGGATTCCATCACATGCATTTCATCGTATTTTGGACTTGTAAGCTGAATGCATCTGCAATACAAGTCCAAATCTTATCGACTGGACGACATGGGCCAAAAGAGCCACACCTCTCCTATGAGGACAATATCATTCACTAAGGGGATGCAGGGCATATCTCTCTCTCTCTCTCTCTAGCTGATGACCTTCAACTAAACAGCATTGTCCATGCTACCTTAAGGTTCCTTTTACACCGTAAAACTGTTCACCACTTATAAATTACAAAAAGAAAGTGTCTGAATTACTACTAAACGGTCATTTTCACTTCCCATACGGTTAGCCAGTAGTAGTTCATGCCTACATGACTGTTGAAATGCCAGTGCGATGAGGGAGTTGAATTTGAACCCATGGTCAGAAGTTGAATGACTAGACCAGTTCCAGTTACAGCTATACACAATAATTACTAATAGATTTGATCATGAACTGATATCGGTTAGAGAACTATTGGAGGACCAGCACTAAAGTACTCGACGGCTGTTTTGTCAGCCAAGTTTGGGACTCTTCATCATAACGCACTCGCCACCGGGGTTCGAACCCAAGGGCCTTCCAGTCACACGACAAGCTCGTAAACCATTAAGCCACTGGGACCCGATTCAATGGCTAATCTAAAAATTCCAACTTCTGCCAATTCATCATACGGTTCGACCATTAAAGAATGTCATCCGCGACTAGTATTTGTCCTCACACCCGACCACCTGAACCCTGCTTGTCACGAATTCCCACTAGAACCAAGGTAACTAAGTACATGAATACGGTCTACCATGACCGTTCTTCCCGGTCCTCCTACATTTTAATGATTTCTAGAAAAATATTCCATCTGACATTTTAATTTAAGAAATTAAACCACTCAGGCACATAACTCGACCCCTCCTCCTCTTACAATTTGTCAACTCTTGCATCTTACCTATTCTTCTTTATTGTTCATCCTTATATTCGTTTCTGCACTGCTTAAAAGAAAGACTATGTCAAACTTCGTAGGACTCTGAAGACTGTCAGTAGGGCAAGTGGTATCCCAGCGGGCCATATTGTTGACATCGTCATTGACAGGCGCTTAATTTCATACAAAAAATTTGCTAAAGGGATTTTGTCAGACTCTAAACATCTACTTTACCCGCAGCTTTCATCTTGCGTCTCCTCAGATAAAACAAAAAGTCATCTTAAAAGACTTTATGCAGGAACATCTGAGCAAAAAAATTCCGTGATACCATATTTGGAAGGTACTTTATGTTATGACAACAGTGTAAGGCACGAACTTAACTAACTAACCTTCTTTCCATTAGTAACTAAACAATTTTCTCCATCCTTACACCATCAAGTTTTACTGTTATTATTATTATTATTATATTTATAGTCCTCACATATTTATGTTTAGATAAAGGAGCTAAATACGTTCGCTGTGCCTTCCTTGATTACACATCTGCATTTGACTCTGTTCCCAGGTCTCTCTTTCTAAGTAAGTTCGCAAAGTAAAGGCTGAGAGCTGGACAAATAAGTGGCTGCATTCCTATTTTTCTGATAGGAAGCAGTACATCGTCTACAATGGAAAGTCCCCCACTACCTCACTTACTTTAGCTGATGTTCCTCAAGGTGCTCTTCTTTCTCCTCTTCTGTTTTCTTTTTACTTACATGACTAGCCCCATTCTGATGTAGCCACTTTTGTTAAGTATGCCGATGACCTCTCTGTTTCTATGCCTGTCAACTCTCAGTCAGATTGTTCCAAATTAAATAACTTTCTGTCGGAAATTAGTCAGTGGTCCTCTTCAAACGGTCTTAAGCTGAATCCGTCTAAATGTCAGGTAGTCAATTTCACTTTCAGACGTAAACGTGACCTACAACAACTAGCTAGCTCACATGGCCCCACTATCATTGACGACATAGAGGTTGAAAATACATCCAATGTCAAGTACCTTGGGCTGCGTTTTTCCACCGGTCTTCCCTGGTCCTCCCACATCTTGCTAGTTACTAGAAAGATGTTTCGCTTAACGTTCTACATTAGGAAATTTAGGCAGTCCGGTATAAAGCAATCTTTACTATCTCAATTTGTAAATTCTTGTATTCTACCCATCCTCCTTTACTGCTCCCCATTAGTCTTTCCTGGACTACTTAAGAAAGACTTTGCTTCACTGAGAAGGGCACTAAAAGCTGTTAGTAGGGTAAGTGGGATATCGTTAAACCAACTGGTTAACACTATTGTGGGTAGACATATTATGTCATGTAAGAAACTAGCGAATACAATATTGTCAGACCCCGAGCATCCTCTCTATACGCAGCTCTCTCCTTCCATTTCATCTGGTAGAACTGGAAGCAGCTATAGGAGGCTATATGCTAGGACTATCAAGTAAACGAACTCCACAATACCATATCTGGCAAAGCTGCTATGTGATGAGAAATCCGTTAGGTATGACACGATCAACTTACTGCGGCACTCTAACAAATAGTCACATTCGTTTTTGTTTTCCTTTCTTCGTTACTATTATACTGTTGTTCACATCTTCTATTACACACTAATTTCATATTTCATATCCTGTGGAGCATTGTTTAGAAAATGTACACACAACGCTGTTCTTTTTATTTTTTTATTTATCTTTTTGTTTTGCTTTTTGGTTTTAAAATCTTATAAAATTTATGAGGTAATTAGATGCAATATATTGTAATGCACGCTGAAAATTCCGTACCTGTACCACAAATACTGTTTGGAACAAAGCTATTATTATTATTATTAGATGCAATATTGTGACAAATATGTGCGTCGGTGGCGCAGCGGTAGAATGCTCGCCGACCACACAGGTGGTTTGCTGCTCGATCCCCGGCCACTGGACGCGCTCCTTCACCTCGCTTAGCCAGTAATAGTTCTGGTGAAGAGGGAATTTCGGCCATCCGGTTAGCAACCTCATCCCCTAAAAATAAAACACCACTGTTACCGAAACTTCAAGTCTCTAGCTTAGAGCCTTGTGTTCCACGGGGGATGTGAAGGAATTATAATGATAATTAATAATTGTGACAAATGCTGAAAATTCTATGCTGTATTATAAGCACTGCTTGTGGAATGAAGGAGACCGCTATTATTATCATCGTTATTTTTGTTATTATTGTGTCCACAGACTTGGAGATCAATCATACTGCTTATTTAGACTATTCACTAGCAATATACGATCACTCAAACCTTCATAAGATGGAGTATGATCCATCTTACTCCTGTCACCATCCATGAGTTGAATAATAGCTTGCTTCACTTGCTGGTGTGACAATTAACATCCTGGGATTTCAGTGTCTGTTCAACAAAAAACAACATAACTACATAATAATAATAATATTAAAACTGTGCAATACACTTACATTTTCTACAGTGAAATTTAATTCTCCAGCCAGTCGACAAGCCAGCTCCAATTGTTTAAGAGAATTACACATTGAGCATAAAAAACAGTCCACTGCATTCAATAGTAATAATTCACCGAAATTCTCTTTCTCTGTTAACATTGATATACGTGAACAGAATTTCAGCAAATCTCTTACAGAGATTCCACGTATTCGTGAAGCATTATTATGACTGTTATTTACATTGATGTTAGCATTTTGAAAAGCATCCACAATGAACAAGTAAATCTTCATGATACGATCAATGAAAGGCGTAAGCGTAGGATACTGTTGATTAATTAACTATACACAAAAGGAAGGAAGGAAAGAAGGGTAGATCAATAAATCTTCTGTTAGAACTGATAACAATGGCGATGGTACTTAACAGCCCTTTGGAATTCTATACCCAGCTGACACATGACTGACTGCGCAAAATTTGGTAAGTGGAGTGGCGTTCGGACCCGTACGTAACCCGGTCGGTGGTTGGAAGTACCTTGACTCATGAGCAACAGCTTCATTACTTATGGGAGGAAACAATTCACTGGGAGCGGGTTTGTCATGGGTTGAGCTTTAAGGGCTGAGAATACCACCTGATGACAACACGGGCTGAATTAAATGGAGCAGAAATCAAACCCTCAAACTCATTAGCTAACAATCACGCTCTTAAGCCAATGAACTGCATTCCAACTAGCAAATAATTCAAACTACACTAGTCAATAACTAGTGTGATGTGTTCAGTCTTTTTTCTTGGTGCAGACCGAATACTATCAGTCAGGTTGATATTATTTGGGGGGAATCAACCGGCCGCAGGAAACCTTGCCCCACTTAGGTTTGTTCAGTGAGTTGAGATCACTGAATTAGATGACTGACTTAGGTTTCGTGCTAGTTGGCACTCACCAGCAAGGCGTATCTGCAACGTTGAGGGAAAAACTCGTGTCCCTACTGAGATTCGAACCCGTGTGTGTGTCACCCAGTACCACCTGCAGCCAGAGACATTACCACTTAGCTATTCGAGCTCGCGACTGTATTGGATACTTTGGTTGGACACCAGCCAATAACGTCTCTGACTGTACCACTGGGTGATGCATGTTCGAATCTCAGGCTCTGAAACATGGCCAATACGCGTTGAAGACATGAAAAGGTTGACTGCTTTCGATCATAGATGTCTGCGATCTCTGTCTCACGTTAGGTGGTTTCACAAGATAAGTAATGTTGACGTTAGGCGTAGAGTGTTGGGCAAAGAGGGAAAATCAATCGACGAGGTTATAAAGTTACATAGACTAAGATGGCTAGGTCACGTGGTGCGCATGCCTAACCACCGCCTCCCCCGACGGGCTTTGCTAGCTGATATAGGTTCAGGTTGGAAAAGAGCCAGTGGTGGCCAAACAAAAACATGGCATCAATCCATGAAATCCTTGACAGTTAAACTGAGTCAGGTAGGGTAGGAGATGCAGACTTCCGGGTTGGGGCCCTCGGGACTCTAGGAATCAATGGCTGGAGACAATAGGTGACATGGCTCAAAATCGTTGTCAATGGCCAGCGCAGATGTATTCAGTCTCTGTAATCTTTCATATTCCTTTCTACCACTACCCATTCTGTTTCACTCTTATACTTGTCAAACTCTATTAATTCTCTTCACTCATCTTCTTGTCTACCTCTGTGGGCTATTTGGAACGTGGCAACTCGAACTGCTGCACTTCGGTGCCAAGTTCTATGTTGAATCCAGACAGACAGACAGAATCTCAGGAGAGACATGAGTTGTTCCTTCTAGGATGCATATACGCCTTGCTGAATAGTTCCGGCAAACAAACACGGAACCTAGGTCAAGCAAGGCTTCCTGATGGTTGCCTTCAACCATCTAATTCAAACTGACTATGCCTAATACAATGAACATGTTGTATAAACACGCATGTGTTCAGAAAGTCGAACAATTAACTAACTTATTCTCTTTCTAAAAAATAACACAGAGGTTACAATTAAAATTCAGCATTGACAAACACCACTAAACATTTACAATGGTTTACACTTCGTGTCTATACATCAAACAGTTGGTAGGAAAGGATTAATTCCCTAAGCTTCAACATAGACTTCTGCATAGAAATGAGGCTGTTTAACTTGTCACACTACATGCACTGTACAGAGGTAGAGAAGACAAGAAAATGAGAAGAATTATAATCACTAGAAATGTATGGAGAAACATGAAAGTTTAATGAGTCTTAGAAATGACACGATGTGAATAATCCCAAGCCATATAACTAACAGTCACCAACTATTGGTTCTTACTATATCGAAGATTGACGAGGCAGTCTACATCCCTCTCTGCCGGGGACTTCATAGATTGGTGTCAGGTTCTGACTCAAAGACTACTGGCTTGAATCCCACTCCCCTCAGCCAATCAGACCGGAAGTCTGATGCTCTACCGTCTGAGCTTACCGAGCCAAGTGCTGCCAGATAGTTGTAAATAACAAGTCGATATATCTAAACAAACATAAAACAGTCTACTGAACACTTAAACACACACTAACAATGAAAAGTAATAAGATACCAAGTCACGTATACATAAACTTCAGGACATACCCAAACTAGAGGGACAAGTTGACGAGAGTAAATAGGGGAAAAAGAGGGAACTATAGTCTATCTATATAAATTCAACTAACATCGAAATAATCAAGTGTCAGTGAATCCATTATGAACAAAGAAGTGCTAAAATGTGTAATAATGAATCACAATAAACTAAAATGCAGGTTGACATCATGACCTATTAAATAATATATGTGTATACACGTTAACTTACAAGATATATCTCATCCTTAGAAAAGTTTGGTAATGTTATTACAAAACAATAACGATCTAGTAGATCAATTAAAGGATTTACATATTCTTGACGAAAATCTCCTCCTTGACATGTAACAAAACGTCGAGTCATAAGAAGACGGAAATTTTTATGCTGATGAATAGGATTTCCATTGACAGGATCAACTAATACACCGTTATTCAGACTACTTGAACAATCTTTCAATTTTCTTAGCACAGAAGTAATTAATAGCTGTAGTTCAGCAGAGCCACGATCAATATCTTCGAGTATCAATGCATAACCTTGTTTCATCGCTGAAATTAATGGACCTGGACGCCATATAAATTGTCCAGGTACTTCAGTGCAACAATATGCCCCTAAGAGTGTCTAGAAAAGTAAAATAAAAAGACATGATTATTTATGAAATTGTAAAGAACAGAACATATATGAATGATTTTTGAACAGCCCCATAGCAAAAAAGTTTCTTCAGGCTTAAAGCGTACGTTTACTTTAAAATATTATATATCTAGTATGATAACACACAAAGGTGATCTTGTCCACGGAAGTGAAACATTTTACGACCGATTCTTTGACTAACCATAGTTGTCAACATTTTAAAACATCTTCGAAAAGTTACAAATCACATGGATATGGTTAGTACTGAGGAAAACTTTACAAACAATACAATGAAACAGTACCAAGGTTCAGACCACTGTAACATGCGAGTCAATGATTACCTATAGATCCAAACTATGAAAGTCAAAAGACTGTCTACAGTAATGTGTAATTATTACAAAACTGATTCAGTGGTACGCTAAATAATTTATCCAAAAATTATTTCTACCCTTATACTGTCACTTTAGATAATGTGACTTATAGTTGTATTGCTTAATTAGTCTTTCTAGCTCTTGATCATAAGCTTCAGAGTAGACTTCGGGCACTACGGTTGAATAAAAATTCATATGACAACACAGTTAGGCTATAAATAACTCTAAAACGTCTGGAGAATAATAAATCGATATTGCATGTTTACTGTCTCTGTTTGGCGTATCTTTTTACTTTCTTCTCTGATTATGTGTGCTGAGCGAAGTGTGGCGACTTGAACTGATGCACATCGGTGCAGAGTTCTATAGTGAAACCAGTCAGTCAGTCATATCGCCTACAATCGTATCACTTTGGTTCACGGGCTTATAAGCATCTACATAGCTAGAAATTTAATGTACTTTCAAATTCATCCCACTCAAAAGGATAATAGTATTAATTACTTAGCAATAGCTTAGTCAACAGAGGGACTCAAAACAATCAAGATCCTAAGATCATCATATAAGACACACAAAATGCATGTTTATTTATTCTCAATTCGAATTTTATCTTACTTTTGCATCTGTTTGTTCACTTATTTGAATACTATGTACTTTGCAACAAAATTCCTTCGCCAAATTATTCACAAAAGTTGATTTCCCACAACCAACAGGACCTCCAATAAGGACAGATTCATATCTGTCTAACGAATTCTTGGCAGCATTAAGAGTATTCTCCAAACGTGTAAGCATTACAGGAGAATATTCTGCATTCCTAATTCAAAAAATGAATTCGAGGCATTGCACAATAGACAAACTACCTTTCAACTAGAGTTATAGTGGTATCTTCAGAGTCTTGCTCTGCAATATGCTCACCTTGTTGATTTGGAGCTTTAAACTTTCGCTTATTTCTACAACCGAAAACGATAAAGTAATGAGAAAGACAGACCTTCTAACCATGCTGCCTGTCAAATTACACACCAACCTACAGCTGGTATTTCTATTGGTTGGCTAAAGATGAGGGATTTGCAAAACTTGAAGGTCATCCAATATCCAATATCGAATTTACGAGCTAGTATAAACCAATTTGATTTCTTTGTGCTCGCTTCTTGATTGTAAGGTATAGGTTCCTGATCTTCGGTAAACTTCTGCGTAGCTTGTCCCGCCACTCGACTGTCGTAGCTTTGGTTGACTCCAAAGGGAGTAGTGCTGGGATTAATTATATGTGGTTTGTAGTATGAGGTATGTTAAGACTGTTACTACTGTGATTGGAGTTGATCCTTTCGCCAGTTAGTCCTTCGGTATCGTCGACAAGAGAAAAATAATAATAGATATAATTAGTGAAGCTATTCAGACTAAGAGACAGAAACGAAAATAGGAAACGTAACAACAGTCAGCTCATTAAGTTTGAAGAATAATATATATATCGGTAATAATAATAATAGTAATAATAATATTAATAAGTTGTCAGGAGAGTAAGACGGGAGAGAATGTAAAGAAGTAAAATGACGAGTTTAATTATCTACCCTGATTGGTAAATGCGATTTTAAGGAGATAGGCCATTTGGATGCAGTCCTTGTATCGCTGCATGGTTGTCCAGCCTTCGCTTAAAGGCGTCCAAAGACGGTGCCATAGCTACATCTGCCGGTAAGGAATTCCAGGGACGACAAACCCGCAGTGAAAAGAAGTGGGAGCGCACCCGGGTCCTTGCCCTCTGGTGAGCTATCCTTCTGGGATTTCCACGTGGAAGCCTATACCTACTCAATGGCAGAACACCTTTGTTTGGGTGATTCTGGTCATTTGTTATTTTGTAGGCAGTAATCAAATCCCCCCTAAGCCGACGGTAACTAAGTGTGAACAGGCCTAATTTCTTCAGCCTTTCATCATATGGTTTGTTTCGGAGACCAACCACTCCTTTTGTTGCCCGTCGTTGGACTCTTTCCAAGAGGTTGGCATCTCTTCTCAGCATTGGGGGTGCAATAATATTATGCACCTCAAGGTGTGGCCTGACGTATGTTTTGTACAACATTAGAAAGAGCTCAGGAGTGAGTGCACCTAACTGTCTATGCGTAAAGTGTATGACCGCATATGCCCTCGCTACATCCCCTGTGTAATTTACGCTTGTGTCCATTTTTTCCGTTAGAACTAGACCTAAGTCGCGTTCCGACGTTGTGCAGGACAAGCTTTCATTGCACAGGGTGTAACTTGCATTCTGCAGTCTACAGGTGCGCAACTTCACTACTTTGCACTTTTTCAAGTTGAAAGTCATGCCACTGGCCACCGCCCAGTCTTCCAGAAGGTTTAGGTCTTCCTGTAGCCTATCTGAGTCCTCCGGACACTTTATCGCCCTCCATATTTTTACGTCGTCAGCGTACAGGAGAGTCGGGCAGCTCAGACGGCGTGGTAGATCATTGATGAAAATCAAAAACATCAGTGGTCCTAGGATAGAACCCTGCGACACTCCTGATGACGATCTGTGCCAAGATGATCGGACTCGGTTAACCTTAGTGCAAAATTGCCTGTCGGCTAGGTAGTCCTTCAACCATGACAGAAGTGGCTCACCTATGCCTGCCTGGCTTATTTTATGTAGGAGAAGGTCATGGTGAACAGTGTCAAATGCCTTCTCAAAGTCTAGGAAGACCACATGGACTGGTACGTTCAAGTCCCAGCATGATGTCCAGTCGTCCCAAGCTGACAGTAGGTTAGTGACGCAGGATCTGCCTTTTCTGAAACCATGTTGGGCTTCATGTAGTATATTAGTCCTATCGAAATATTCCCTGATGTGGTCGTCAATAATACTTTCCAGTACTTTTGATACCACTGGGAGTAGAGCTACTGGTCTATAGCTAGCAGCGTTTTGCCTGTCCCCACCCTTGAAGATTGGAGAAAGGATGGCTCTTTTCCACTCCCTTGGCAGGGTCCCCGAATCCATTGAGTGTTGGAACAAGTCGCACAGGGGTCTACAGAGAGCCTCGGCGCACTGTTTCAGAACAGATGGCCTGATGTCATCACAACCTGGGGACTTCCCAGGTATGAGTCGCTGTAGCTTCCTTAGTACTATTGCGGGGTTTATTTGGGGAGTAGTCGCTAGGTCTTCCTCCTCTGAAATAGTGGTGCCACCATTTTGGTCCGTAACTGTAATATCCACATTGCTGTTTAGCTGTTTAGCGAAGGCTGAACTGAATGTTTCAGCCATCTCCAGACTAGTGAGATATTGACCGTTTGGGCCTACTAAGGCGCATGCCCCTTGGTTTGTCGGTTTTCTTTCCGACATGAATCGGTACAAGTTTTTAGGGTTTGATAGGAGTTTTTTAGCAAGGTTAGCCTGGAATGACCTTCTGTCCCTCCTGACTCTTGCATTACACCGGTTCCTGAGTTCGAGGTATGCATCATGGTCGGTCTGACTCTTAGATACACGCCACGTAAACCAAGCCTTCCGCTTTGCTTGCAGAATACGTTGCGTGCCTCTCTTCAACCATGACGTCTTTCTCTTAGGCTGTGTTGTGACTAAAGGGACGGTATCCGAGATTGCTGTATGGATAATCTTTTTTACCACTTCCCAGTGTTCATCCACAGATAGGTCGTCCCATGCTAAGGGCCAGTCTGCGTCGGACAAGAGCCTCCGCATTTCAGCATAGTCAGCCTTGCTGTAGCACAGACATGGTCGCGTAACATCCCATTGCAAACGCTCACGGAGGACAAGATCGAAACCTATGACTGCATGGTCACTGCTTCCCAGAGGAGTCATGATCTGGACCTTTTCGACGAGTAGCTGGTCACTAGTTAGAATATAATCTAGTTTTGATGACTTTCCACTAGGGCCCCACCTAGTGTCGTCTCCAACATTCTCAGTCAGTCCCGTGTTTCGAATAGTTTGCAGTAGGTTTCGGCCAAATTTTCCCTTAGCACACCCGGAGCCGAGGTTCAGTGATGGAGCATTGAAATCTCCAGCTATGGTGATTTGGTCGTAGCCCAAATCTCGTATTCCTGTGATAGTGCTGAGCAGTAGCTGATTGTGCTCTGCCCCACAGGTGGGAGATCGGTAGATGCCACCCAGTAAGTGCTTGGTGTGGCCTACGGTGAAATGACACCATATGGAGTCTGGGAGTTCGATAAGTGGTGGGTCCGTTGCGCGCACACATTTAAGTTGCCTATCAAAGTATATAGCAACTCCCCCTCCTTCCTTATTATCCCTGTCTCTTCTGACCAGTACCATATCACCTATACTGATTTCATTGTCGGCGATAGTGGGGTTTAGCCACGTTTCAGTAAGAATGATTATTTTCAGTTGAAGGTGTGCTTGGAGATTTCGGAGTTCACCTACTTTTCCTCTCAGCCCCCTCACATTGCTATATAGGCAACTGACAGTGAGTCTAACAACCTCAGAGTGTTGTGGGGTAGTTGACGTGAAACCGTCTGCTGGTGGGGGACTTGATGTTGGAACTAGTTGGCCGATTCCGATAGAACCGGCCCGTTGTAGTTTTTTTCAATGGATTTAGGCAGGACACTTGGGAGACACAGACTATTATTCTCAGAGCTGCATCGCTCTAGTGTCACCGAAGCTTGGGGTCGTATTAAAGCCTCAGTTTGCTGCCTCCTTATATTTCTGGGTCTGCTTTCACAGCATCGGATGTGTCCTCCAATTTTTCCCTTGGTCTCATACCACCGTTGAAGTGATATGGACAACTGCTCCGGGGAGTTGAATGTGACACACAGCAGCTTTGGAGAGTTAATCAATGTTAGATGAGCGGGACGAGGTAGTCGGAAAATGGAGATGGCTCCAGAAGCGCCAGGGGCCATCTGAGATGACAGCCATCTCCATTGTTGTACGTCGTGCATGTGTTTTTCACAAGCAGTGCCGGTTTCCAGCTCCGGAACACCGTGTACCACCATAGAGGTGGAAGGCATCAGTTCCGGTGACTCCCTCGCCATATTTCTGACAGCCCATGGTCTATCTTGCCGCGCTCTTATGTTAGAACTTCTGTCCAGGGCTAGTACCTGAGCCATTAACAGTACTTTTTCGGCCTCTTCGGCAGAGTCCAGTGTAACCCGTAATGGGGGTGGCTTACCCTGAGGCGTGTGGACACCCCTGTACAGTCTGCACAGTTTTGCTGAACTAATGTTCAGACCTAGTTTGCCGCACAGGTTGGACCACTGTTCCTGATCAAACAGGGCCCGTTGTTCGAGCAAGCTATCCGTGCTCACAGGTACGTTAAAGAGGATGAGAGAGTTAGACCGACTACCCTCAGACTTAGGTTTTGCCTTCGGCTTCTTGCAGTCCTTTGCATCATTAGCAACATTAGGCTTCATCGGTACCTGGACAGCCTTTTTTGTGTTGCCAGGCTTGCTAGTGGATGCAAGTGGTGCCTTTGTAATTTTGCCTTCCCCTGATGTGGATGGAACCTTGCTAATCTTCACCTTGTGAGAATTGGCATTTCCAGTCAGTAGGGCTGGTGTGTCCTTCTTTAAGTCTTTGACCAGTTTCGGCAGTGCGAGTTTAGCAGGGGGGAGCTGCATGATACTGTGTTGGGGCACAAGAGCGTGTTGTTTCTGCTATCCCCAGACACGCTTTGTGGGACTATGCCAGGGCGACAAAGTGGACACACGTACCAAAACCATGGGCATGGGTTATTTCTCATAAACTCATAGTATGCTTTCAGTACTTCTTTGTCATAATATTCTTCAAATTCCAACATCCGAAAACGTTTTACCCTACAAACGGGAATTTTCTTTTTCGTATTCTGCCTACTGCAGGTTTTCAACTCTTTATTCGTCTCCACTTATTTCTTTCAACCATTTCCCATAGTGTTGATTAGAAAGAAATCAATTCACACATAATCTATTGACACTATCAGAAAACTATTAAGGGAAAGAGATGTTAATGGACCCACTTACTCCATCACAAAACCAAGGGTAATCTACATATAACAATGCGTGAGGGTTCGGAGGAAACTGAATTTGATCCACCAATAAAGAAGGCACCACGGCATCCTG